CAATCACACCACCATTGGATTCTTATAAAATTATAAACAAATATCAATTAAAATTTGCACCAAAATATAAAGAATTGAGAACCCAAGGAGAGTGTATAATCTGTCTTGAAACATATGGTGAAAAGAGTGAAAAATTGGCTCAATTACCATGTTCTCATACCTTTCATTATGAATGTTTTTCTAAGACAAGAGAAGCTAATGGCAATAGAACTGATGTTAATAGACCGAGTATGAAATGTTGTGTTTGTCAATTTAACTTGATCAAGTATCATCAATATCTTGTTGATCATAAATTAGACCATAACCAAGTTAAATTCATTAATAAGTGATGGACATTCATTCACAATTGAAATTGGGAAATGTAGCAGTACCTCCATTCGAACCCTGAAGGTAGCATTGTATTATAATCTAAATTATGTGCATAAATAAAAAGTAACGTCTGCTATTAATAAGAACTATTGACCAAAGACCAAAGGGATAGAATTCCTCACATCAATCTTAGCTTCAAGCCCAAATAAGGTAATTACAGGGACTAAATTTTCATAGCTCTCACGTTCTCACATACAAAGCTAAATAATCTCGGATCGTCGCAGATCCAATTTACAATATATACCTTGAGTGATTTTATCAATTTATGTTAATTATATATAAATGCTGCTACAGCTTAATTTATCTTCAAACTATGTCACCCAGAATTTGTTCTCTTCATAAAGTATCACAGCCAGGTCTATTATAATTTGGATATAAATCATGAAGTTGTTGGAAAGCTCAAGAATATCTTGGTTTATACTATGCATATGTTTAGTATTTCAATTATCGAAGACAATATCAGCGGTTCCACACAAACCCAAGATGTTCAAGATGTTACAAAGCTTGATAGTTCTCAAATAAATCACCCAGATGAAACTTCAACTGGCTATACAGCTTCTATAAAAGGAGATGTCAACAATCTAAACAAGTTGAAGGTTCATGATTCATTAAAAACAAGATCAAACAACGAGGAAATTAAGAATGATAAAGAATTCAACAATTCTGAAAAGCGTGGAAATACAATCAAATATTGGGTAGCAGGGGTGATTTGGATAGGTCTTTCAGTGGCTTTATTTTTCATTCATGGTAAATCAAGCCAAGACGGTGATCCTTATCAAGGATTTAAACAATATATAAATTATAAAGCAAGATGTGATCATATAATTCAGAATGGTAAAAGAGACAATGAATCTTTATTATGGACATGGATTAAAATTATCATTAGTTTCAAAACTATAGGAATCGTCATATTGACATTCTTTTATTTACCGTGAGTATAAAATCATTATAGGCTCATATAAGTATGATTATTAACAGTTGAATTATTCACAAGAACTTTAACCGTTATAGGAATCGTTTTTCTTATTTTGCAATTGTATCTTATTTTTATTGGTAATCATGGATTATTCTTTGTGGATGATGAAGAGTATCCACTTGAACCCCAAGTTTTCAATGACAGAGATCCAAATTCAAATATTATAACAAGGTCACAAATCAATTCTCATAATTATGACAAAAGGAAATTATCAAAAATTTCCAAATCATCACTTTTACCACCTGATGATTCTTACGACATTATAACTACAGATCAATTAGAGACACCAGAACATAGAGAATTGAAAAATAAAGGTGTTTGTTTAATCTGTCTCGAATCATATGATGAAACCCATAACCATATAGTTCAATTACCTTGTGCTCATTCATTTCATTATAAATGTTTTGTCAGGTTAAGAAAAGTTAAAGGAAATAGAACTGATTTTCAAAGACCAAGTATGATATGCTGTATTTGTACATTAAGTTTGATCAAGTATCATCAATATCTTGTTGATTATGAATTAGATCATAAACAAGTTGAATTTATTAATAAGTGATGGATATCTATACAGAAATTGTTAATTATCACGGGTAACGTTTTATACATTATTATACAAGTTATCATAATTATGGGTGAAATTACATTGTAGTCATATCTTCTCTGAATGATATTCAATGAGCTATTCTTATCTAGAATTCCATAATGATCAATCCATGTTATCGCTGTACATATTGAATGGGTTGATATCAAATTGATGACTCATTATTTTAATACCATATGGCTGATAAAGCTACCATGATATATACATTGTAACAATCAAATCATGAAAATATTAGCTTTTTTCTGATTAAGTTAGTCTTGGAATTTCATTTGTATGAACCTCCACGGGAGTTCAAAAATTACCGCAATTTTTATCGAGTAACGACATAATGGGTAACACTCTATTAAGGATGTCAATATACATGAATGTAATAGCTAGTAGGTACCCTACTATAAAGCAATAAGTTTATTTGGAATCACATGGTTTTTCAAACACTTTATGCTCGAAATGTTTAATTCACTATAAAGAAAAATATTCTCAAATGATCATGATCAGCGAGAAGTATATTGTATGGTTTTTTTGATTATACTATGATCTATATATAAGCTAGCTTTTACAAGCCAGCTTTTATAAGCCATTGACCCTTTTCTTTCATGAAGTATCACAGTCATCTCTCATAATTTGAATACAATCGGTCATGAAGTTGTTGGAAAGTTTGAAAGTTTCTTGGTTTATACTAAGTATATCATGCTTATTATTTCAATTATCCAATACATCATCAGTTTCACAAGCCCAAAATCAAAAAGTTTCAAAACTTGATGATTCTCACATAAGCTCCACAAATGAACCTTTAACTATTTATAATTCTATGAAAGAGGATTCCAACAATCTAAAGAAGTTGGAGGTTCAAGATGATGATGAACATGATTCACTGAAAAAAAGATCAAATAATAAGGAAACTAAGGATACCAAAGAACTTGAAGATTCTAAACTTAGTAAAGCTACAATCATACTTTTGGTACTAATAGGTGTATTTTGGACTTTCCTTTCAGGGATGTTACTTGTGCATCGTGCTTTAATAAGTCACGGCGGTGATCTTTATCAAGGATATAAACATTATAAGAAGTACGAAAAAAGGCGTAAATTCATTATTCAAAACGGTAGAAGAAATAATGAGTTTTTACTATGGACATGGATGAAAGTTATCATTAGTTTCAAAACTATAGGAATCGTCACATTGACTTTCTTGTATATACCGTGAGTATAAAATTAACTACTTTTTTTGTTCAATAATTAGTTATATATTATTATAGGGTATAGGGACATAAGTAAATGATTACATTACTAACAGATGAATTATTCACAAGGGGTTCAATCATTTTCGGAATCCTGCTTCTTTTTTTGCAATTTATTGATCAATTATTAAAGATAGTCGCTGGTGATCATGAATTATTTTTCGTAACTGAAGATTATTCACTTGAACCCCAAGTTTCCAATCAAAGAGATCCAAATTCAAATGTTGTGACAAGATCACAAATTGATTTTCATAATTTTAACCAGGAGACATTATCACAAATTTCCAGGTCATCACTCTTACCACCTGATGATTCTTGCAAAATTTTAACTACAACCGAATTAGAAACACCAGAACATGAAGAATTGATGAATCAGGAAGTTTGTTTGATATGTTTTGAATCATACAGTGATAGCCATGAAAATTTAGTTAAATTACCTTGTGCTCATAAATTTCATCATAGATGCTTTATCAAGACAGGAAGAACTAATGGTAATAGAACTGATGTTGAAAGACCAAGTATGAAATGTTGTGTTTGTCAATTAAGTTTGATAAAATATCATCAATATCTTGTTGATCATAAATTAGATCCTAAACAAGTTGAATTTATTAACAAGTGATGGAGGTATGATCTTTACATAGCTTATAATATAATGTCTATTGTTTTTCTATCTATCTATTGTGAATTGGTATCTTTTTTATTCAAATTCATTGAAAACTTTAGCATCCAAAATTTGTTGAATAGTATCTTTTAAAGATTCATCTAATGAAATATATTTGAAACCTAATAATTTTTTAGTCTTTTCAGTATTTATAACATTTTTATCTTGATAAACAACATCTCTTTTTCTTGATTCATCACCTTTAGAAATTTTACCTTGTAAAACTGGGAATTGTTTATTTAATGAATCAATTATACTTTGTTCTGTAAAATGATCATCAATCAAAACTAATCTTTTCCCAAATACTTCGGGTTTAGTAAAAGCATATAAATGAGCTTTTGCAACATCTCTAACATCAATAAAATGACCTTGAACTTTATTATAAGATTCACCATCTTTTAAAATTGTAGTTATAAGTTCATTTGAAGAATTTAATGTTTTAGAAACTGAACTTTGGAAAACTTGTGGACCAAATACAAAACTTGGATTTATCACAGTAACATTAATATTTTCATTCTCTTTAGAAAATTTCCAAACTAATCTTTCAGCTTCAGCCTTTGCAAAACAATAAGCTAATAATGGATGAATTTTTGATTGTTCCCAAGTTGTAGTATTCCAAGTTGATTCATCTCTATAAATCCCCTTCCCATCTTGACCTGGTGTATTTAAAGCACCAACAGATGATGTAAAGACAAAATTTTCCAAACCTGAAGCATGATTTTTTATTGAATTGAGAATTGTTGTTGTTCCTTTAACAGCAGGTTCCAATAAATATTTTTCAACTTCATTTGTAACAGTAACACCAGAAGCTGTATGTATAACAGTCTTTATACCTTTATTTTTTGAGAAAATTTCATTAAATTCTTGAGAATTTGTTAAATCTGATACTATTTCATATTGAAAATTTGAATTATTAAATTTTGTTATTAAATCATCACCTTTTGTTGATGATCTAACTGTACCAATAACTTTATAGTTTTGTTCTAATAATTGTTGGATGATATGAAGGGCGATGAACCCTGTAGCACCTGTGATTAAGATAGTCATGGTGTTACTTTATTCAAATATATAATCAAATTATTCTTTCTGGATATTCACGTCTTTATATTCGAAATCTTTTATACTCATTCAAATTTCCCACCGTTGAAACTTAAAAATTATTCCAACCGCGGTTCGTGAATCTTTTTATAAATCCGATATTCTCAATGAAATTCCGAAATTACATAATCTACAATAATCAAATTTAAAACTAAAATAATAAAACTCATGAAATGATTTTATATTCATTTCCTTTTGTAGTATTATGTATATTTGTAATGCTCTATAATCTATCCTTCAGTAATTAATAAATTCTAATCATAGCCCTTTTTGGTCTTTAAAAGATCCTTGTTGTGTTGTATAGTTGTTGGTATTTATATGTTTTTTTTTATTTGATATTGTGCTTAATTCACATTATATCAAGACATAAATCTAGTTCATCTCTTATTTTATCCTTTTCAGCAGTATTTAATGATTCATCACTAAATGTATTATTCCATCCTCTTTTATAAGTTTGATTAATTTCAATTTCTGGACCATATGTAACAGGTTTAAAAATTTCTAAATCAGATTCTGGAACTGCAAAATTAATTTTTAAATCAGTCATTTCAATTCCATTTTCAGTTAATCTTCTTAATTTATCACTATATGGTTCTTTCCAATAATTTAAACCATTTTCATTGAAATAAATACCATGTTTACCAGTTTCAATATTTGGATTTTGTTTTAATAAATTATCCAACAAGATTAAATATGGTGAAGCTAATAATTTCATATTTACATGAGACCAATAATATTGAGATTCTTCAAATGGTTGTTGTGTTGTGAAATTCATTGTGTTTTGTAAATGTGAATTAATTGAAGCAAAATGTTTTGTATCCATAGATTCTCTTGTAACTTGTTTTGTTAAATGATATCTAAAAGTTGTTCCTAAGATTGAAGGTTGAGTAACTAATAAAGTCTTCATTTTTGGATGAGAAATTCTTGAAATTTTATATTCATAATCAGGTTTTGTTAATTCTTCATCTTGAACATCTTGTAAAGATCTTGGTGAAGGTTCATTTTGAGAATATTGAACATTTTTTAAAGCACTTAAATTTGTATAAGATCTTTGAATTTTACCACCATTTGTATTTGGATCAACACTTGATTTTGAAGTATTTATAATTGTTAAATTTGAAACATTTTGGAACTTTGAATAATTCATAATTTCACCACCAAAAAATTTAGTTTCTTCAGGATCACAATTTATAACAAAATCAGTATTATGGAAAATTTTGAAAGTAAGAAATCTATCAGCTAATGTACCTTTATGACATTCAACTCTATTATTTGTTAATTTTGTTAAATTTTTACAATATGAATCTTGTCTATGATGAGTTTCAATAGTTAGATCTTCATATTTTGGATCTGTTAATAATTGATGTAAAACTTCTGAACCTAATGGAGTGGAAGGGCCTATAAGGAAAACTCTAGTCATGATGATGTGTGTGTTGTTGTTATTATTTAATGAAAGTGTATTGATAAAACTAAATCTAGTTGTTGGTTAACAACATTCTATAATACGATCAATTTAGCAGATATCCATCTTTATAAATATAATCAACATTTTTGTAATTATGTAAAAACGAATCTTGATTTTTTTTTTTAAATTTCTTATTTCTTTTGACATTTCTTCTTTTGTGCAAATTTTAATTAAAATTATAAAATCATGGAATCATTGTGCATAATGTGCATCAAATTCCTATGGTTTAGGACACAAGTTTTAAATTTTGGCGAAAAAAGTTAAAAAATCACCTGTGAAAAGAAACGAAAAACCAAAAAAAGGCGAAAAACAAAAAGTACACAAAACCAAAGTGATACCGGTGTACTTGAATTAAAGCAGAGTATAATGTGGGTTAAACAGATACATTACTCCAGGTTATTAGGCACTCCACACAGCGCTTAAGATTCTTTATCTTTTGGTGTTTATCTTTTGAAATTTGAATACTGTATGATGTATATTGGTCTGATTTCTATGGACTTATATCATGATAATTATCTCGGATCTATCACACCACTAGTTAAAAATACAAAAATGTCAAGGAACAATTATGATTCTAGGATCAGAAATTAAAACTTTAAATCCAATGATGATTTGATTAAAGTTTATTAATTTTAGTATGTGATAGTTTATTTGCCACTGAAGTTTTGTAGTAATTGATGAAGTACTTGTTTACACTAAAGTTAGTACATACTACAAACTCAAATTGTTAGTACAAGTTTACAACTTTATGGTATAGTTTTATTAGTACGTCATTATACTTTAATAAATAATTAAAATCTTGTACATAACAAAATTTATCCGCTCAACTTTTAAAAATTTCGTGTTTTGAACTTTTTTGTCGTGTTTGGCGTTTTTCAAGATTTCCAGATTGGGTAAATTGGTGTAAAGATTTTACCCTTTTTGTATAAAAATACAAAATATAAAACACACAATTACGTATATAAAATTTATCACCGGGATGGAATTTTAGTCATCTGTTTTTTAAATTCGTATACTTTTGTTGATTAATACGAAGCTGATTGATAAGATGATGAACAAGTTATGGAGTACATGAACATCAACAGCTTATCATGTCAACAAGTAGAAGACTACAACCATCAACAAAAGTTAAAACTATATCAATACTATACAATCAACACATAACTCATTGATCTCTTGTCTTTCTTAGCACTTCTTAGCTCATCACTTTTCTTTCTTCATTTCTTTTAAGATCTTCACTGGTTCATGAACTACCCTTTAATCCTAAAGTTTAAAAGACATCGCTTAGTGCCTTGGTTCGTGCCTAGATGTGTTTTGTAATGATCCGGACTCAGACTAGTGATACTTGTTAGTTGTTTGTGTACCTTGTGTTTGTGTTTGTTGTTGTTTGTGTGTTGATGGTTTATTGAGTTGACGGTATATTCACGATTATCTACTTCTCCAGATTCCAAAGAATTACGATGACTATTACATGACTCCTTGATCACTATAGACGATCAATTTGTATCTTGTATTTTATACAGCGGTTAATTTTGAAATGAATTGTTGATCAATTGTGCCTAGATTTAATCTCTTGTGTAGCCTAACTTTCTATATTTGGTGGATCCTCAAACTTTATTGTATAACTTCTATGATCTAATAATTAATTATAGATCCCTGATAAGTTATAAGTTATTCTGCTTTCCTGTCAATCTCGCCTCCACTTTATAATCTTTATGTGGTGCACAAGTTGATGGTGTGTATGGGGAACTGGGAGATAAGATAGATAACAACTAAGGAGTGTATCTAGAACTCTATGATTGTACCATATAATACCTAGTATATTCTATTCTATGTGGTTCAAATGACAAGAGAGTGTTCATCTTTGTATTCAAGTCAAATATATTATAGGTTATATTGCTTACATAACTGATTACTACGTTTCATACAGTTTAGCAGTTCTTAAACAATCTGATTTAATTGAACACTTTTAAATTAATATCTTCAACTTTAGTTTATTCAAATACACAAATATTCTAATCATAATATTCCAATCATTGAATTAATATACCTATGTTCATTGAATTAACTAATTTACACCCATATATAATACATTTACACAATGCTAAGCCACGTGAAGTTAATCAATGAAATTACCATCAGAGATCTATAATCTACACCACTCTCTTAACTACCAGGAGATGGTAATAATTCGAATAGCTATAGTAGTTAACACAAAGTCGAGCTCTTAACTACCAGGAGCTGGGAATAATCTCTTAACTACCAGGAGTTGGGAATAATTCATAGCTATAGTAGTTAACACAAAGTCGAGCTCTTAACTACCAGGAGTTGGGAATAATCTCTTAACTACCAGGAGTTGGGAATAATTCATAGCTATAGTAGTTAGCACAAAATTCGCGAAACCCTCGGAAATGGTTGATCACGTTTGACTGTAGTTGTTTATGATATCTTCAATATTTAGCAAACTATGGTTCGCTTGAAATAAAGTCATATTCACACTGCTGTTGTTTCCTTCGGATGTTTCGCATGTGAACTTCTGTATTTCCTAGGTGGTGGTGGTGGTTTCTTTTCTGGTTTGAGTGAGGATAAACTTAAACCAATTCCGACTCACTAAAATTCGTAATTTGTGCTTTTTGTTGAAATATGATCAATAGGAACTCCTATTCAAACTATTTCGATGAGAAATCTGATGAAGCCTAATTGAAAATCATTAGATCAATTACTGGTGGTGATAATGATTATCCATGGGAGTTACTTCCTTTAAAGGTCAATTCTGATGTAGAATTGGATGAAGAAGATGAAGAAGATGAAGAAGATTAGAGAAGATGAATAAGATTAGAGAAGATGAATAAGATACAATCGCTTTATTTGACAAAAGTTTTAAGAGATTCTAGTTCTTATATACATACAAAATATTCATAAATTTGCAATTTAGATATTTACTATTGAACTAGATGTAGCATGTTTAATTGTTTGATGCTATGCTTTAAACTACCCATATACTGTGTTAAGTCGCCATAATGAAATGTACAGGAAAGGTTTGCGATAACCGGAAGTACTACTACTAAATGTATAGGGTATAGGCTAAACTCTCTCCTCTCACAGCGATTTGTAGATCATTGAACTGATTATGTGTGCTTAACAGTATATACTCCTTAAAGGATAAACCAAACGTTCATATTTATGTCTTTACATTAATAATTGTTAAAATTCGATTAAGGAAATACAGAAATCAGAATCACAAAGATAAACAACAAACAACAAAGCCACTTTGAGAACTTATGGATATTAATTACTTCCCAGCTATATTAACTATGAATTATTCCCAACTCCTAATAGTTAAAATACCACACAGAGTCTTCACAACCTACGCTTCCTAATACGTTGATTCAATCGTTCCAACCGTTCATTAAAACACCTTTATTTTCAACATCTTTTCAATTCCGCGTTTTCAATTCCCTTTGGTGTCAAATCCCGTTTAATTTTTAAAAAAAGGCTGCAATAAATTTTTATTTATGTATAGTACCAAGAAACACAAAAAAAACACAACCATGATCAAGAATTGATTATTATTAAATTCATATTATTCATATTATTATATATATATACACAGCGGTCCTGTTTAAATAGTGATATATTACTTGTTTATTCATAGCGCTGTGTTTAATTTGCTTTTATTTTTGCTAAATTGGTTGCATTTTACATTATATTTGGTTTCATTTAGTTCAAAAGATGTCTAGTAATGGCAATGAAGTCCATGCTCATGATGATAATGTTACAATCGCTGATGAATTTAGTCGCTCGTCACCAGAAGATCATTGGAATTTGAAAAATCAAGAACAAGATCAACTTATACGTAATGAAATCGCAGGTCATCAACAACAACAACAACAACAACATTGGGAAAGAAGGTATAGTTTCTTAGGTTTACCCATAAATACAACTCATGGTTCACTGAAATCAACAAAGGAAAATGACAAAATTTTAACTTATATCAACAAAACCTCAAAACTTGAAAGATATTCAAATTCTCTTAATGATTCAAGACCAACTATACTTATTGGTAAAATTGATAATATATTCAATTGGGAATCTGCTTTAATTGATGATTCAATTTTGAAATCTATTAAAGACAAAAAGACTAGGAATTTTTATCAAGAACAAAATGAATTAATTGAAAAATATATGGAAGTTGATAAAATTTTAGATAGTGGAATTCATCATAAAATGATTAGAAATTATAGTGATAGAAATGATCCAATTGATTATAGTTATGGTTCTATTGATCATAGTAATTCAAATGATGCATATATAAACAAGTCACCTAAAGTATCAATTCCAAGTCCAAATAGAAGAGATTCTGCAGTTCCAGGTGATGTTGATCTTGAAAGTGGTTTATTATTAGGTTATAATAAATCTGAAGAATTAAAATTAATTTCATTTGCAATTAATGTAAATTTTTTAGCAAATATTTGTTTATTATTAGGTAAAATTATTGTTGCAATATTAACAATGTCAATTTCAATTATTGCATCATTAGTTGATTCAATATTAGATTTATTATCAACTTTAATTATTTTTTTTGCAAATAAATTAGCAAATACCAAGAATCCAAAACATTTCCCAATTGGTAGATCAAGATTAGAACCAATTGGTGTTTTGGTTTTTTCAATTATAATTATTCTTTCATTTTGTCAAGTTGGTATTGAATCCCTGCAAAGATTAATTAATCATTCATCAAATGATGAAATTATTTCAATTGGTATAACTCCAATTACAATTATGACAATTACTATCTTGGTTAAATTAATTTGTTATTTTTGGTGTATTAAATTTAAATCTTCAAGTGTTCAAGCTTTAGCTCAAGATGCCTTAGTTGATGTTGTTTTTAATTTTTTTTCAATTGTTATGCCAATTATTGGTTATTATACTCAAATTTATTGGTTTGATCCAATGGGTGCATTACTGTTATCAATTTATATTGTATTTGAATGGTCTAAAACTTGTTTTGAACATATAAATCATCTTACAGGTAAATCAGCAGATTCAAATGATGTTAAAATTATATTATATCTTTGTTCAAGATTTTCAAATAAAATTATAAATATAAAAAATTTAAATTGTTATCATGTTGGTGATTCATTAAATGTTGAAGTTGATTTAATCTTGGATGAAGATTTAAATATGAGAGATTCTCATGATTTAGCTGAATCTTTACAATATACTATTGAATCTTTACCTTCAATTGATGTGGAAAGAGCTTTTGTTCATTTAGATTATAATATTAATAATTTTAAAGGTCATTTATCATGACTAATCAGGGAACTATATATTCTATATATTTAATTGATGTAATATTACAATGATTTTTTTTTAATGGTTTGAATATTGTAGTGTGTAATCCCAATATACTAGATCTTTGGAATCATGTACACTGGCTACTCAGTCTTAGTAATGGACATATATTATATGGGGCAAATGTGCTGTATGCATAAGAACTTATTCAAAATTCAAAAGTAGTGGGTGGTGAAATGATTACAGTTAACATACTTTTAATACGTATGATTTGAAATTATATTATACAAATAGATGACAAACAAACACTATAAACATGAATGAGATGAACTTTAAGAAAGAAAAACTAGATAAAAAAGTATGAAAGCTATAGCAACATTTCATAACCATGCTCTTATTAATAACAATATTTAATAGATTTAATGATTCTTGAAGCTTTCAAATTGTTTTTTGATATGTTGTATTGTATTATATTATAATGATGGAAATCTCAATCATGCATAATTTGAAAACAGGTAATGAAAGAAACAAGTATTAATTTTAAAAAGCAAACGAATAGACACGACAAATAATCAAAATAGATATATGGATAAAAAAATTGTTAAATATTGGAGCAAAATTGAAAAATCACAAGCTGTTGGTTGAACAATATTGATTGATGAAAAAAAACTTGTGAATGTTGTAAATTAAATGAATGAATAACCGACCAATAATTGAAGTGAAATAATAAAAAATTGAAATAGCAGATACGTTGTTTGATTATAAAACAACTCTTTATAGTATATAATTTATAGCAAATAACCTTAAATAATGAAATATTTTAGAGCTTTATAGTACCCAAACAGAAAAACAACTGATAATTTATAGTATATAGATAGCCTAATTGTAATATTTTTTGTAAATTGTATAGTTGTTGATGAAATATAAATCCTTAAAAACGAGTAAAGTAGGGGGGATTGTATGTTAAAAGGATATTGTTCCATGTGTTGTTGTAAAAATCTTGTAAATGTCTGTACTTTATAAATATGAACGATGTTCATAATTGTATATGATTAAAAAGAAACCAGCTCTTTTTGATATGAAGTTTTAATGGACTTCTTAATTGATTGTTTGTGATAACAGCTATTAAAACCAAATTGAAAATAAGTAATATAAATAAAACAAATAACTTTTGAATTGAAAAACCAAATTGAACGAAAACCAAGTTCTTTTTTTTTGTGCTTTTTATAATAATTTTTTATAGTATGTGTTGATGATTGTATAAAACCAAAAATGTGTTGATATATGATATATGTCTTAAATATTAGCAAATAATATATATGATAGATCATGTTGTATGATAAAATTGTCCAGCAATTTTTATCTAATAAAAGGAGCTTCATTAATTTCATTTCTTTTCAATTCATCACTTTTATAAAAACAAAATTTTTTCAAAAATTCATTATAATTTTGTCTTGATTTCAGTAAAGATTGTTCATTTGAAACTTCATTATAATTTGATGATGATGAAGAAGATGGAGTTGAAACATTAGCTTTAATGGTTTCATTTGATGAAGTTGAAGTAACTGAAGTTTCTGAAATTCCTGAATTGTTTGAATTAATTGATGAAACTGTTGATGATGAACATGAATCATTAACATGAACAGGTTTCAACATTGGATTTGAATATGAAGAATTTGATAAATATTTATTATTGAAATAATCAGTATCATCAGAAAAATATCTTGAAGTTGTATAATTTTCATTTCTTGAATAATCAACTGGAGATGGTGAAGAAGATGGAGATGGAGATGGAGAAGGTGATGATGATGAAGAATTATATAAACTTGAAACAAAATTTGAAGTAATTTGTGAAGTTGGACGATGATAATAACCAGTGTTATTAATTGAAGATTTAATGAAATTTTTGGATTTTTGTTGTTTTTTATTTGATCTTAATTGAAATCTAAAATTTGATGAATGATTATTATCATAATAATCCATACCTGAAGTTGAATATTTAATACATAATTCCACTGTAATTGGTTGATTTTTAGATGATGGTTTCTTGGAGTTATTAATCATAAATGTATTATTTAAATTGATTTTAAATTTAAATTGATCTCTTTCAGAATCTAATGAACATTCAAAATCTGCATTAACAATATAAATAGTTCTCCAAGAATCAACAGTGAATTTAATTTCCAAAGATTTTTCAAATGAGATATTTTGAACTTGAATCATACCAATTATTGAATCTTTTTCAACATATAATGAAGATAATTTAACTATAGCATGTTTATCAGTTGATCTCCACAGACTAAAATTTAAAGGTTTATAAGACCATTTTGGTTTTGATCTATAATAAATAGCTTCATCCAATTCATCATCACTTGAATCACTTGAAGAAGTTTCATCAACATCATAATCCCATGAATTACGTTTATTGAAAAACATATCATCTTTTAAATCAAAATAAGCTCTTGATTGACCAAGCATTTGATCATCATAACAAGGAGGTGATTGATCTGGTGAATTTTCTAATGAAATTGAACTTGGTTTTTGAGAACCATCAAAAGTTTTAATACGTTCTAAATCCGAAGAGAAACGAACATTTTTAGTTGATGGTAAAGATTTTGATCTTTTCAATGAAGGTAATTTTAATGAAGATTTTAATGATCTTGGGATTGAAGATAATGGAGCTGAAATTATTGATTCATCTTCAGTTACATCTTGATCAATTGAACTATGAGATTTTTCAATAATTGGTGCATGAGCAACATTTGTTTCAGCTTGTTCATTTAAATTTTGTAAATTTATAGTGGAACTTGTTGAATTTGATAATTTTTGAACAATAGTAGCAATAGAAGAATCAGAACCATTATAATATTTGTAGAAATCATCATCATTATTGTTATTACCTTGTGATCTTTGATCTTGATCATCTAAAGAATCCACAGAGTATAAAGAAGTTGAAGAAGATGAAGAATTTGATAATTCTGGTGGAGCGGTAGTATAATTGTTATTATTCAAATCAAATTGAATATTTAAATCACGTCCATGATGATTTTGTGACAAGTTATTCAACAACAGTAATTTTTCTCTAGTCAACGCGTGAGAATTGTCTTTGAATTGATTTACATTTTGATCTTCAACTTGATGATATTGTACTGAACCAGCAGCATTTGCAGTCACCATGATCCTTGATGATCCCAACTATGATATGAATAAAATATGAAATGGATCAAATGAACCTTTTAATATATAAAATATAATGGAAAACTTTTCAGCAATTATAAGGGCAAAAAAAGATCTTCTTTATAAGCAACAGCGGCAAGCGGGAAACGATGATCTTTTTTTTGTGTATTCGATGAGAGATAAGACAGTCTTTAGTGCTGAAGATGGAAAGGATATTGGTAAAAAGACAGCCCCTCTGAATCTTTACTCTTTGAATGTGTGTTTTTGCTCTTTTGTTCTAGTTGAAGTTGAAGTTGATGTTGGTAAAAAGTATACTTTTTAAGGATTTCAAATGGGTTTTATAAAAATCACAGGCGCTTAAAAAATTTATTATACGGTTGTTTCTTTTCGCATGGAAATTTAAAGTTTGTGATTTAAACTTACACAACAAAAATAATTTTAATGAAGTGCGTGGAAATGGGTTTTCAAGGCTGTTTGGGTGACAACAACTCAAACAAATAAAACTTTATAATCAGATGATGCTAAGATATAGTGTGTATTAGTGAAGTAGTATAGTGTTATATATGGCATGTTGTTGGCTATTGCGGATGGTTATGGTGTGTTTATTCTTCCAGTACTGGTTTTAGTGTGAAAAATCTGACGCTTAGTTTGCTATTTTGTGAAACATGAATCACCCCAAACTCGCCCTGTCTGGAGGGCAGCTCTTTGCACGCTCTTTGCACGCTTTGCAAGGAGAAGTGTACACCCGCAGCTGTCGGAGTCTGGAGGACCTTCGCTAACTTTGGGGAGCGTAGACAGAAACTTTGAAAGGGACGTCTGTTCAAACTTCAGTACTGTTCACTGCCCAGGGTCAGGCCCAGAGGTGGCTAATATGCAATTGAATGTCTGATTATTGACAACATCATAAGCATTACAACTTAAAGATACAACCATAGAACTTGAAAGGAGTGAATATAATAGAGCATTAGTGACTTAGGTTATAGATCAGATTATCATGGTTAATGGGGATGATGGACCCCGAGTACCTTGTGCATTAAATCTGGGAAGTTACCAGCCTTAATTGAATCATCTAAAAGTGGTGAAGTTAACATTGTATAGTACCAAATTAAGTTAACAAGCGATGTAAAGTTTGTTAAATTACATGAAAACATGGGGGAATCATAGAAGTAGACAACTCTAACCTTGTTTTGATCTGGAGATAGAATCAACTTAGTATTAATGATAATTTGATATAATAATATGTTAGTCAAACACTGTACGTTAACTAATACTTGTACCTTCATATGACTACATTTGAATCACCCCCATGAAAAAGTTATTGTCTTTCGACTTTCGTATAAAGCAGTCATAATTCAACATGCACAGTAAGCATCATGTCAAGATGGAAATCAATGGTCCATAGAAAACTTTTAAACCACACCCACACTTGACATGTTTCAACTTAACAACCAGTCTAATTAGTTATCTTGACGTATACACTGATAACAAGTGTAAATCATGTCTAGACTTACAAGATATGTATCTAACTTTTTTAAAACAATAGGCTAATCAATACCTTTTAAAGACGTATTTAAATGTATCCCCTCATGGTTATTCAACTCAACAATTTCATATACTAAACCGCGTTCAAGGTTCAACGTAGCTTCCACTAATCAGTCACTAGACCTATACGTAACCTTGCTAATTAAACAACCAATACAACCACAAAGTTTCATGATCAACATACTTTTTTACAATTACATTAAACAATACAACCAATCATGTAATTAAAGATCATACAACCATTAAAATTTTTTCATCTTGTGCTTTAAACTTTTTTGTTAAACTACGCTTAAAATACTTTATTGGCAATGAAAACAAAAATTATTCTAAAAATTTCCTAATTCATTGCAAATCTTTAAAAAATTATGCATAATAAATTTTTACGCGTTGATTCAATTCGGTCCGGACAGCGATGTGTCTAAAACAAGGAATTGTTTTTACGAAAAGGTACGAAATATTTGTTACGGGCAGTTTTATAATAGATAAATTTATAATTACGTACTATACAATTTATTTTGTTGATTCTTTTAATGAAACAATTCTATTCAAGATAATTGAATCATCTGATGAATCTTTATCTAATGCAAAATAACCAACTCTTAAAGCTTGGAATCTAACAATTTCTGGTCCACTTGTTTTTGGATCTTCAATAACATTAAATTCTTTTGGAATTGAATTTTCTTCATCAATTGACCATGGTGATTCTTTTAAAACTTGTTTAAAAGCAGGTTCAACAATTGAATTATGGAAAATTTCTTCACTATCTGGATTAATATCTTTGAGGAATCCTTCTGGATGTGCTGATGGATTTTCACTATTAAATAATTGATTATAAACTCTTGTTTCTTTAATCTTGATTGGTGAATTATGTTTAGAAGATTTTGGAATCCATTGAATATAAGTTTTTGGTTTTTTAACAATTTCATTATCATAATTAACATGAATTTTAGTAATTTTACCATTTGAATCACGTTCTAAAGATTTAAAACTAACATTATATGGAATTTTCAATAAACCCACTGGTTGATTTGGTTTTAATCTGAAAAATTCTTTATCAAGATCATCTTCACTAAAATCATTTGAATCAATATAGAAATTTTTAGTAAATGTTAATTTTCTTGAACCAAATTTATCATTACCAGGTTTATATGGAATTTCAACTTCTAATTCAAAATCATCATCAACATTATCAATTTCAATTTCAATTGGATTTAAAATTAACATTAATCTTGGTACTGTATCTTCCAAGAATTTTCTAATTGAACTTTCAAATCTACCAACTTGAATATTTGTTGTACTTGTAGTAACACCTAAAGTATTAATAAAAGTTAAAATTGCACCTGGTGGAACACCACGACGTTTTATAGCTTCCAATGTAAATAATCTTGGATCATCCCAACCACGAACATAATTTTCATTAACTAATTTAGCAATTTTTCTCTTGGATAAAACTGTACCTGTAATATTTAATCTACCATATTCTCTTTGTGCAGGTCTATAAACATGTAATGCATCACATAACCATTCATAAGATTCTCTTGAAAGATAAAATTCAGTTGTACATAAAGAATGTGTAATATTTTCAAATGAATCAACCAAACAGTGTGTAAAATCATAAGTTGGATAAATTTTCCATTTATCACCAGTTCTTGGATGTGAAGCATTCAAGACTCTATAAGCAATAAGATCCCACATTTGAGGATTTGGTGATGATAAATCTTGTTTCATTCTTAAAGTTGCTTCACCAGGTTTATAAAACCCATCTCTCATTTTTCTAAATTCTTTTAAACTTTCTTCAATTGGTCTATTACGATCTTTTGATGGAATTCTTTCACCACCTGGTGTACCATCTTCTTTAATACCTCTACTTCTTTTAATTTCTTCTGCAGTATCATGACAAACATAAGCTAAATCATTTTTAATTAAATTTTCAGCAAGTTGATATAATTCATCAAAATAATCACTTGAATATGTGATTTTAAAAGGTTCAAAACCTAACCAATTAACCATTTTCAAGATACTCTTAAAATAAACATCTTCTTCAGCTTCTGGATTTGTATCATCATATCTTAAATAACAAACACCATTATTATGTTTTGCAAAACCAAAATTAACTAAAATTGCTTTGGAATGTCCAATATGTAAAAATCCATTTGGTTCAGGTGGGAATCTTGTATGAACTTGATTTTTAACTTGTTTTAAATGTTCAACCATTAATTCTGGATATTTTTGAGGATTTTCACCAACTTTATGTAAATCACCAAGGAAACCTTCTGTAAACATTGATCTTTGATTTTCTTGAGATTTTTTATCATCACTCTTATTTGGTTTAGTTGTAGATGCTGCTGGTTTTTTAGATTTTTTTTCCTTCTTGATAACATCACGTTCATCTTTTGGACCTAATAATTTTGATAATTCTTCATCAATTATTGGTTTAAATGAACCAGGATTTGCCCATTTTAATTCAGGAATTGTACGAACATTAGCCAAAATTTTTGGTAAATATTGATATCTTTTCTCTTCAATTTCATTTTTATTATTTTGAATATAATTTTGAATTTGTGATTTAACTTGATCTTCAGTAACAATAATACCAACACCACTAACTTCATCTAATTTTGCCTTTGTAGCGTTATCACCATTTGCCTTAACATATTTAAAAGCTTCATCTAATTGTTGATTTGATTTTAAATCATCATTCAAGATGGATTCAGTAATTAATTGACGATTAACAATAGTTTCACCTTTGGATAAAATAGCTAATTGATGTAATAATAATCTTTTAGTCTTATCTAATGGGAAGGTAATTTTGGATGAAGATTCAGATAAAATAGAATCAAATGATGCTAAAACTTTCTTGTTTTTCAAGATTTCCTTGATCTTGACTTCTTCAAGACCAAGCTTGTTGAATTTCTCAGTTAATTCTTCAGTTGATGACATGATTGAACACTGATTATGAACTTTTCGAAACTGTTTATTTGATGACATGAAATCAACATTTTTTTTTTTGACTTTTCCACCAAAGCAAAAAAGCTTCTAGTAAAAAAATACTAGTGACACGATAAATTACATACTTTAAAATGACAGTCATCAGAATACGCGAATTTATTGAATTTAATTTAAAAAGTAAACAACACGAAATTAAATCAACTTCAAAATCAAATTCAAATCAAATCAGTTCAAAGAGACCACAAGATGACTGCTCAAATGGTTCAGGAGTGCACTGAGATCTTACACGGACTAGCTGGTCTTTGTGCAAAGGGGAAACTCAACGAGTTCTCTAAAGTGTAAATTGAGATACCTTGATTTTTTTATTGATGTTATGATACTTGAAATTAAGCGCTCAGAGTTTTAACTAACAATTTCCAAAAGTTTAACTATTGATAAAAGGAAAAAATTCATGGAATTCATAAGTGATTATCAGAATGAAGTTGATGATGATTTTAAAGATGCTTATTGGGAATTTCTTGATTCAATTCATAATAAGATTAACCCTAAAACATTTGAAATTATCTTAAGAATTGGTGTTAATTTTATGGATGATGATTCATTTTGGTTTCAATTGATTAATATCTTGGATTATGGTGATATTTTTGATCAACAAGAAGTTTCAATTGTATTAATTGATCAAGTTTTAAAACAAGATGAAAATAGTTGGAAGGCAACTTGTTTATTATGTATCTTAATTCAAGATTATCCAAATATGAAAAATCTTTGTTCAAAACATTTAACTAAAATTCATGAAGATATTTCTGCAATTTTCATGAATGTTAATGATTTTACAAATGCTTCATATTTAGTTGAATTAATTTCTCAATTAGAAAGTAAACCTTTAATTTTATTGATTTTTAAAGATTTACCAAATTTATGTGATACTTTCCCCCTGGAACCTTGTTATGCAAATGATCAAGAATGTTTTAAATTTTTGAAACAATTGGAGTTCAATGATTCCATCTTCAACTATTCATCTTGTAAAATTGGTGACAATTTAAACTCAGGTGAAAGTCATTGTCAAATTACTTCAAAATATTTAATTGCTCTCTTGGATAATAATGATTTTGCATCACCTATTCAATTTGATTTACAAAATATTAAGAATGTTAAACAAAATGGTAAAAAAATCATTTTCAATTTATCTCAACTTGTTAAAAAGGCACTAATTAATATTGATATTTCACAATTTGCCTCTGTACACTTTGAATTTAATACTAAAAAACAAAGTAATGAATTTTTCCAAAAATTAAATCATACAATTTCTAAAAATGTTGCAATTACCCCAAGAAAAATTAGTGTTGTTCAAAATTTTATTGCATTAACTGGTGGATTTGGTGATGCTGAAAATGAAAGTGATAATAATGAAGGTGGTTCAGAATATAATGATGAAAATGAACAGCCAGGTGCTAATCCAATTGATAAGAATGATAATGCAAACAATACTTCAAATTCAAATTCTGTTAATATTGATGAAACAGAATCAATTTTTGGTTCACCAATCAATACTACAAAAGATACAAGTATTATGAAAAAGGGTAGAGCTGTTTCAATGATTATAGCTGAAACTAAAGACGGCGATGATGTCGGATCCAAGAAGAACAAAAATCCATTAGCATTTTTAGAAACTCCAAACCAAAGTGAAGGTGAAGATGATGATGATGAGAATTATGAACAAGTACCAGATAGTTTAGATGAAGCTTTTAAAGAATTTCAAAATCCACCTATCAATAGAGGTCCATCAGATGTTATTATTGAAAGTGATCCAAAAGCTACAACGGTAAATGAACCTCTGGCAACAAAATCATCTAAAAAAATTGTAAACAGAGGTAAAAGTGATATTTGGGATTTTGATTCTGATCCGTTAGAACCAGATCAACCAATTGTGAATCCTAAAGCTACAAGTACAGTTAATAATGCCAAATATAGATCAAAAGCTATGAAATGTTTAACCAAAAATATGAATACTGTTGAAAAAAGAGGTCCTGGTCGTCCTTCTGCTGCTGGTAAAACATCTACTACTAAAAAGAATGATAATAATAAGAAAAATCAAACCATTGCTAAATCAAAAGTTAATTCTAAACTTCAAGAATCTCATAAACCTCAAAATATGAATACTTCAAGGTTTGAACATTCCTCAATTGACGTTACTGATCAAAATAATGATTCTTTCCAACCATTAACTTCACCTCTGGTTGGTGCTCATGAACGTGCTAGAACTAGAGCTTATTCAAGAGCTCAATCTATTCAACAAGATTCTCCTACTAAAAAGAATGATGCTGGATCAAAGAAGAGAAAAACTGGTAAAGATGATGATACTTACCATGATGGTGAAGATGAAGATGATGAAGAAGAAGCTATTGTTCAACCATCAAGAAAAACTCGTAAGACTGTTGTTAATAAAAAACCCCAACAACCTGTCAAGGCAAGAAATACTAGAGGTAGAAAGAAGAAACAAGATATTGAAAATGAAGTTTCTGAAAAACAACAATCAGAACCAAGAAAATCTGTTCCACCAAATAAACAAGATAATTCAAGAAAAGTTTCAAATAATAAGACAACTTCTTCAAATAAGGAAAATGAAACTCTATCTACTAATGCTGAAATTAATAAAAAACAATCAAATGCTATTCTGGAAAGTACAAGATTATTTGAAAAACCACAAATTGCAAACCATTTACAAGCTCTGGCCTCTCAATTTCAACAACCAGCTCAACCAACTTTACCAAATTTCACAATTGGTCATGGTCCATCATCAACAATTGATGCAAATTCAATTTTATCAGAAGCATATACAAATACACTTCAACGTCAAATTTTTGAATCAATAAATTCATTTTCAAATCAATTAGTTAATAAAATTAGAATTATAAATGATGGTATTAATCAAAAATTTATGAATGATTTAACAACAAAATATGAAAATTTATTTAATGAATTAAGAGAAAGTTTCCAAAGTGATGTTGATGAAATGTGTGGATTTATTGCTGATGTTAAAGGTTTAGTTAATTTACCTGAAGAAGAATTGATTAAATATATTAAACAAAATAAGTTTGGTTCCAAAAATACACCAAATCCTTGATTAGCTGTGCGTGTTTAGCTAGGTATTTACTTTTATAATTGCAACTTGATTAATATGATGTTCTATAATTTTATAAGGCAGTACTGTAGACTACATTTGTGAATTATAACCAGCTAATAACGACACCAGACAAAATATCGTGTTATCAACTCATGGTTATATAAATCTCAGTACGACATCCTACACATATTTCGAAAGAAAATAATCTTATATTGAAAAGCTTGTATCATATATTAATTAACTTCCAAGTAATCATCTATCCTTTAATTAAAGACCAATGAATTAAACTTAAAAGTTGGTGATGATTATAATTGGTGATATTTCCTAGTAATGTAGTTGTGAATAAACATTTACTTTTACTAAGAAATTCTGCTGACTTTAATGCACATTACAAATCAACTGACATAACAAATGCTTATTTACACGCTAAGATGAACCATGCTAAATTAACTAGATATCAAACAATTAGTTCATGAATATAAAACAATAATATATCCACTTGATACAATTAGCCATGTCAAAGACGGATAATCCAACACTTGAAATCTTGCAATCAAAAAAGTCAAGAATTTATCAGACACCCAAAACATGTAAATTAATCATATAATCTGGAAAAAATAAAATTGATTACTTACCAATATACATTTCAGCATATCAAGTGAAACCAATAACAAGCTGTGGGTTACATGTTCATGTCCTTGAATATTAAAATACACCGCGAATTTATTTTACATAAAACCCATTACCGCGAATTTCTGATTTTGGTAATGCGCAACATCAAACTGGATTTTTTTTTTTTCGCCCATTCGCTTTTGGTGTTGGTTAAAAATTATTGAAAATCAGATTTTTCATTTTCTTTTCATCTTAAGTTAAAGAGGTTAGCAAAACAACAAATTATATCAAAATGGTAAGTGATATATGATCTAAAAAAGCTGTGGATATGAGAAATGAAGTCCATCAATGAATATGAATATGATTTTGAGATTATGGGACCATGTTGTTGGAGTTTAGTTGTTGTTTTGACTAGGTAGAATCAGTGGTAAAATTTGTTCATAAAGAATCAAGAAAGCTTTTACAGAAAATCAAAGAGATGATTTGGAGGGGAATAATGAGCTGTCAATGAGCTTTGTTTTAGATTTTGAAGGCCAAATATAAAGTGTTCTACGTTACTTTAAAAGTGAGATCCAATATCATTTTATATATATACCACAGCTTTCAATACAACCATGATCAATAAACTAACAAGTTATTAGGATACCAAAACCCCAGTTACCCTTGCTAGAGTTAAAAAAGTTTTAGGCCGTACCGGTTCTCGTGGTGGTGTTACCCAAGTTAGAGTTGAATTCATTGATGATTCATCAAGAACTATTGTCAGAAACGTTAAAGTAAGTTTTAAATCATAAAAATAAATATAACAAACATCTAGAAGAACATAATACTAACAATTGATTTCTCTTTAGGGTCCAGTCCGTGAAAACGATATCTTATCATTAATGGAATCAGAACGTGAAGCTAGACGTTTACGTTAAGGAAATTTACAACCAAAACTACAAAACAAACTTTCACATTTTTATTCATTGGCTCAGTCGCTACATAATTACTATCAGAAGTGATGATCTAAATGTACATTTGTCTTATTAGAATTAACCTCCACATTCATTTAATTGTAGTTTAATATTGTAGTGTAATATTGACATATATTTCCATATTCACGTGATCAAAAATCAGCAGTCACAGTGTCCCAATTTGGAGATTTGTCAAAACATCCATACACCACATCATTTAAAGAAACAGTCCAAATATTCTAAAGAGAAATCCACGTTGAAAAATGGCAGATTTTCACGAATTTCTGGCTGGGAAGTGTAATAGATTTAGGTTTTCATTGAATTTGAACTTGAATTATAGTAAAGGTATTTGAGTAATCTATACAATACAGAATAAATTATAATTAAAAATGGCTCAAAGAGTTACCTACAGAAGAAGAAACCCATACAACACCCGTTCTAACAAAATCAAAGTTGTTAAAACTCCAGGTGGTGTTTTACGTGCTCAACACGTTAAAAAATCAGGTACTAGACCAAAATGTGGTGATTGTGGTACTGCTTTACCAGGTATTTCAGCTTTACGTCCAAGAGAATATGCTCAAGTTTCTAAAACTCACAAAACTGTTTCAAGGGCTTATGGTGGTTCAAGATGTGCCAACTGTGTTAAAGAAAGAGTTGTTAGAGCTTTCTTAATTGAAGAACAAAAAATTGTCAAAAGAGTTTTAAAAGAACAATCTGAAAAAGAACAAAAAGCTGAAAAGAAAGCTTCAAAATCTAAGAAATAAATTCAATGAGTGTTAAAGTTGTCTAAAATTTTAAAGAAGAAAGTTGAAGAAATGATATTTTGATGATGATAATATAAATAGTAAAAGAAAGATGAAGTACCTTTTTCCAATGAATGAATGAAACATACATATACATAAATACCATACAAACGTCAAGGTTCATCTTTCACAAGATATCAAAATTGATAGTTTTCTAATTCATTAATGTTTTATTTTCTGTTTTCGTTTGGGTCTTTTTGCTTTTTTATATCGGGTTTTTAAATAGGTTGGTTTTTTAAAAGTAATGAGTTCATGTAATATATTTATACTTGTAAAACTTTTGAAGATATTGTAGATTACTATAGAAGCCATTTGTATAAGTAGATATCCTTGAACTACCGCAATGTTTCTAGTCTTCATATTGATGTTGACACTTCGGATATAAAATTAAATTCTTGATCTTGATCTGAACAATAAAGGTAAACAAACAATAGAAAACAACAGAAAGAGATGTCAGCGCTTCCCTCAATTTACTCAGATGAAGGACTCTCGAAGTCAGATCGAAGCAAAGTGCTCACGGTGGGTAAACCAAGAGCGGGAAGACCAATTGGTGCTGTGAAGCTAGAAGAAAGAGTTCATGATGCTGCTGTTGGGAATGTTGTACATCAACAAACACACAACTCTAAGAGTTCAGATACCAGCATTGATGATGATGGTGATATACCCATGCTTGGGATGGATGATGAAGAAGAGGTTCAACTAGTGGCTGACTATGTTATGGATAATAGACTGAACACAATTTCACGAGGTAGAGAATACCAGGAATCCATATTACCCACAGAATTAACATCAAATAACATAGATGATCAGGATCTAACGCCCAGAGAGAGACTTTCTAAAGATACGATCATGATAATTGATACAAACTTCATCATTTCGCATCTAGATATCATAGACGAACTAGCTAAACTTCATATCAAATATCATCACAAGATCATTATACCTTCAACAGTGATGTTGGAACTTGATGGATTGAAAAACTCTAAAAAGAAGACAGACGACACACTTGATGGTACAACTATAGGTCATTTAGCAAGATGGGCAAATGATTGGATATATAAAAAGCTTGCAGATTCAAGTTCGGCTGTTAGAGGTCAAAAACTGAAAGAGCATCTAGATAGAAATGCAATTAAAGATGATGCTATATTGGATTGTTGTTTATATTTTGAACAAAATTATGAAGCATTGGTAATATTATTATCAAATGATAAAAATCTTTGTATGAAAGCTTTAGCAAATGATATTAAAACAGTTTCATATAGGAAAAAAATGTCTGCTAATCTTATAGCTGAAAAATCATTTAATGAAAATGCTAATGGTTTACAACATGGAAATACAGAACCACTCATGAGAGCATCACCTTCACCACCACCGCCAGCTTTCAATCACAGTTATCAAGAAACAGCGGAATATATACCACCAATTTCTAATGGAAATAATCAATCTGAAATTCAGGAATCCGATCTAAGTGCTGATTATATTGAAACTGAAGAACAAGAACACTACTACAATAAGGGATACACAAATGACGAAGAAACAAGTGAACCTTCCAAACATGATCCACCTGCATCTTCTAATAATTCCAAAAGCCATTTAATAACGATACCTGATTTCTTTGATGCATCAAATTTAATACATAGGGAGGTTCAATTATTAGTCTTATCAGCTATAGATGACTGTATGTATGAAGAATATGAGGATGATGTTGAATTAGTTGGTTATGAAAAGTCAAATATCAAATCACTAAAGGATTGCTCATTAGTATTAATACAGTTCTGGATCTCTGTCTTCACAGAATACTTCAAAACTGGTCATTTTAAACCTTTCAATATGAGAGGGAAAAAATTCACACAATTCACTGATATTCCAAGATCTGAACAAGAACTAGATAAATTTATCAAATACTGGTCAAATGTATTAAGAGGTCTTTATGTTAAAAAAAATGAAGCAAAAAATTCAGATTTAGAGAAACTTATTGAGAGATGGGAGTATATAAGTGATCATTTATAGTTGGAATACATTGAATGAAAACAAAAATTACAATTTACATGAACTATATTAAAGCGACCGTTCATTTTCATCAATAGTTTTGGGTATATACACAAGAATGCTCTAACTTCAATCTTCACTTTGAAATTGCTTTTGAGCTTTTATTGGAGAAAACTCAGTTTGACTTACTTTTCTTTTCCGTCCAATCATACCAAAATGTCTTTTTGGTTTTGGTTTCGCTTTGTCATTTGGGGTATTTGATGATTCTCTAGATTGAGATTGAGATTGGGTATTAGGTTCTGAAGATTTTTCTCTTGAAGGTGATCCTTTAGTTGGACTTGGAGTTGAAGGGTCATTTTGTTTATTTAAGGATGTTTTCTTTGGTGATGATTCTCTCGATGATTCACTTTCAGTATCTGTATCTCGAGATTTCTCTTCTTTTTTAGAATTTTTGGCTTTTTGATCATCAATGTTTAGAGAATCGAATCTTTGACTTTCATCATCTGTATCATCATCAACTTGAACAAAATCATCTTCACCTGGGTTTTCTTCAAAACTATCAGTTATTGGTTTTCTTTCCTTTGTTTCTAATGTTTGTTTAGGTGGTTGATCTTGGAAATTTGTGCTGTAATCCCATGTTGAATTAGATGTATTTGAATCCAATACATTCCAGATATATTGATCTTCAATTTGGGGTAGTTTTTTTTCTCTCCATAAATTATCAAATTTTTCTTTCTTGAAGGAATGAAGTGATTGAGCGTTTGATGAATTCTTTGGAGCCCATCTTGAAACCAAATGACCACCATTCATACCTTCAATAGATTCACCTAAAAATCTTATTGCACTATCTTTATGTTCAACAACTTTTATTAAATCATTCTTATATTCATTCAATGAAAATATTATAGTTGATAAATGGAATATAAGATTTCTTAATATTGTAATTGCACTTGAATCAGGTAATATCACAAGATCAAAATTCCAATTCAATTCAGCATTGCTATATACTTTCACTAAATTTAACCTTAGCTCCAGTGGTATCCCTTTATCAATTTTCATTTCATTCATATCTACTCTAGTTTCAACATCTTCACTATTAAAATTATTTTCAAATGTAGAAATCAATGTATGATAAACACCATTTATAGATTCCGTCTCAATACCATTTTGAATAGCTTTAAAGTGTAATTTTTCTTCATCAACATCACTTATCCAAACATTTGAAAAATCAGTAATATAAAGACTATAATGAATCTTTTCTGTTGAGAAATCAACACCATAATAATATTTCTTTGGTGAATCTATATTCAACACATTCCATTTCCTAGGTAGATTCATTTTGTTCTTTGATCTATAATCTCTCTATGATATCAGTATATTCTTCTATTGCGTAAACGTCACCAGCCTTCTAATTGCAAATGTAGCGTTCTTGTTATAAGCAGCCAGCATATAGATCATGAATGTGAAAAAATTAGGGAAAATTCTTGATCTCTAATTCATGGATATTCTCATGAAGTTTGAAACTTTTGAAAGGCTGGTTGGCTGGTTCTTCTGATGGCTGGTTCTTACCATTACTGAAAAAACGCGGGTTGAATGACACTGTTTTTTGTGGCAGAATTGTAAGTGGTATGGGCAGCATTTATTTTGACACATAAGTATTAATAGAACTACGAATACTATTTAGAGATTAATAGTCAAATTACAAAAAATCCTTTTAAATTTATGATCACAAATCTTTATTTTTTTCTCAACTATTTGAATTTAATCAACTTTTAACGATTATATCAATCATGTTTCTTTTCAGATAAATCATCCATTTCAAAACTTTCAACTTCTTGTTCTCTTCTAGCAAAACTTGAATTTCTTTGATTTAAAACAGGTTGTTGTGGTTCATCTAATAAAACATTTCTCAACATTTGTTTACCATGGCTTAAAAACATTTCAAAAGCGGTATTAACAGGTCCCCATAAATTCATTGAATGTATGAAAACAACACCTGTACCGATTAATAAAACTAAGACTAACAATAATGGATTTCTTAAAATTGCCATGAATTCATTCCATCCCAAAATGATTAATAATGCATACATAAATGGTGGAATTCTAGAGATATTTGAAATAATTGAACGATTTGCATCTCTATAGCTAATTTCAGCTAATTTTAAAAATTGTTTCTTAATTTTAGATTGTTGTGTAGCTGATAAGATATGAGCAAATGAATGAGGATCTTCTTCGTCATCATCATCATCTTCTTCTTCAATAGAGGTTGTAAATGGTGGTAAAATTTCTGTTCCATTTGATAATTTGGCAATTGAAAATAATGGCAATGAACCTAAGGAGAATTCAGTTGCTTCACTATATGCAATTGAAATTTCTGATTCTGTTTTCCAAGTTCTTGGGATACCTTCTTTATCATATGAGAAAACATCTTCAAATTGACGTCTTAAGATGTTTACCACGTTATCTTCATTTAAATAATCATGAATGAAAAGATCAAATGAAATCCATGCTGATTTTTCAATTTTATTTTTTATTTCTTTATTTATTGATTCATCTGATACAATTTTGAAATCATATCCACCTTCATCGTCTTTATATTTAGAAAGTGTTGAATTTAAACTTGTTTGGAAATTTTCCAAAATTCTATCCCACATATTTTCATCTGGTGTACTTAAAGATTCTAAAGTTTTATTTTTAATTAATGGGTTTATTTTTTTATTTAATTTATTGATTAAATTTTCAATTTCATTTTCACGAACTTTAATTAATTGATCATCTAATTCTTGTGAAAATTCTTCAAGATCAATTTGATAATCAAATGCTTCTGGATCAATATTTTTCAAATGTTCTAATTCACTTGTGAAATTTGTTAATGCAATTGATCTTGCTTGAATAGATTTTTCAGCAAATGATAATTTTTTTGTTGATTTATCATTAAAAGATTTTGTGAAAATTTCTAATTGTGATTTTTTCAAAAATTTAATATAATCAACAAGAGTACCTCGTAGCTTTAAATTAATATCTGATTTTAAATTACTTCTCTTTGATTCATAAACTGCCTTATTATAATGTGAAGCTTGTGAATCAAAACTTTCTAAAGCTAATGAAGATAATGTTAAGAATTCTTTTGAAAGATCTAAACCTGTAATCTTGGCAAATTCTAAGATTGTAATAACTTCATTAAATTTTGAATCAAATAATTCTAATGATTCTTTCATAATTTCATCACATCTAAATCTTGCAACAAGGATTTGTTGAGTTGGTAAATCAAGATCTTTATTTGATTGAATTTGATCCCAACATCTTTCAGCATAAACAGTCCAGCCATCAATTGGGAAATTTTGTTTATAATCAGTTTTGAAAAAATAATCATCTCTCTTGGAATCAGAAAAACGATCACCTAATTCAACAACATCTGAATGAAATTTTTCAGGTTGTAAAACTTTATGAGCTAAAGCAGTAAATTCCAAATCAAAATAATCTGAAAGTTTTGCATTTGGATCAACATTACTTGGTTTATTAATCCCATCCCACATTTTTTCTAAATCAGTTGTTAAAGTTGAAGATAAATTTGATAATGGAGTTGAACCAACATGATCTCTAATAACAAATAATAACAAGACTTTATGATCTTTATTACCAAACAATGAAAGATTAACTTCGAAAACAGTTTTCAATAATCCCATATTTGCACCTTGATATAAACCAACTTGATGTTCCCAAATGTTTACAATCAAGACTTCAGAAGTTGAAAGGGCAAATAATGCAGCTTTACGCTCAAAATCTTGATCTTCACCTCTTTCTCTACCATCAGAACCTTCAACATCCATAACAAAGATTTTCTCTTGATGTAATTTTTCAACTGATTCTTTTTTACTTGATTCAATTTCTGGTGAATAACCTAACCAAATACCTTTTGTTGTTTGTTGTCTTTTAGCTTCATTCATAACATCGAATTGAGTATGGAATAACTCGTTTAAAAGTGTAGATTTCCCTGTGGATTGGGATCCAAACACTGAGATGACATGATAATCTAGACCAAGATCTTTTGGTAAGACTGTTTTCAAATATTTTTTGATTTGATTGTTTCTGGTATTAATTAGTATAACGAGATCTAAGTATATAACATTCAGCTAATAACACTCACTGGAATGTCTTGTCCTCATCGATGACCTGGACAGAGACATTTGAGACGACGGAATCAGCCATTGTTGTTATCTTCTTGGTGATTGTCTTGATGGTCTCGTTGATGTTCTTGTTGATGTTCTTGTTGTTGGTTATCTGTTCGTTCAAGTCTGTCCAGCAATTCCAATATTCGCGCGTTTCTGTGAGCATTTTCAACAAAACAATCAAAAATCAAAATTATAAAAGAACGAAAACATCACCAGTTAATTAGCCGCCATCAAATAAAAGATTCAAAACAAGCACAGAATGTCCGACGTCGCAATCACCATCAAGAATCCAAAACTTCAGAGAACTTTGCAAAGATTCAAAGCGAAGATCGCAGAAGGAGACTACTACGAAGCTCATCAAACATTGAGAACAATTGCCAATAGAAACGTCAAGGCTAAAGCTTATACCGATGCCATTGAACTCTTATACATTGCTGCTCAAATCTTACTAAAATCAAGTCAACCAGCTACTGGTTCAGACTTAACATCTTATTTGTTGGAAGTATATACAGAATCACAAACACCAGTGGATTCAAATTCAAAATCTAAAATTATTCAATTGATTTCATTATTTCCTTCTCAAGAACCAACATTGAAACAAGTTAGTATCGAAGCTAGTAATTGGTCAATCAAGTTTGGTGAATATCCATTTGGTGATCCTTTCCTACATGATGTTATTGGTGCTAAATTTCTAGAGAATCCTTCAGATTTGGCCTATGATGCTGAAAGACATTTATTATTAGGGACAAGTGCAAGTGTTACTTTATATTTCAATTTGATATGGGAATGGTATTTAGAAGATCCAAGTTTGGAAAATGCTGGATTATATGCTTCTAGAATTGTATTGAATTATTTGTTTATTGAAAATGTTAAAATTGCTAAAGAAGCATTAACAAAATTCATTAATAATTTAATCAATCATGGTAAATTACAACATGAATCAATTGAAGAATTAAATGAAAAATTTCATATTTTTGAATCAGTACCACTATTAAACTTATTACAATTGACTTTAATAACTATTCAAACTAAAAATTCTCAATATTATTCAAAATTGAAAAATCATTATAATCAAGTGATAACTCAATCAGGATTAAATGATTCTTTTGATTATTTAGGTGAATTATACTTGGATATAAGGGTTCCAAAAAATATAAATCCATTACAAAGTTTAATGAGCAGTTTCCTTGGTGGTGGTGGTATATAAATTTAGTATCTAAAGAATTCTAAAAAAAACAATTAATATACAATATAAAAGAAAATAAAACACTCAATTTTTAAGTATACTTGATCTTTCAACGGCTTCTTTCAATTCCAATCTTTTCGCATTAATCAACTCTTCAATAGCTTCATGATAACTTACCCATTTTCTTGATCTTTTATTAGATTCAGGAAATTCATCATATTCTTTCTCCACAACCATTTCAAAAAAATGAAATTCAGAACGTGGTGGATGTTTTAATATTTCTTGATTTAAGAATTCATCTTTATTTGTATTCCATTCCTTTGGTGGTCTAAGATCATCAATCATACCTAAAGATCGTATTATTTTACCAGTTACTCCAGCTTCTTCCCAAGTTTCTCTAATTGCTGAATCTACATATTCAGCTTCATCCATTTCAACACCACCTTTGGGAAGAACCCATCTCTTTTTTTGCCCAGTAGAACTAATCAATAATACTTTTGAATGATCCTGGTTCAATACAACACATCCAGCGACTATTCTTGCACCAGTTTCTGGATTATAACCTTTTAAAAGTTAGAATTTAAAGAAATTTTTTTGACATTAAATTTATAAATCTTACATTGATTCTCACGACCAACTCGTGATTCTGTGGTTCTAACAAAACTCATATCCTAAGCTATAACTCTGAGTAAAAGATTCCAATCAAAAGAAGATTCTTTCTAAAAGACCATCTCATGATTATCTCTTCATTAAATTTGATTCAACTTTGTGTTTCGTTTCTGGTTTCTCGAGAGTCGAGAGTCATCATCAGGTTGAGAAATTCGCGGGTAATGCTGTTCTTACCGGAAAGTTATAGAGGGTATAAGTAAAATTTGTATTGGATTATTGAAGTAAATTTAACGGAAACCAATTAAAGAAAGAGAAAAGGATATGGACTCATTACCAATTGGATTCGGTGAAGGAAATACTGCTGGTGCTCAAAATCATGATATTTATTCCAGGTACTTAAGACCCGTTCAACCAAAAGAAAGTGATGAATCTGAGTCTGATAATAGTGACAGTGATGATAGTGATAGTGATGATGATAAAGAACAATTCCCAATAACCCATTCTTTCCAATTAGACCCTCACACCAGACGTATCGAATCAACTACATTCTCTCCTCATGGTGATAAATTATATTCTTCATCAAATGATTTAAACTTAAACATTTATGACTTTAATCAAATGAATCCAATCTCTTCAAACCCTGTTAAATCATTAGAAATTTATGAGACTAAATTCATTAAAATTTTAAAAACAAATTCAAGAGGTGATTTATTAGCAATTCCTAATTCTGGTTTTTCATTTAGAGCTCTTGACTCAAAGGGTTCAACCATACATGAATTCCCAGAAGGTGATCGTTATATATATGATGTTACCAAGACAAAAGGACATACAGATATAATTACAGATTGTTCATGGTCTCCCACAAATCCTGATAAATTTATAACATGTTCGAATGATTCTACATTCAGGATATGGAATTTGAAAACTAAGCAACAAGAATCAGTTGTTTTCATTAAAGATAAAGGTAAGAAAACTAAAGTTAAATTTATTAGATATACAATTGATTCTAAATATATTATTGTCATTGATAATGATTCAAGATTGACTATTTGGGACTTAGCTACAAATTTGAAAAGACCTATGAAAGAAATTCAACTCAATAGTAAAATCATGGCCATTGAAACTTCAACTACTGATGAAAATTCAATAGTAGTAAGAAGTTCTGATTATTCATTAAAATTATATGACCTAAGAACTGATTTATCAAGACCAGTTATTCAAAGACTTAATTTCAAAACTATGGATACCCCTTATACAAATCAATTAATTTATCATGATCAATTTATAATAACTTTTATCAATAATGAACAAGATTTGGGGAAAAATGAATTACATATATTGGATAAATCTGATTTAGTAACATTAGAAAAATTATCATATGATGAAGAAATTACAAGTATTTCATGGAAAGAGGAGATTAATCAAATAATTGTTGGTTTTAAATCTGGGAAATTAGAAATTTTATTTAATCCACAAGTTTCTAAAAATGGGATTAAAATTTCAATTAATAATAAACCTAAGAAGAGGAAAAATTTTGATGAAAATGATAATTTTATAACTTCTTCAACTTCAAATATTGCTTATAATATGAATGAATTAGCTGAATTAAACAAATCCAAAAAATCAAAAACAAATGATAATGATGAACCTAAAAAACAAAAATTTATTTGGGGTACTACAGATGCTGAAAAAATTGAAAATAATATTAATTTAGAAGATCCAAGAGAAGCTTTGAAAAAATTTGTTGAATCTAAAAAATGATCTAACTATTAATATTTAATATTTCTTTTTTGATTTAAAATTGCATATGCTGCTGCTACTTGCTCTGAATATTCCCAATTTTTAAGATCACATGGATCTTTTGGTCTATCAGATTCTGGATCATTTTGATATCTAGTATCTTTATAATAAATTCTTTGTGATAATCTATCATAATAAACCATCAATGGTAATTTGTTTCTATATGTTTGAGATTTATTTACTTCTTCAAACATGGGTATCCAATCTGATAAAGTTTCTCTTGTAATGGTATCAAAAAATAACATTCTTAATTTGGGGAAGTTGAAAGGAAAGAGATGACTAGTTCTACTTAAAATTAAATTCATATCAATACCAGCAAATTCAACTTTAATTAATTCATGTCTATTTTTCAACATAAATTCATAGAAAATTTTACCAATATTTGATTTTGTTATGGAAGTGGTATCTTTACCTTTGATGTAATTTATCAAATTACCTATTCCTGATCTAATAACTGGTCTAATTATTAGATGTGATGCATGATTATTGAAAAGTTCATGATCTCCTAATTCTGGATGTCTATGTTGAACGTTATCAATTGCTGTTTTTTTAAAATCAAAATCTATAAATTGAAGATTTTTAACGTGTGATAAATTTTTCAATTGATCATCTTTTAATATTGGACCATCAATTTTAGATAAATGACGTTGAGTTAATTTGAAATATAATCTTAAGACTTGTAAATGTTCTGGTAAATGACATAAAGATTGAAATAACAATTGATGTTCATCAGATTCAATTGTTAATACAACAAGATTTCTCATTTTTGGTAAAAGTTTTAAAAATAGTTTACTATTTATTGATAATAAATTATTTTCTGATCTAATATTGGTATGTGATAAAGTTGATTTCATTGTTAAGACAGTTATTTGGGTTGCGACATTAGATTGATTTCTATCAATAAAATCAAGAGTTTTATATGCACTTAACCCACCATCTTTGAAAAGTCTTAAATCATTATTTATAGAAACAACTTTTGTCATATAAATCAAATAAGCAAATGTTTCATAAATTTCACGACAACATGTTACAATTGGAATAATTGAACTTTTGGATAAATAAACATGATAAATAATCATTTTTAAGATTTCTGGTGGAAGACCAAGAAAATTGATTTGATTTTCTGGTGGTGGTGTTGGTAATGATGACGATGATGATGATGATGTTACTCTTGGTGATGTTATTGATGAAAATGGTAATCTCCTTTCAGTTGATTGATCCGTTATTGGTGATGTAGAACTGGATGATTCTTGTTCTTCACTAGAGGAATTAATAATTGATGGTGTTTTATCAGAAACTTTAACTGATTTGAATCTATTCTTGAGTGATTTCTGTTTAGATCTAAGGAATAATGCTGGTAATGATTGAAATTGTATAGAACCACTGTCTTGATTACTATTGGAGCTCTCATTGTTGTTGTTTGTTTCTAATATTGATGATGTTGATTCCACAGTTCCACTTTCCATTGTTCAATTCAATGGAAACTCAAATTTCCTGTCAATTAACTTTATTGAAATGTTTCATACGATCATTTGAATCATTTATTGTCACAGCGGCTGTTGTTTTGCAAGTGTTGATGTTTTGTGTCTTTTATTTAATGGATATTTTTATGCTTTTGTGGTTTGAAATCAAACTAAAATCACAGCGGTAAAGAACTTAAGCGCTACATTCAAAGAAACCTATTTCATAATAATCAACAGAGTCATAAATTAAAAGTAGAAATAAATACAGAATATTTAATATAATAATAGTGATACTTTTGTAGATAAAATAGATAATATTGGTTCAATAAATTACCAAAATGCGTCAGTTTTGTATGATTCATCTTTAAATAAAAATGCTCCATTACTGGTTTCTAATTCCCATTCATATTCTGGTGCAAATTCAGCATGAACAGATTCTGGATCAGCAATCATATGTGCAGTATAAGTAGCTTCTTCTTCATCAATCAAGATTTTAGTTTCTGGATGTTGATCAGCAATCATTTGAACTTGACAAGTTCTTTCCATTAAACCAAATAAATAAGCAGCTTCATCCACAGTGGAACCTGTTGTTAATAACCCATGATTTTGTAAAATAATACATCTATTATCTCCCAAAGCTTTAGCCAATCTTTTACCTTCTTCATTTTCAAAAACAACACCACCAAATGTATTATAAACAGTATGTGATTTATAAAATAATGTAGAATCTTGATTCAACATTTCTAATGGTTTACCAAATGCACTATAAGCTTTACCATAAATAGAATGACTATGAACAGCAGCATTAACATCTGGTCTTGCTTGATGAATTTCTGAATGGATTTGGAAACCCGCTGCATTAACAACATGTTTATTACCACCAATAACTTCACCTTTTTCATTAATATGAACTAAATCTTTAGCTCTCATTAAACCAAAATGTCTACCTAATGGATTAATCCAAAAAGTATGTGGATCAACTGGATCTCTAACAGAAATATGACCTGAAGCACCTTCTTGATAATTAAATCTTGCTAAATATCTAAAAGCAGCAGCGGTATGTTCCAAAACCCATTTACGTTCTTCATATTTATCTTTAAATTCTGGTTTTCTATATGGATATGCTAAATCATCACCACCAAATGTTATGTTTGAAACACCTTCAGCAACTTGTTCAAAACCTTCATGGTGTTTACTTTCCACTTTCAGAGTTGAAGGAACTGATTCTGTAGTTTGTGTAGTTGTTGTTGACATTATATAACCTGTTATTTATTAATTGGATTCTCTAACTTGTATGATGATCTATACCAGTTCTCTAATTGGTCTTATATTTACAGAGTCATGTACCACCCCAGTTCTTTGGTTCAAAGTAGAATACCAGCTCTATATATATATGATTCCACAACACCAAATTTTTGATTGGATATGATAATGGAGATGAGATATTTACTGATCAATCACGCAAATAGTAAGTATATTCTTATCTTTAATGTGTGAATATCAAAGCATTTACACAGAAAGTTATGAAAAAGTGTCAAAATTTTGAAAACCACCGAAACTTTCCCCGAGATAAAGACTAGTCTTGATTATTAAGATAAGCAAATTTGAAACTTATACCGGGAGCCTGAAAAAGTCATTGTACAAGACTCTGAAATCGACTCTGTTATTGACGCCTGAATTGGGGAATACTTAACGTTATCTTATGATTAATTATGTCAATTTTAAAGACTTTGTATATCGAGATCTAGTCCATTACGAAAAACTAAGACTACGATATTTAATTAACGATTATTACCAAAAGCAATTTTATAACATGGATCATGAGAAGTTAGTGAATTGTAGTACTTATTAAGTGTAAGGTATTTGATGTTGGCGATTACCAATCCATTGAACCTAACATCTAAACCATTATTCCATAACATTCTGAATTTGGATACCTCTTTTGTAACTTATTCCATTGAACTATAAATCGATCACTAATCAAATAACATAACTTCCCACTAAGACTTAAATCATTAACTCTTGCTAAACTTTCAATATAAATTATCTTTGTTTTACCAATCCCAAGGAATTTTAAAAGAAAGAAATAATAACAAATTGGAACTGAAGTACCTGGTCCATTAACAATTAATACATCAGGTTTGATTTTTAATTTGGAGAATTGAATAAATGTAAATAATATACTTTTCACAGTTGATATTATAGATGATACAAAACCTTCACCAACTTTTCTTGCTCTTGGTAATTCTAAACTTTCAGTTTTTGTTTCAATATTTGTTTCATTTATAAATTTCTTTAAATGAATTAATGAAGTTGAATCTCCAGAACTTGTAATGAAATGTAAATTATGAACTTTTGGAATGGTATTAGATCCTGATAATATCCGTATCATTTCCCCCGTATGACCACCAGATCCTAATAACACCATAACATTCTTATCCTCAATGGATTTCAATGGTGATGTTTTAATTTGATGATGTTTTAATGAAGGTAATGCAAATATTAATCTAATACATAGCACAATTATTATAACCAGAAATGAACAAACCGCAACTTCAATTTCAAATTTTCCCATGTTGAACTGTATCAATTAATATCCCAGCTGAATAAAATTCAATACATTCTTTAAAAGAATTGTGATGAATATTGATTATTTCTGATGTCATGATCAAAATGTTTATTCATGATGGTTAAATTACGAGGTCGTGTCACATGAATTTCACGTGCATAAATTTATACCCCCTCGGATCTTAATTTCTACTTTTTTCTTAATGTTTACGTACACTGTTTAAGAATTTAAAATTTAATACTATGGAAACTTTGAAAGTGCTTATTTTATACCAGTTTCTTCTCTTTTTGAAGTCTTCTCTTTTGATATATTTTATTACACAATGATCAAATCTACTCTTATATTCAGAAATGATGGTGAGTATTGGAAGTTGCTGAGTTTCTTGATGAATTTTAGTGTTTTTTGATACACTGCATATGAACATCAAGATATTTTATACAATTTAGAAATCATATATTAACATAATACAATTAGGTCTTCCATTATCAGGATCTGTTGATGATGATAACGATCCAAGTTTAGCAGAACAAAAAAAGAAAGTCAAATTAATCATTTCAAGAATAACACCTAATTCTGAACCAAGAGCATCAATTGAAAGTGATAATTTTCAAATACATTATTTAATTAAAGATTCAATAATTTATTTTGTTATATGTGAAAAATCTTATCCAAGAAAATTAGCATTCTCTTACATTTCAGAAATTTCAAATGAATTTTCTCAATCTCATGGTTCTGATAGTTTAAGACCTGATACAAGACCTTATCAATATGTTTCATTTGATAATTATATGAAAAAAACTAAAAAAATTTATCAAGATCAAAGAGCTCAATCTAATTTAGATAAATTAAATAGTGATTTAGCTGATGTTAAAGCAGTTATGAGTAAAAATATTGAAGACTTATTATATCGTGGTGATTCATTAGATAAAATGTCTGAAGTTTCTTCATCAATTAGAATGGAATCTAAAAAATATAGAAAAGCTGCTCATAAAATAAATTTTGATTTATTAATACAACAATATGCTCCTATTGCTGGTGTTGGATTATTTATTGTATTTTTAATTTATTGGATCTTTATAAGAGGTTAGATATATAATGAAGGAAAAAGGAAAAATGAGCTAAAAAAAAACCACAAAAGGCTAGGTTGTTTATATATGAATGCCTTCGCACTAATAGAATAATAATGAAATGAATTGGAGAAGAATATTTAACGTTGTAGTCTACTTTTGGAAAGTTGTTGATGATTTTGAACCATCTGATCAGATCTGAAGAATTCGCGCATAGAACTAAAAAATCTTTATTGCTTCTCCATAATGAAATCTTTTTTTTTCTATGAAACCCCTTCTTTATCAATTCTTGTGATTCTTGTTAGATCAATTCAATTGAAATTCTTAATCATAGTCATATCATGTCATTAGATACTTTAATCCCAAAATTCCAATTCAAAAGAGTCTTGGTTTCAAACCCACAAACAAAATCAACAGCATTATTAGGTCAAATTGATTCAAAAGATGCAATTATAACTCTAGAAAAGACAAATTTTTTACTTGATGATGGAACTTCGACTGATAATATTCCATGTATAAATACTATAGAACAAATCGCAACAACAACACAAAATGACATTTATCATTGGGGGCTTTGTACTTTAAAACAAGATCTTGAAACTAATCCAACTTCAAAATTAAATTTAATTTGGCCTGCAACTGAAGTTCATATTAAGAAATATACTCAACAACAATATCATTTAATTGAAGAAACTCCTGAAGTTTATAACAACTATGTTGTTCCATATATTAAAACAATGACTGGTGATAGATTGAAATGGGTTGGAAATATCTTACATGAAGGTGCAGAAGCTGAAAAAATTGTTTATAATGATCTTGATAAAGAAAAAGGTTTTGTATTATTACCAGATATGAAATGGGATGGTTTAAGTCTTGATGCTTTATATCTAGTTGCAATTGTTTATCGTGAAGATATCAAATCACTTAGAGATTTAAATCCTTCACATAAAGAATGGTTACAAGATTTGAATTTAAAAATTAGAAAAGTTGTTGCATCAAGTTATAATGGACAAGTTTTACCAGATGAATTACGTTTATTCATTCATTATCAACCTTCATATTATCATTTCCATATTCATGTTGTTAATATTTTACATCCTGGATTAGGTGATGGTATTGCAGCTGGTAAAGCCATCTTGTTAGAAGATGTTATTGAACAATTAAATTATTTAGGTCCAAAAGGTTTCTCAAATAAAACTATTTCTTATGTTATTGGTGAAAATCATCCATTATGGGTTAATGGCTTGAAGAAAGTTCAATCTGATAGATTAAAAGAATTGGGATTACCAACCGAATTCCCAAAAGATGATATTGAAGAATTGAATGTCAAACAATGATTACAAATAACAATATATCTCATAACGAAAGCTTTTTAATGACCTTATAAATACAAAATTGTAGTATAAGTTCGGATAATTAATCGTTTGTATGAATCAAGAAAATCCGCGATATGTAATATTTGTTCCTTTTTCTTTGACATCACCATCATCGCACGAAAATTAAATTTTAGTGTGTACATTGACTGGATATTTTTGACTTGATCTTCACTTGATTTTAAATAACATTTATCACAATGACTATGGCTGAAAAGAGAAGAGTTGATCTTGGATTTGACGATGATTCTGATGAGAGTGGGTCTGAAGAAGTTTTAGTTCCTCGTAAGGTGCAAAAGAAGACAACACTCCCCAAATTCACTTTTAAAACGGACAAGATTCAATCAAACGATGTGGATGATATACGGCCCAGTTTAGGTGAAAGTCAGACTGTTGATGGTAATAAAATTGCTAGTGGAAGTGATGATGATGACTATATGAATATTCAAATACAAGAAGATGAAACTACAAGGCCTCAAAGCCTTCGGTCGAAAGAGGAACCTAGATTAAAACCACAATATGAGTTTGAGAAAATTGGTCAAGATCAAAAGGATAAGCTAAAACAAACTCCACATAATAATCAATCATTATTTGGCCAAATTATTGATGATGATCATCATGAGAAAGAACAAGAAAAAACAAGTGAAGATGAAGATGATTCACATTTTGATATTGATGTTATACGACCAATTTCAACACATGCTAAATCCTCTTCTAAAGGGTTATCAATAATGGAAAAAATGGGGTTCAAGATTGGTGATACATTAGGTATTGATAAAAAAAATAAAGACGCGCTATTAGAACCATTACAATTGGTAAATATAAAGGGGAGAGAAGGAATAAAAGAACATAAAGCTGATCCTAAAATTGAAGCTAAGATACCCAAAGATGGACTCACAGAAGAACAAACCAAACTTTTCAGAGAACGATTAATTGCTGAAGATGCCGAGGCTGTTAAAGAACGATTATTACACAAGATGCAAAAACTTTGTTGGCAATTAACTGGTGGTGCTGATATACCCAATATTGAAACTGTTAATCCATTAGATGTTAATGTTCTTTGGAGAGGCTATGTTAAATTTATACTGAAAATGAAAAGAGAAAGTAAAGAAAGGAATCAAATAACTGAGATACTAGATTCACCAAAGTCTGCCAATAATGATGATGAAATAAAATTGGATGAAATAGAGTCTAATGGATCCTCAAATGATCAAGAAAAGAAAAATGACAATGAGACCATATCAAGAGAAGAAGAAGATGAAGAGGATGATGATGAACTATTAATGTTTCAAGAACTTTCGTTAGATGCACAAATAGAGAAGCTATACATGTTTCTCAGAACAGATTTTGATTATTGTTATTACTGCGGAACAAGGTATATAAATCAAACCGATCTTTTCAGTCACTGTCCTGGTTTAACTCCCGAAGATCACCAATAAATTACTACAATTAGGAAGAAAATAATCTACATTTCATTCCTGAATATAAATGTACCTAATCTCATCGTAGAATCTAGAATCGGTTAGCAATTTCTAAAGCTTATATAGAGACTGCTTCTCATTGAAGTAAATTTAATGTATTAATATATATGAGATTTACACGCAGAAATTACCGATGAGATAATGTAATCGGTATGGTATAATCACGTTGAAAGAAGTTGCAATGATAGTGAAGACCATCGAAGACCAACTGGATGAGCAAAAAAACACCTAATTGTTTATCAAATAGTACAGACAACGTCACTTCCATTAATTGGCATGAATATAGGCAAATCAATACAACCTTTGAATTTTGCTTACGTCATGCTTACATAATCCACATTTCGCGAATTTTTTTGCCCTTCACTAACCCTATACACTTACGTGCACAATTCTACGCTAGATTTCGCGCTAGATCTTTAATAGCTCCCTCAGTAAACTCGCCACAACGTCCCTGAGAGCGGGTACACTTGCTCAAGTTTGTTCTCCTTCAAATGAGCCTATATGTTCTTCAACCGCTCATTTCGTTGTGGAGCTATTCCAAAAGTGCTAAAACACAGGTTTCAAAATGCATTTGAAAACCTGATCTCGAGTTTTTCCCTAAAATCTGATTACGTAAACCCCGTACAAAAATTAGGGTGGTACTTAACGAAAACGCGAATTCAACTTATACGTACAAAAAAATGTGGGAAATTGGAATTAAGTTTATCCATGTAATAACCGTCTTTGTGTCAACAACTTTGTGGAAGTCCAAGTGCTACTTTTAGAAATGCTTACTGTGGTTTTGTGGCTGATCACAGAAACTATATATCCTGTTTCCATTCATTCAAACCTTTAACATACCTTGACATTTTATCAAGCAGTAACTGGAACCAAAAATGAAAATGATCTAATTCCCATAATAATGATTATAGCATGAGATCTAGGTATGTATGAGAAACATTAAGAATTAAACAAAGCTGATAAAAGGAATTATTAACGGCACTTTTAGTTCTCACTTGTTTACTTTTTGAATCCACACAAACTGTTTTTAGTTTTTAGAGACTGCAAAGAAAGTCTATCTTGCATTTGGACAGGTTACAGGTTGTTATGATCATTGATGTGCTATAAGATACAGCAAAAACTGAAGAGATGCTAAACATTGGATGTTGCTCTTTGAGCCAATGAAGTTAAGGTCAAAACCACCACAAAGATAGACTAGATATCTAGAATTCACGGGATTTCTGGCTGAATTATATTCACCGATATGACCCTTTCCATATGCCCAAGATTAGAGTCCTGGTATATCAACCATATACCCATAATCCAGAACCATATCCAAAGTTTTTGAAGTTCAAATTTTAGGGTAAAATAACATTGATGGAAGTGTGCTTCCAGGGAACTTGGATTCATGGATTGAGCAATCTTCACGTTTTGGTATTCGCTGCTGTTATGGACGTTACTGATTTGAGGAAAAGAATTTACTCATATTACATTAAAATAAACAAGTCCAGAACCTTCAAATGAAACTTATAACGTTTTACATGATCCAGATTTCCATATATAAGAGGAATATCAAATCGGTTCAGGAGCTAATTGTTCTCAATACATGTGTTGTGGTCCAAGAATCAGCTAATGAAAATGCTTTGAAAACAGGTACAAAAGCAAGAACTCCAGTTGAAGATAAAGAACCTGAATTTATTTCACAATACTTGAAATCCAATCAAATCAAACAAGTTTATCAATTATAAGTTTTTTAAAACACAACAATGATTTAGAAGGTTATTTCCCAAGTAATCATTTGTTAAATGGTACTTTATCAAGTTCTACAACTGTATCAAATTCTTTGTTTCCATGTGAATATCACTTATTCAGTATATTTTACCATTTATCGCTGCTGTTTACTTCTTCTGTGTTTTTCAATAAACTTCAATTAGCGAGAATTTATTCCAGAAGATTATAGATGTTTTTCGATGGGGCATCAAGAATGACTGCTGAAGTTCAAAGTGATGAATTTTATGTATGATTAATGGTTATTGTTTATAATTTTAATTGCCGATAATTAAGGGTTTACTTATGGGTTAATATATATATTGTAATCTGGTATAATTTAGCAATGTAATTACACAATATTCATATACACGTCATATAACAGACAGTATAATTCAAATCGACAATGTATTCACTTTAATTTGGTGACTAGTGTACTATAGATGTCTATATGTTGGTTTTTTTATGATATCAAATTAAGTACTAATTTTAATTTGAATACAAAGCGATAAATTTTACGCTCTCGTGTCACTTTGTATAAGCTGATTTACCAATTGTTTTATCACAAATTACAATTAATAGATTATCCATGTTAGTTATATCGCAATTTAATACATTAACGTATAATATACGTCTAGTTAACTAATTTGATGACATAATCAATCAACTTTATATGAAAATAAGACTTGGGCTAACAAACTTTCTAACCTTTGATATCAACAACAAGAACAAACAACCAACAATTCAAAAGAGACGACCCTAATCAATCAATGTCCAAACCAATAAGTAATTTGTCTAGTGGACCTTCAAGTACAAATCTATATTCAAGAGTCGGAACACCTGAAATACCCAGCATAAAAGAAATTAGAGTTGCAAATTTACCAATATCTAAAAATTTAAATTCATTTGAAAAATCATTATCATCATTATTAACATCAATTTCAAAGTATGATCCACAAAGTTCAGATGCTGAAGATCTCTTGGGGATAGAACATGAACTAGAAAAATCCGTGGAAGATATCATATCTCATCAACAATCAGGTTTAAAAATTAATAGTCTTGAAACAAAATCTTCTAAAATTGATTCAAATTGTAAACAATTATTATTAGGTTTAAATGAATGTAGAAATCAATTAAAATCATTACCAAATTTGGAAGAAGTTCAACAAGAACAAAAATCAATGCAAAGAAACAAAATCCCAGCTGATGAATTATTACAATATGCAATGAAATTAGCAAAATTTACAACAGCACCACCAACTTTTGATAGTGCAGCAATTGGACCAAATAATTTTATATGGCCAGCTGAAGATTCCTTAAGAAGAGGTATGTTAGCAATTGCAAGTTTAAATGAAGCAGAATTGACTGGTAAATCACCTATTAAAACTCAAATCCAAGATGAATCAAAATTACAAGATGAAATTTTAAATGGTTCAAGTCCACAAAATGTTAGAAGAGGTTCATTTGGTGGGTCTTATGGAGGTGATGATAATGGTGGAGATGATGGTGTTATAGAGGAATTAGATTTATTTGATCCTGATGATGAATGATTATTAGGTGTGTTTTATAACATTATAATATGATTAATTATTATGCGATTATATTTACATTATACACGTAATTCATAATTTATTACAAGTTTGATAAAACAAGTCCTCGAGGACAGCCACAAATTGAATTGATGAATTGATATTCTCTATATGATTATTCTTTCTTTGATTGTTTTTCAAGCTCTTTTATTTTTTGACCACGATTTTTCAAATTATCAATATCTTTTGAAAATTCATTATAAGCATTTTTAATTGCAGCTTCTTCAGTTTCAAACCCATTATTATTTTGCCAATCTTTAACATCTTTTTTAAAATCTTCTAATTCTGATACAATTGTATTTAAATCTGTATTTTCAAAATCTGCTTCCGGAATACCTAAATGCATTTTTTCTGAAAATTCATAATCTTGTTTATCTTTAATTATATCTGTAATCTTTGATTCTGTTGGTTTTACTGGATGATATTTCTTAAAGAACCCAACAACTTGCTTTTTAAAAGGACCTTGGAATGCAAATAAAGTTAATCCAATACCAACATGACCATAAAAATAAACTGTCCTCCAATGTTGTAAAGATTTACCAAAATCTAAAATAACAAAAGGTTGAACTAAATAAGCTAAAGCCAATTGAGTAACAATATAACAAACAACATCATATGCTAATTTGGAACCTTTAGGTGTAATACCATCATTTTGTAAGAAAATTGGTCTAAAATTACGTCTATAAATTTTACCACATGTTTGTAATAAAGCACCAGTTGCAAAACTTAAATAATAACCAGGTCTTGTTCCATGCCAAAATGCAGAAGTTAAAAATGTGAATAAAGTACTTTTAAACCCAGGTTTTTTACCTTTTGATGCAACTCTAAAATAAACATAATTTTTTAACCATTTATTTGTATTTTGATTCCAAGCTTCTAATGCAACATGAATATTTTGTGAAGTTTCAAACCCATAAATATCAATATTTTGTACTCTATCCCATTTGATTGTCTTAGTTTCTTTATCATACCCATTATATCCAAGACCTGCTAAGATACATGATGCTTCTGATAAAGTCCAAGCTGCATAATATTTCAATCTATAAGTGAATGCTAAGACATAGACATAACCTAATTTGAACAAGATATTTTTTGAAGTAAACCATGGAGTGAATGTTGATTCAACTTGGAAATATTCACCACTTTTTTGCCATATTAATAACCAACCAATGGCTTGTAAAGAACGATAAAATGCAACTTTACCAGATTTTGGAATATTTCTTTTTCTCTTTTTACCAGGTTTTTTACTTTCTGGTAAATCTGTAAACATCTTGGAATTTAACCAATTTTCAAAATCAATATAATCAAATGAAGGACCCGTTAATAAAGATGGATAAAAAAATGCAAAACTTAAGAAATTTAATAATGAAGGTTGATGTCTCACGGCTTTTGCCCTTTGGAAACTTGATAATTCAGATTCTGGTTTTTTACCATCATGAACATTCCATGCATAACCTGTTAATTTCATACAAAGAACCATTTGAGCACCAGTAATATCAACTTTGGTACTATCATATTCATTAACAAATTGTAAATAAAAATGATTCATAGCTAAATGACCCATAACGAAAGCAAAATTAATAAATGGCATGAATTCTGATTTCAAATATTTTGTACATAAGAATGTGAACAATGAACTAATCAATAATGTACGAAATCCACTAAACAGTGACATGATCCCAAACAAATAAAACGCAGAAATTGAGATGATATAAGCATTCTTTAATGTGATGTTATTATCTGGTAATCTTTTCAAGATGGCATTGAGCGGGAAGGATCCAAACAAACAGATTGCCAACTTCAGCGTAGCCTCATCGAGCCCAATGGCCTCTGCCCATAAGTCTATCTGATGTGAAATGGGATTGATCATTTTAATACCCTTCAAAAACACCTTTTTGTTTACTAAAATTAAAAAAAATCGTTCAAAATTTATGAATTCATATCAAAAAAATCAAGACAAGTCGGAATTCATAAAATCTCGTATAGTGACGTAATTCATATTCCGACTCAGCCAACCATAAAAGCAATAAAATAAAGAAATAAATAATAATCAAAAAGATCTTTTGGCCACTTTGAACTTCTTTTGAACTTGTTTCAAAGAGGTTTATTGGTGATGAAGGGAATAATATCTAGTGGTCATAGAATATCAAGCTTTGCAGTACGAGGCCTAGGCCTAAGGCTATTCAGCTCCAGTTCCACAGCTTTGAAAAGACAACATAAGGCTACAGCAGTGGTATTTATGAATATGGGTGGTCCTTCCACAGTACCAGAAGTTTATGATTTCCTTTATAAATTATTTGCTGATGGTGATTTAATTGATCTTGGTGTTGGTAGATTACAAAGATTAGCTGCAAAATTCATTTCATATAGACGTACTCCAAAAATTGAAAAATATTATCAAGAAATTGGTGGTGGTTCACCAATTTTAAAATGGTCAAATTATCAAGCTCAAGAAACTTGTAAAATTTTGGATCAAACAAATCCAGAAACTGCTCCTCATAAACCTTATGTTGCATTCCGTTATGCTCATCCATATACTGAAGAAACTTTACAAAAATTACTAGATGATGGTATAACAAGAGCTATTGCATTTTCTCAATATCCACAATTTAGTTATTCAACTTCAGGTAGTTCAATTAATGAATTATGGAGACAAACTCAAAAATTAGATCCAAAAAGAACTATTGAATGGACTTCAATTGATAGATGGCCAGATCATCCAGGGTTAGTTAAGGCATTTGCATCAAATATTCGTTCAAAATTACAAGAATTCCCAGAATCTATAAGAGATAAAGTTAAAATTTTATTTTCTGCTCATTCTTTACCAATGGATGTTGTTAATAATGGTGATGCTTATCCTGCAGAAGTTGCTGCAACTTCATATGCTGTTATGAAGGAATTAAATTTTAGTAATCCTTATAGAGTTGTTTGGCAATCTCAAGTTGGTCCAAAACCTTGGTTAGGTGCTCAAACTGCGAAATTAGTTGAAAGAATTGAAGCTGATTCTGAAGGTGTTGTTCTTGTACCAATTGCTTTCACTTCAGATCATATTGAAACTTTACATGAAATTGATTTAGAATTAATTGGTGAATCTAAATTTAAAGATAAATTGAAAAGAGCTGAATCTTTAAATGGTAATGAAACTTTTATTAAAGGTTTAGCTGAAATTGTTGGTGATCATTTAAAATCTGGTGAATTACATTCAAAACAATTACCTTTTGATTGTGAATTGGGTGTTGGTAGAGATGTTTTCAAACATCCATCTGAAATGTTTGGTGATCATTACAAACCTGAATAAATTAATATTTATATAAAATAGAAACATCCGTATAATATTTATGAATTGAAAACACAAAAAAAAACTTATAATATGTATATAATATATAATTGTCATTAAAAAATCATCTTGTCATTAAGAAATAGAAAATATAAAACCCCCTTGAAATGAAAAATCATAAAATTTGTACAATGGCTATTCATTACTCATCATGTACGAGCTGCAACCATTTTATAACCATCTTCTAAAATTTGTGTAATTGTATCATTTTTAACTGGTAATGCACCTAAAACAAATGCAACATCATTCCATTGTTTTTCATTTTCAACTTTATTAATTCTTTGAACTAATTTATCACTTAATTGTTTTTGATGTCTTTCTTTTTCAATAAATGAAACTAAAAATTTAATTATACGTTTCATTGCATCTTTACTTAAATCTTCATCATTTGATAATCCACTGAAAATATCAATAAATCCATTATAAATTGCATTATCTTTAGTTGCTAATTCTGTAAAGAATAATTTACACATATCACTAATTCCTTGATCTTCATCTTCTAAACATTTAGCCATTTGTGATAATTGACCTTTAACTTTAACTTGACCTGCTAAAATTAAAAATGTAATTGTCATTAAACATGTACGTTTAACCATTAATTCATCATCATGTAAACGACGATATAAGAAATCTGTATTTTCATCAACCAAATTATTAAAACAAACAGCCATATCACCAAGACCTAAAACTGCATTTGAACGAATAATTGGATCAGTTGAACGTTCCATAATTGTAATTAATAAAGCTAAATTATCTTCACAATATTTTGATGAAACACACATTAATTTTTCCATACAAAGAACTGCAGATCTTTGTAAAATCTTATTATCATATTTAAGATTATTTGAACAAATTTCTTTAACTAATGGACCAAATTTAGCTAATAATGAATTTTCACCATATAAAATTTCCTTTTCTTTAATGAAGGCAACTGCATCTGCAAAATCATCTTCTGAAGTACCACCAATCATTTCTAATTCATTAGCATCTTCATCTTTTTTATCACCTTTATTTTTAGCAATTTCTGCTTCAATTTTCTTTTTTTTAAATTGACCTTCAAGAACTTCAAGATGAACAATAACTTTTATAGCAACATGACCAACTATAAATAATAATTGTGATAATGAAACAACTTGTGATTGACCTTCTATCAGTTTACCAAAAGTCATCTTGGTTTTTTGTTTTATTATTTCAGTAGTAACTTCTTCAGGTTTACTTGAAATATTGAAAATTGTATTTATAGCTTGTTCTGCAACACTAAAATATTCACTATTTGAATTATATTCAATTAAAAGTGAACCTAGTTTTTCAATAGCTTCTTTTTCTCTTGGTACTTTGGATAAAGTTATATTTTTATCATTTGGAACAACTCTATAAAGTGCAATACATGAATATTTAGCCAAGATTAAATCTTCTTTACCCTTTGGACCTAAACCAATAGTTAAAAGAGCATCAATACCTTTCATTGTAATTTCATTATCGGATAATGCAAGCATCCCCAAAACAATTATAGAACCACGACGTTGTTTTTTAGAAAAAGTTTGATTTTGGAAACTATAAATTTGCCATAGCACTTTAATAACAGTTTCATTAATTAATGAAGATTCATACATTAATCCTAATAATTTTTCTAATGAAGCTAATTCTGGAACAGTAGCTGAATAAGTTAATGAAATTAAATTTTTTGCAATTAAAGCAGCTTGTTCTAATTCTGAAGCATCTTCAGGTGCTAATAAAAATAAATTTTTATAACATTCAACCAAATGATTTGCAACATTCATACCTTCATCATTATTTGTTTTCATCCAAACAAGATGTAACATACGACGAATACCAGTTCCAACATTTTCAATAAAATAAGCATCAGCTAAAACGAAAAAATCCATAGTTTCAATAACTTCATTTTTATTTTTTGAATATAATAATTGTGAAGCAACTTCAACACCATGATGAATTAATTGAATGAATTCTATAGCATCTTCATAATATTTAATTGTTAATTTAATTTTAAAAATTGTATTTGTATCACTTTCTTTTTCAATTCTTGAAGCTGGTTCTTCTTCATCTTCTTCATCAGAATCATGTTCTAAGTTTCTTTCTACAACAGCTTCAGTTGTATCAGCAGGTTCCAGGGCCTTTAATTCCTTTTGAGCTTCTTGTAATCTTTTTTCCCAAACAGATAAAGTTAATTGAGTACCATGTAAAGCACCAAATGGATGTGTCAAGACAAGACGTGACATTAATTTAACGGCATTACGTCTAACTAATGAACTTTTATCTTCTAATGATCTAACAGAAATTTCCACAAATGTTTGACGATATTTAGTAAATTTAGCATCAATTTCACATAATTTTAAAATTGATTGAATAGCTTTAGTTCTAACATAAGGATTTTGATCTAAAAATCTTTCAATCAGTAAATCTAATAAACCTGAAGCTTGATTTCTATAACGTTCTAATTCATCTTCATCTTTACTTATTTCAATAATAATATTACCACAAGCTTCCACCACTGCACATCTTAAAGTATATGAACTATTATTCAATAATTGAGAAACCAGAGTCATTTGTTTTAATAAGATTCTTGGGATTAATTCTGAAACTTTAACAATAAATAAAGAGATTTGCTTTGGACCATTATTATCATTACTATTAAATTCTTTATTACTAACTTCTCTTAAAACATCTTCAGTTAATTGGAAATGATCATATTGATCATTTAAAATTTGTAATAATTCAGCCATCATTGCATTTAAATGACTAAAATAAGTTAAATTTTGTACTATAGCACTTTGAGCAGCTGAACCATGACCATGAAATTTAACAGCCATTGAAATAACTTTAAACATGTACATTTTAACACTTGTAACTTTAATTCTTGGTTCATTTTCCATCAGAATATAAATTGGTCTTGTAAATGAACTTATAAATAAATCTCTTTCAGGGGTAGTTGTAAATAATTTATTTAAATTTAATTTGAAAACAGCACATATAGAATTCATTATATTTTCTAATTGTGTACAATTATTTTTGAAAATTTCTAAAGCTTGATTTGTAACTTTTTTTGAATTATGATTTGAAGTTGGCATATTTTCAAGACTCAAATAACTTAATAAACAATGAGCAAAATAAGCATACATTTCCAAATATTGTTTATGTAATGGGAATAAATCAGTTTCACCATTATCTATTATATTTGATGAATTTTCGGCTTGATTATGAGTACTTGAAGTGACCAAATAGATGACTTGTTGTTGTTGTCTCTTGTTTAAAGAAGGATACGCGTGAACCAACTCTTCTAAACCTTCATAAGTTGACTGATCATTTATAGCTTCTGAACTAACAGCTAAAGCACCAGTGATTCTATCTAATAATTCCTCCGCGTCACCAACTTGAAATGAATCCTTAGCAGCTTCTTGGAATGAAGTCAACGATTCTGAAAGATTGAAATTCATGATATATACCTTCTCTGTACCTCTCTCTTTATCTCTCCTTGGTGTACAACTCCTTGGATCTCTTTGTACTTTTTAAAAATCTGTACTTTTTTTTGTTTATGTTTTTCAAAGAAAATCGAAATCAAAACAAAAATTTAAGTTGTTATGGTTACCCACCCATTTTAAAAGCTTTTTGTATTATGTCATCACTTATGTAATCAATATACACAAAAGTTAAATTAGCCGCTGAGTTTAAAATCAAATAAATAAGATTCAATTTCCCAAATTTTAATGAATTATTTAAATTTTCTATTAATCTATACGTTTATCTGAATATCTAATTTAATATAATTAGATAATATTCTGAGTTAATTCTTCATCTTATATCTCTTTTTCAAAAAGAATTTGATGTTTTCTTTAAATATCCTTTAGCCAGCTTAATTAGCTGATCCGTGATCATGCTGTTAATATAATTAAATTAAAGATTGAATAAGTCTTTATTAAACAGATGAATTCACTAGTTATTAAACAATTGTATGAAGGGGCTTTAAATAGTTCACTGAATACAATTTTAACATTTTAAAAATCAATTTTTGTAGTTTTCTAATTTAGCGCTGTGTAGATATATTACAAAGATACAATCAATTCATTAACTTCAAATTAGATTACTTATATTATATTAATAAAGATATGCAAAGAACAATTAAACACTAGCGCTAAAAAAATTTAAACAATTTCACGTTTTGAATCACCAATAGGTTCATTTTTATTATTCCAACTTGAAACATTTGTTAATTCACTTGTTCTTCTATCATCTTGATCATTTTGTTTACCTCTGTTTTTGTATTTAGTATAATATAAATTCAATCCTGATTCAATAATAAATGCAAATACTAAAACACCAAAAGCAACCCAAACAATTCTTAACCAACCTTGTCCAATTGAACCTTTAATACCATATTCATCCTGGTGATCATTTAAAGAATTAACAACTCTTCTCGCCACGATACTTGTAATTAAATTTGATATGAATAATGCTAAAACTGAAAGAAATTTGATAATATAAGTATATTTAACATCTAAAATATTGAAAATTACACTTAATCCAACCCAAACTGTTGACATTACCAAAAATGCAATTGCAGCTCCTGGAACACTATTTGAAACTATTGCACCTTTAGGTAAATTCAAATCAGATGGATCCTTGACCCATGAACCTTGAACATTTCTAATTGATTTAGCAATAAAATATTTAATATCAAAAGCTCTTCTAAAAATATCACATTCTTTAACTTCAAATGAATCTCTAGTTTCTTTACCAATACATTGAGAAAATAATCCATGTCTTTGAATTTTTTCTTCACTTTGCCAATTTGATTTAACAATTGAAGAATCTGTTGATATAACTTTATCCCAATTAATATTTGATATATCAATTTCCATCATATAAATATTTAAAAGTGGTTTTGAATCATTAGCACTACTTGCTAATGCAAAGATTAAAAGAACTAATGCTGCAAGCATTGGAATCAATGAAGATAATGATCCTGGGGTCTTGTTTTCTCTTTCAATGAAATTATACCACATGTTGACTATAATATTAACTTCTTGACCTATGAAAAAGAATATTAAACTTTATTAAATTCAGGGTCCTCTATGGTATTTATACACATTTGCTAAGACGCATAAGCCATAATATAGATCATGATTCACAATACAAATATTTCTTGTCATTTCCATAAATAACAATTGTACCTACAGTAGTACCATACCGTATTAACTATTCAAAACCGTTAATCAATAAAAATTTTCGAGATGTATAAAGGTAAATCACACAGATTTAAATGAACTTCCCGATTATATAAGCATGGTAATTTGCGGTTTCAATTTAATCTTGCGATTTGAAATAGAAATCTTTATGAATCTTATAGGCTGTTAAACGTTGACTAAGGTAATCGTTGAATTGAAATTTGAGATCATTTATGTATTGTAGATCTAACGTAAGAGTATATGTCTGTTGGTACACCGTACGTTGGTATACCTATTTTCAGAGATTAATAATCCCTTTTAATTCCGAAAGAGTATAAACTTTTATCAATTTTGTGTCATTCACATAAGACTATGAATAACCATTACATCACAATATAAAACAATAAACTATACTTTCTATATACACAAAAATAAATAATCATTAAACATTATAAGCAGGTGGATTTGGTGGAGCATTATATTGATTATAAACATTCCCATATCCAGTATTATGACCACCATTATTATCAAAAGCAGTTCGATCACTACCACCTTCATTAAATCCATCATTATCATGTCCATATCCAGTATTCTCCATCTTATTACGATCAACTTCTGGATTATAAGTTGGTTGTGAATCTTTTGAATGTCTTGCAACTCTTGGATCTCCATGATCAAATGCTACTGAAGCAATTAAAAATCCAAATGCAAACCAAACCATTGTTAAATATCTTGTACCTAAATCTGCTCCAATTCCATAATCACTATAATTATTATTAAATGAATTAGCCATTCTTTTAGCTAACACATGAACCATAATATTTGCAATAAATAAAAAGAAAATAGCTGCAATCTTGGGAACAAAATGGAATGGAACTTTTAATAATTGTGCTAATACACCAATCCCATTGAAAATACATGCAAATAAAGTTAAAAACAATATAGCATTTCTATTGATTCGGGAAATTTGTGCACCTTTTGGTAGTCTAATATCATCTTCTTTAAAGTTTGAACCACTTTCACCACCATCAACTAAATCCTTATAGATAACATATTTGCAACTCATTGAATGTTTATAGCCAACAGTATATCTATTCAATGCACTAAATTCAGCATTTTGATTTGGTACTCCTCTCATATTATTCCAATGATTTAATCTTCTTAATGATATTGAACCACCAAATCCATTTTCTGTATTTGAATTTGAATAACTTGATGGTAAGATATTATTCCATTTAGCATTTTTAAATTCTAATTCTGCAATATAAACATTCTTAATTGTATAAATCTTAGAACAAAGTCCTCCAATTGCACAACATAATAATATAAAAGTTGCCAATGACATTAATAATGACCATAATGAACCTGGTTGATTTCTTTCTCTACTGAAAATTTTATTTGGTGTCCACATATTTGAAATAAACCTAAACCATCTTATAGTGATAACTTGAAGAAACAAATTGAATTTGATTACTTTGTAAAAGTTTTTATATAACTTTTGAAGTTGCTGAAAAAAATTCGTTATGTGCGCACTAAATTTCATTTTGATATACATTATACATAAAGTGGAATCCCGATAAGCCTGAAATTTTATGGAGCAAATTAACAATTTATGATTAAGTGTGTTTTAGCTTAATTTATGTATGATGGGATATATTTCATTTGCTATATCATACCGTATTTATTTGTTACCTTATCGTACAGAGTTTTTGATTCAGTTTAAGATCTTTGTTTGATTAAGTGGAGACACTTTATTGTAACGTTTTCGGTGTTCGGTCTTGAAAATTTTCTTTTTTTTCTAAGATCATGCATATCAGTATCGTCTCAAAAGTTAAGTACCTACCAACTACCAACTACCAACTTGTTCCAACTTATAAGTTAATCATAATCATAAATTAATCACTAAACAATGTATATAGTTATTAGACATAAACTTCATTAAAAAAAAATCACCTGGATATTTAATTGTTGTTTGTTGTTTGTTGTATATGAAAGCACTAGTAGCTTATAAAAAATTGAATATTTAATAATAAGTATTAAGAATAACCAGTATTCTAAATGTTGATGTTGTTTCAAGTTTCAACCAGTTGAATTTGATGATTTACCATGTGTATTTGATACATTATTGTCTATCTGAAGACCCATGATTATCTGGTAATGTATTCCCTGTATGAAGTTGATCTTTATTAATTTCTTCATACCTTGGAGGAGCTTCACCTGTTTCAACATGAATTTCTTCTCTTCTTTGAATTCTTGTTCTATCAATATTTGTAGTTTCCACTGGTGGTAATATCATAGGTCTTGTAGGTCTTGTTGTTGATCTACCTCTTTCTAAGCCGCTTACTCTATCAAATAGTTGTGATGGTGTTGGACTTGGAGATCTTGGTCTTGATGATGAAATTGAAGTTTGATTTAATGGTCTTGTATTTGATCTACCCAATCTGTTTATCTTATCTTGCTGTTCTAATCTAGACATTTTATAATCTGGATTTTGGAACAAGAAGGAATTTCCAATAAATGTCATAGATAAACTGATAATTTGTAATGATAATGAAATCCAAATCATTGTATAAAAATTTCGATTACCCAACGAAGCTGAAATACCATATCTCCCATTAGTACTATTGAAACTTTTAGCAATTTTTCCAAATTTTACATTTGATAATGCACCAACAACAATCAAGCATGTAATATTGATCAATAATAATGGATAAATTATAACGCTAGGTTTTGCAACACTATATCCACCCGCTCCACAATAATAGAGAAACATTAAACCTGAAAATATTAATGAAACCCATAATAAAGCAAAAATTGTTGAATTATCAACTTTATTCATAGTAACACCATCTGGAAATAAAATTGAACTGATCTGTCTTTTTTGTCTAGGATAAATGAAAGCTTCCTTCAAGATCAAATCATATGGATCAAATCTATATGGTGGATCTTGTGAAGAACAATATAACCAATCTTTACTTCTTTCAGGATAATCAGTGGAACAATAACCCCAAAGCCCAATATAATAAACTCTATTCAAAAGTGATTCAGCATACAATGTACGATTTTCTGGTTGAATAATTCTTGAATAAACTATATCTTTGAAATCAACTTTTAATGAATAAATTGAACCTCTTGCTTTGTTTGATTGACCTGATATTGTAATAGCTATTAATATCAAACAAAGGAAACTGAATATTGCTGGTAAATAGATTGTGAATAAGACGTATCTCTTGAACATAAGATTGTTTCTGATTGATGAAATGAACACTCCTCATGAAGATTGTTTTGAAAAGTGTACATTTCCCAATGTTTATATACATATTTCAGTTTACCGCCTTGAACGTGTTATCAAACAATTTGACCGATATTAACAACTTTCTCATTTCCTATAACCGCTTTGAAATCATGACAACTTCAACACTTCAATACCTCACATAACCGAACAATCATACAACCTTAACCTTCTTTAACCATTAAAGTTGAACCGACGGTCATCGAAAGCCATTCATCAAGCAAAAGACCCACAAGATCTCTCATAGAATCTCATAAAACGTGGTAAATCTTTCACAAAATTATCGTAAACAGTTATCTTTTTAATGGTCATGAAGAACAAAAAATTATTATTTAATTTTTGAGATTGCATGGCTGACTTGAATCTGTAATTATCTCCGATTTGTTTAATTAACTACGTCATAATTAATATTGTTAAAAAGACCCTTATCAAAACGTTTTCCAATACGTGTAACCTGTTTGCTTAATTGACATATCCGACAATAGAAGGTCACTCAATAGAATGACTCGCGGCAAAGTGATTAGATTAATTTCTAAAGTATTGGTTAGATTATGAGACCGCTTATGTAAGGGTTGGTAAACCCTGTGAATTAGAAGCCGATTTAATTCAATAATATTGTATAGAGAACATAATAATAAAATACATCATAATTATAATTAAATGATGAATTTTTATCTAATACTAATATTGTATGATTTGAAGCAATTTTTTTTGATTTCTTTAAATTTCAAAAATATAGTTGATGTAATAAATTTTATTTCTACTTTACCACTAAATATTTTCAAATATACAAAACTTTTTTTCTCTCAAAACTACTCAAAACATACATCATTGTATAGCTAAAACCTGAAATATTCTTTATCCAATTAGAAAGAAGTATATTTATAATTAGTTTGTGTAAAAATCTACAAAATTGCGTAGCGCTTACATAAGCAGAGCTTGCATCTCCTAAAGATCTGCAAGTTTTCAAACAAACAAGAAAGCTCGCGTGGCGTAATGGCAACGCGTCTGACTTCTAATCAGAAGATTCTGGGTTCGACCCCCAGCGTGAGTGCGTTTCTTTTTTTGTGTCCCTGACCAATTTTCAATTTTTTTTAGTACATAAACTAGAGATTTTAACTGAAGTTGATTCTTCTTCAAATGATATTTTTATTTTTATATGTCCTTGATTTTATATCTTGATCTTGCTACAGGATAGTCCTATCATAATACTGTTCATAATCTATAGATTTAATTATATAATTAGCAAATGATCAACTTTTCCCAAAGAAGATTGGTCATCTTAATCAATCTTTTAATTTTGAATAACCTTTTGTTAAAACTTTTTCAACTCCCATTCTTTTTTTCTCTAAACTACTTAATAGATCTCTAACTGCAATTCCTGGTTCTTCTCTTGCTTCTCTAAACCTTATACCACCATCTGCAGTTGATTGTGAAGTTTTAGGAGCACCACCAGCATTTGAACCACCAGTCATCCAACTATATTTCTTCTTTTTACCAGTCATCATGGCAACTGTTGCATTTGTTGCTTTATGTTGAGTTTCTTCTGTACCTAGTTTTGATTGTTCATCTTGATCAATACCAAGATTTTTACGTTTTTGTATACGTTTATCTTCTAAATTCTTGGAATTAACAGCCAGTTCTCTAAGAGCTTTTGATAATTCACTTCTTTTACGTTGTTTTATTGATCTTCTTCTATGTCTTGATATTATAACTGCATTTGTTATTATATTTTTCATCCAATCTTCACATGCATTTGTCATTAATTCAGTAATTTGTGATTCATTATCAAAATTTTGTTTTATACCATTTGCATTTGCAACTTTAGCCATAAATGCAGCAACTTGTCTTGGATCCAAGAATGGAGTATTTATTATAATTGGTTGTTGTGGAACATTTGATAATTCTTGATTATTTTGAACAGTTGTTGAGTTTAATAATGCTTCTTCAGCTTTTAAATCAACACCTGCAGATAATAATGCATCTGATAATTTATCTGGATCTGCTGGTGCTGTAGGTTTAGTTATTTCTGTTTCATCATTATCTGTTGGTTTTTGTGCTGCTGTGTTATTAGGTACGATACCTGTTGGTAAAGCTGTTGTATTTGTATTTGTATTTGTATTTGTATTTGTATTTGTATTTGTATTTGTATTTGTATTTGTATTTGTTTGAGGAAGGGTTAAATTTGAATTTGGACCCGGTGTTGGACCTGGTGTATTTATTGTAGATTGAGGTTGCTGCTGTTGTTGTGTTTTAATTGTATTATTTGTTGTATTTGGACTATCAGCTGGTAATTCAGGTAATTCAAGATTAAACTGACCTGGTGTATTAAGAGCAGAAGATGAAGCAGAAGGTAAACCTGAAGGTAGTGCTGAATGTTGTTGTGATTGTGATTGTGATTGTGATGATGTAGTTGGAACCAATGGGATATCCACTTTCAAGGGTGAAGATGATGAATTTTCAGGTTTTGGTGTTCCTTGAGTCTTTGGAAGTTCTAAATCGTTGACATCAAAAGAGTCAGCACCCACACTACTGAACTCATTCGCTAGCTTCGGTCTTTTGGCATCTGTTGATTCTGTTTCACTGAGATTTCTTTTCTGTGGTGATGAAGTTGAAGGTTGTGAAGTTGGTGTTTCACTCATCTTGTTTATTATCTATTATCTCTTTCTTAAAAGGGGCGTCAAATGTACTAAATCTTGTGCAAAAACAACGAGAAAACAACGTGTGTGTAGCTTATAATGACGAAAGTCCACCTGTATCAATTATTTCACCCTATTATTGAACTAAAAACCAGTTTTAAATCAAACCAATTCCTTGTTAATTGCCCATACAATTTTGTTCACTTTCTCATAGTTTTTTTGTTTTCTTTATTGATTGTTTTGAAATCAGCGCGAATTTTGTGGAAATTCAAACTGAGGGTAATCTCATCGGGAAAAAAAAATTATATACTATAGAAAAGAATTATATAGTGTCAAAAGTTACAAAGATTTGGATAACCAAAGGGTAAAATACTCATCATAGACTCATAGGGGAGTTAATAGATACAAGGGAAACACACAATGTCCAACAGACCAAAACCATTAGTTTTCGAAGGTGCTAAAAACTTTCGTCTACGATTAATTTTATCTACATTATCAGGTAAACCTATTAAAATCACTAAAATACGTCCAGATGATCAACATGTTGGTATAAGAGATGAAGAAGCATCCTTTTTAAGATTATTATCCCGTGTGACTAACGGTGCTCATATCCAAGTTGGTCAAACTGGTACTTCTGTTATTTATTATCCAGGTATAATTACAGGTGGTGAACGTATTCATCCATGTGCAACAACTTCATCAAAACCAGTTGGTTATTATTTAGAACCATTATTATATATTGCACCTTTCTCCAAAGAAAAATTTTCAATAAAATTACAAGGTATAACTGCATCAAAAGAAGATGCTGGTGTTGAAGCTATAAGATTAGGATTATTACCAATTATGGAAAAATTTGGTATTAGAGATCCTTCATTACATATATTGAAAAGAGGTTCACCTCCAAATGGTGGTGGTGAAGTACATTTCCTAGTGGATAGTACTGCATTACAACCACTAACGATGCATGCTATTGATATTCCAAAAATTTCAGCTATAAGAGGTGTTGCATATTGTACAAGAGTTTCTCCATCAATAGTAAATAGAATGATTGATGCTGCAAGAAATGTCTTAAGACCTATTGGTGTTGAAGTTGATATAACTGCTGATGTTTGGAGAGGTGAAAATGCAGGTAAAAGTCCAGGTTTTGGTTTAACTTTAGTTGCTGAAAGTAAAAAAGGTTGGAATTTTTTCGCTGAAGATATTGGTGGTGCAGGTGAAGTACCTGAAGATATTGGTACAAAAGTTGCATATGAATTAATTGAAGAAATTTCTAAAGCTGGTGTTGTTGGTAGATCTCAATTATCTTTAGCTCTTGTATATATGGTTTTAGGTAAAGAAGATATTGGAAGATTAAGAATTAATAAAGAACAAATTGATGAAGATTTAATTTATTTATTAAGAGATATTAAAACTATATTTGGTACTGAAATTTATTTAAAAGAAGTTGATGATGATGATTCAGGTGATTTTATTGCTACAGTTAAAGGTACAAATTTCTTGAATCCAAATAAAAAGATGTGAATATAGAATAATAACTAATATAGACAAAATTATTATCAATCCACTCTTGTTATTGGCATATCTTGTAAACTATTTGCTAATTGACTCCAATTATTTGAATGTAATTCACTATATTTAACTTTATCAGCAACCCAATCTTGGAAAATTTTGGTAATTTGATATTGAGTTTCTTGGAAAAGTACATATTCTGATAATATAGTTTCTTTAATCAACCAATCTCTATTTGTTTGAAATTCAATTTCTAATTTATCTTTACGAATTGAATCTCTATATCTTTCCACTTCATTACCTCTTACATCTGGTTTCCCATTCAATTCATTTAATTTTGATTGAGTAAATTCAACTTTTCTTGATAATTGAATAATTTGATTCCCACCTAATCTTTCATATCTTTCAAATAATGCCCCTATAGAATTTAAATGATCACTAAAACTTTTGAAATCTTCCACTATACCAATTTCAACATTTTGAGATTCATCATTTAATAAATTTTTTGAATTATCAAGATGTTTCCCTACGACTCTAAGATGTTCATTAATTGAATTTATATCAGAATTTTCAATTGAATAAATTGCCGGTGTGGAAATTTTAAAATCATCCAATACTCTTTGGAATCTTTCATTATCTAATGCAATTTGTTGTGATCTTTTTTCAAATCTTTCAACAAGTATTGATAATTTACTCCAATTTTCATAACAATTTTTAATTTCTTCACGAGCTTCAGTCCAAAGTTTTGCAATTGACAAATCCCAAAGATCTAAGAATTTTTGTGAAATTTTAACATCTTTATATTCTTCTGTTGTATCATAACTTGCATGTTTCCTCCAACTCGATAAATCTGTTGGAACTGTTAAAAACATTAATACTAATGATTCTGTTTTCAAAATTGGATGTTTTATAATTTGATTTATAAATCTTGAAAGTCCTCTTCTTCTTCTTTCAAGGAATTGAGGATCAGAATTCGATGCTAATTTTTTTGGAGGTAATTCTGGAATTAATCTAAATGGATATTTTTTCAATAATATTTCTGATAACCAAACAAAATCACTATAACGTCTTATAACTTTCCTATCATTTGATGCATCAGTATCAGGTAATGGAACAAGATGTGCCACTAAGTAATTTGTATGTTTAAATAATAAACCTTCCTTTTCTGGGATTTCAGAGATTGTAATTATATCTCTTGCTAATGGATCAAATGTTTTCCTAATTGCATTACACCAACTGAAAAAATCAACATTTGAATCTTTAGATCTTAAACCATGATTTTCACTATTCCCAGTTAATGTATTAACATTAAGAGGTTCTGCTAATATATCATTATTTCCATCATCCCAAATACTCTTGTGTAAATTATTTTCAGAATCTTCTAAATTATTTGAATCAAGGGGGTTTATACTTGATACAATTCTAGTATCTTCGAAAACTGCACGACCTGTATGAATTGAAGAGCCACCACTTCCTAATCCATTCAGTGGATCATCAATTTCATCATCATTATTATCATCATTGTCATTATTATTATTATTTGTAAATGCATCATCATTATTATTACTTGGAATGTCATTATCATCTTCTGTAGACCAGGTGTTTTTAGCTGTCGGTAGACTCCAAGGATCTGTACCTTCGTTACCAAACAAATCACCACTCATTGTTATTGATCTTTTTCTATTATAACTTTCAAAACTCAATTGAATTCGTATATATAGATTTCAGTTTTTTGAGTACAACGTATATTTTTGTTTTCATAATGGCTATAAAAACGAATTTTGGTTGCAGCGTTTAAATTGAACCGTGCTGAAAATGACAGATTTTTAGATGGGCCAAATCTTTAAATTATTACTGAAGCCGTTGATTTTGTATTTATTACTTTGTATTTAAATGCATATACTAATGATCTATATTATAGGTCTATATCAATCTATGTTGATCTATGTGACGATATTTACAGTGTACTTTTCTGTGTTTTTTTCAACAAAAACTCTTGTCTTTTAAGCTCAGCAGCTCTTCTATCAAATGCTTTTATAACTAATTCACTAACACTTTCAGCAAAAATTGAACTAACTTTATTATACAAAGGACTCTTAAAATTAAATCTTAGTGTTAATTCCATATCACATGAATTTTTCCGATCATTTGAAGTTATTGTCCATTTTGTATATAATTTTTCAAATAATGAATGAGTTATAGATTCTGCAATTACTATTTTTTTGGGTTCACATTTTAAATTACAAACAAATTCTTCATCAAATTTATTCCATCCTACTCTTAAACCTGCTTCTGATGGTTCTCCTTGTTGATCTTTTTTATTTATGAATGAACGGGTACAATATGGTACGAAATTTGAATATTGGGATACATCTGATACAACATCATAAAATAATTCTGGAGAGTGGCTGGGAACTCTGTTAGTAATAGGAAATAATCTTATGATAAAATGATTAACTCACTTTAATTTCTTCTTTACAATAAATTCTTGTTCACCACTTGAATTTCCTAAACTTTTCAAAAGATTAAATTTATTACTTGAAGAAGTATGAAATGATCTTAGAGCTCTAGTAGTTGTATGTGATCTCCTTATAAGCAACATTTGTATGAGAAAGCCGATGGAATGATAATCAAAAACACAGAATCACTCCTTTAACCTTATAACAACCACTTTTATTCGTTTCACACCTTTTAAATTTGAATTTGATCGTTTAATTGAAATCTCGAGGAAATTTGGGAAGTTGTTGTCTGAACCAAGTTTACATTTAATACTCGTACAAAGATTTTGAACATCAAATCAAATAAACATCAAGAAAATACATAAGTAATACTATAAAGACAATATGTCATTTGATATCAATTGGGATAAATTGAATGAAGACAACACAATAAATGAATCCATAAGAGATTTCCTAAACGATCAAGTTCAAGGTTTAGAATTACCAGATTATTTGATGAATATAAAAGTTTCAAAATTTTCATTAGGTACTATAGCACCAGAGATAACAATAAGGCATATTGGAGATCCTTTTAATGATTTTTATGATGAAGATTCTAATGGTGATGATATAGAAGGTTCAGAAAGACATGGAAGTGTTAATGGTTCTGAAATTCAATCACAGAATAATAATAAGAAATTAGAAATTGATAAACGTCATTTTAAAAAATCTATAGATCAAAGTTCAAATATCTCACCAAATCAAAGTATTAAAGATATTGATGATGAAAAGGAAAAAGAAGATCAAAATTCATTACATTCAGTTCATACAAATAAAGAAGAAGTTCCAAGTGAAAGTTTAAAAAATGAAGATGTATCAAATGATATTCAATTTATAGTAGAAATTGATTATAAAGGTGATATAACAATTGAGATTCAAGTTGATTTATTATTAAATTACCCATCACCTGGATTCATAACCTTACCAGTCACATTAAGAATAGTAGATTTAGGTATTCATTCATTAGCCGTGTTGGCACATGTTAATAAAATTGTTTATCTAAGTTTTCTTTGTGATATTAATGATGAAATTTTTGATGATATTATTAAAAATCCAAATTTATCCAAGAATTCAAATAGAAATAGAATTGATATTATAAGAAATTTAAGAATTGAAAGTGAAATTGGTGATACAAAAGGTGAAGGATCTGTATTGAAAAATGTTGGTAAAGTGGAAAGATTTTTAACAGATATGATTAGATCATTATTAAGAGATGAATTAGCATGGCCTGGATGGATAAGTTTTGATTTTAATGAAAGTGATGATGAGGAAGGGGATGATGATGAAGATGATGAAGGTATATAGAGATAAATAAACGGTGCAATGGAGGGGCTTATGAAGGGTAGAAACCAGTACATACGTGTTTCAAATGCTTTAGTATGTAAGTCTTTAACGGGTGTTTTTATGACACCTTACTTGAATACGCGTTCCGGAAAAACTGAAGTGTATAACTGAAAACACTAAACTTGAGTGAATCATTAACAAATCATGAAGATACTAGAAACCGTTATGTAGTATGTATTTAGTACATATGTAGAACATTGGGGGAGTAATGAATCATTGTAATCACTAAGTATATTAAAGTGACTATCTCTGGATCTCAGCACTTAGCACAAAAAAAATAAGAATAACACAGAATAACACAGTTTAAAGTATGATAACTATCATGTCTAAATTACTTTAAAACTTCACCGAAACCGGTCTTTTAACGTTCTTGAATTAACGCATATTAAAATTTTTATCTAAAAGATCTATCAAAGTTTATGCGTTCGGTATCAAATTAAGGTGACATTTATAGTATGGATAATCGGACAAATATAAATCTGATTTTGATATATAAAAGATGAAAGATCCTTTTCATTCTTGGTGATTCAATAATTATATAAATAACTTTATCAAATAAGTTATATTACTTAGTTGTGTTCTAGTGTTCTAATTCTAGACCATTTCCCCAATATTTAAGTGTCTTTTACTCGGAATTACAAAAAATTGAATATAGAAATTGCTTTACTAGTGAAATTTCAATTAAGCAGGTAAAATACTGGTATAGATTCATTAAAGAAAGGTAGATATCAGTTCACATATTCCTTCACAATGCTACGTCTTCAGAGACCATTAATATCTTCATTCACCATATTCCAAAGCACAAGATTATTCCATACATCATACCCTAAACAAAATCCACAAGCTGGTAATTATAATACAGAATTAAAAGAAATCCCAAAACATTATAATCATTATCAAGTACTTGGTATATCACAATCATCAACCTCGAAAGATATTAAACATGCATTTAGGAAATTATCCAAAAAATTCCATCCAGATATGAATCAAAAAGTATCACCCAAAAGGAAAAAACTAATAACAAATAATTATTTAAAAATTGTTGAATCTTATGAAATTTTATCAAATAATGAAAGAAAATCCAAGTATGATTTAAATTTAAAATCAAATGATCCATTTAGGTCAAGATCTAATCAACAACGTGATTTTTCAGGTAATGTTTATTATCAAAAATCTTATAGTCCAGGTGGTATAAATCGTACAAGAAGTTCAATTCATTATGGTCCAGGGTATCAAAAATGTCAATCAACTTATTCTAATTTTGATAAAAATTCATCACCAACAGGTTTAAATCATGATGTACCACATTTTGATTATGATTCTCATTTAAAAGGAAACCTATCATTTGAAAGAAGGATGATTAATAAAAGAATTGAGAAGTTATATCATAAGAAGGCAGAAGAAGATCAATTGATGTATAAGAAACATCATGGGACCAGTGTACATAATGAAATTCAAGATTTATTAAATCTAGAACGTTCTGGGACTCATAAAAGAATGAAAAATAATGATAATACTAATGCAAGAACAATGTTATTAGTTAGTACGATTGGGATAATTGCAATTGGTGGGTTGTTTCTACATTAAGCGGAAACAAAAATTGGTATATGGGTTAGGTTTATAATATAGAGAAGTTTAAATATTCATAATTTTAATGATTACGATGCATATGAATTCGTATTTTGTAGATCAAAGACATGTATAAATATTTCATAAAGGAATAATATATTGTAAAAATGGTATGTATATGTTAAACTTAAACCAAAAGTATGAATAAAGAATAAAAAAATGAAATCATAAAATCATGGTGGATATATAAAATAAATGTGTTTAATTGTGTTTAATTGTTAAATAAATAAAAAAAACTTTATGGTTTAATGTTTTTCCTTTTTTGGTTTTAATAACCACCAACCACCAATAGCAGCTAAAACACCAGCAAATATAGTTTTATCATTGCCAGAAATATTACCTTCTTGATATTCATAAGGTTTTTCAGGTTCTAATCCATTATAAATATCATTAACATCAGTTTTTAAAGCTTTTGAATTTTGTTCATCAATTTTATTTATTGAATCAGATTCAAATATAGTTGTTGATGAACCATCTGCCTTAGAGACAATTTTAGAATTTGGATTTTGAATTGATGATTGATTTAATTGTTTTTCTAATTCTGTTACTGGTGTTTGTGAAGCTTTTGTTGATAATGATGGGATTTTAACAATATAATCATCTGAAACTAATTTTGGTGGTGAAATATCAACTGGTTTAATATAATCAATTGTGGAATTATCACCTTTTGCTTGTGGTTTAGAAGTTGTTGTGAATTGTTTCTTTGTTGATGATGTTGGTAATTTTGGTAATGGTTTTAAATTTAAATTTTTTGATTTTTTGGAAGAAGTTGATATTGAATTTATTTGATTTGATTGGAAAGTTTTTTCATAAGTTGAAATTCTTGAAACTAATTCAGCCTTCTTACCACTAATTTTTAAACCACGTTTACGACATTCTACTTTCAATGAATTTAAACTCATTACAGAAAATTCAGAATTTTTATTTGAAAATAATGGAGTTGAATTTGTTTTAGAACTTTGATGAACAGATCTTGAAAAAGTTTGATATTTATTTGAGATATTCATTTCATTATTTGGAATATTTGGAACAACTAAATTATATTTTGATGATATAGTGTGAAAATTTTTAGATTGTTGTTTAATATCTTTTTGAATTGTTGATTCTAAAGTTCTAAGGGTTGGTAATGATCTAACACTTCTCAACATGATGGATTGTATTATAGATTGTATTATAGCAGTGTAATAGCCTAGTCTTGATGCCTTTTAGCTTAGTTTGAACGTTTGAAGCAAGTTTCTGTTGTTTTGGTTGTTTACTTGTTTATTTTGATGTTTTTTGATTTTGTATTTTTTTCCCTGGAGATGAACAGATCAAATACAAAGTAAAATAAAATGATTTCTGATTAAACAATTATTGTGTCAACTTAGAATAGGAAATTCTTAGTCTTAAATAATGATTTATGAAATGAATTTGTATATCCCCTTTTAAATCTTTTCAGGCTGTGAAGAAAGCAACTTTTAATTGAATTTCTCCAGTTTTTGCAGTTTCTCCCTATACAAATTAAAATCTCAGTTGTTTACTTTTGCCCGTATTCGCCAAAAAGGAAGGATTATATAATACTTGCACCACTGATTACATAAACTACAATAATTAATTAACTATTTACAGATATTTATTTGATTTAAATTAAGGTAATAAATATGAATATATTAATGTGTGTTTTATTCTTTTGTTTTATTGTTGTTATTGTTGTTCTATTGTTCAATATTGACGAGATGCTTCTTGACATGCTTTTAATTGTTGTAAATAGAAATCACAAATTTGCATATTACCATCGTTATCACCTAAACATCTAGTGAAATTTCTAGCATCAACATCACAAACACCACCTTGTTGTTGAGTTTGATATTGACTTTGAGCTGGAGCTGGAGGAGCAGCTTGTTGTTGTTCTTGAGGAGCTGATGAAGAACCACCACCAAACATACTAGTGATACCAGCACCTAATGTATGACCAATTGTAGAACCAACTGCAACACCGGCAGCTGTTGAAGCCATTTGACCAAAAAGACCTGGTTGTTGAGGTTGAGCTTGAGGTTGTGAATAAGCATTTGGTTGTTGATGTTGTGGAGCATGAGCTGGTGGAGCAGCAGTATGAGCTGATCTGGATTGAGTTGGTGCTTGACGTTGCACTGTTGGACGAGATCCTCCTCTTTGTCTAGGCATTGTGTGTTATCTTAGTTGATATTTAGTTGATTTGATTGTTGATGATTACTTTTTAATGCTTTTCAAGTGGCGGATTAAATCCTTTTAAATAAAAATTTATTGACATCCGGGTAAAAAAAGTGCAGCCGGCTCCCACGCGGTGAGTCAGGAAATCTTAATTGATTTTAGGCAGAGCTCAGCCTAGAATAAATTCACTCTAGAAGGAGATCTCAGTGGCAAAATTTAAAAACATTAAGCCTAGAGATCTTTCTAGAAGGAGTTAGAATTTCCCCAGATATCCGTTAAAACCATAAATTAGATTTTATACCCACATATATGAAGGATTGATCCATTTAGATCAGATTTATGAAATCATGACTTATCATGAATCATGATTATGTTTAAAGCTAGGTTATATATATACTACAAGAGATAATATTATAAATAAAAATTGTATTATTATTGTTCTCTATTTAAAAACGTCATCTGTAAAAAGATAATATATTATAATTCAATATCTGCTTCATGAAAGTATCAAAAACTCCAGATGTTTTGAATTTATAATAAAAATTAATAAAAGAAAAAAGAATTGAAAAATTGTAATTAATCATAATATAAAAAAACTCAAACTTGGGATATTAAAAACTAAACGTCAACAGCTTGTATACAAATTGTTTCTTTGTTTGTTTTTGAACTTTTATAGTGAAGGGGTAGTTAATCATGAAAATTTAAACAATTTATTTGAAACTGATTGAATATTATGTTTTTCTGTTGAATCATTTGGTAAAATTGATGATTCTGTTAAATCTTCATCTGTATCTTCATGAGGAATAACACCTAATTTTTCAGCTTCTGATCTTGTAAATGTATGATATATATCATATTCATCAATTTCTCCAATTCCTGGTGGTGGTGCAAAATAATTTATAATAACATGAACTATAAATGCAATTGCATAACCAACAATAAATGAAATATAAAAAATCTTAATTGCTCCTGTTGGAACTTTACCTTCTAATGCAGGATTTACAGATGGGAATCCAACAATACCTGGAACAAATCCACAAATCCATGAAACATAAGCTCTCCAATTAAAACCATGCCAAAACCAATAAATTGAATCCTTTTCAGCTCTATATAAATCACTTAATTTTAATTTTTGCTTTCTAACAAAATAATAATCTGCAGTGAAAACACCAATCATTGGTCCAAAGAAACAACCATATGAACCTAAAACATTAGTGAAAACTGATGCTTTAGCAATAATTTGCCATGGTTGAATAACAATTGAAATAATCATAATAATATAAGCACCTCTTCTAATATTAATCCATTTTGGTGCAATTGCAACAAGATCAATACCACCAGAAACACCATTATCAATAACATTTAAACCTAAAGTTGCAATGAAGAATCCCAAAGATGCAAAAAATGCTGCACAACGTGATCTTGCATTATAATGACCTAACCATTGTTCAATAATATTTGGTGGATTCCATAAACCTAATTCTGCAACATCACCATAAGTTTTAGCAGAAGCAGAAGTACCTAAAACACCAAATAATGGAACTATAGTACCCAAGATTAAAATTGCAAATGCTTGACCCCAAATTTGTTTACCTGGTTTTCTTGCAAATCTTGAAAAATCTGGTTGATTTGCTAAACCAACTGCAAATGCATTAATAACAACATTAATACCATGCATAAAACTCATACCTAATTCAGCACCTGGTTTAGCAGTTGATGAAGAATGTAATAAATCACCACCTCCATGAGCTTGAACCATTGCACCAATTGCAACACCAAAAATTGTAAAGAATGAAATAATAGTGAAAAACTTAAATGGTTTATTTAATTTTTCTGGTTTAATATATAAAAATGGAATTGAGACAACATGGAAAATAACAAATCCTGTAAATTGTTTTGTTGTCATTGGTAAACTATCAGGGAAATGATTTGGTAATCTATTAAAAGTTGGAAAAATTGATGATAATAAAGTTGAAATTAATTGAGCACAAGTAAATGATTGAACTGAATACCAAACACAACATAAAACAATTCTTTGAATTAAAGCTAAAAATGAACCCAACATACCAAATGTATATCTACCATAAACTGGATAACCAACATGCCAAACTGCACCACCCCAACCATGAGATAAAGCAATACCAAAGATTAAAAATTTAGCTAAAATAATACAAATCATAGATTGCCATACATTTAAACCTAATGCTAATAATGATGAACATGATTGCCATGAAGTTATACTTAAAGACATTAAATTCCAAAAACCTAAGAAATCAACATGACCCCAAGTTCTTCTACTTGGTGGTAAACAAATAACATCTGGAGATTTCCAATTATCAGTCTTTACTGTATCTGAATCTTTAATCTTTATTTTATTAACGATTCCTCTAAAGGTAACCATTTTGAATCAAAGTGTTTTATGCTATTGCACTAGATTCTTTTTATGTCCCACACTTTATTTTGAGGTACCCTTTTCTTATTTTGAAGTAAGTTTATAATATTATAATAATATAAATATCCTTTAACCTTTCAACTTTGAAATTTATTTTATATTTTTAATTTGCCCACAGACGTTGTCAAAAATAAATTTGATTGTTTTGATGGGTGAACTTTTTCTTATAAATATGTATAAAGTGTTAAAAAAACTTCAAAAATAATCTCGATTTTGAAATATCAGATCTTAAGATTCTTGACTTCAGAATAACAAAAAAAAGGGAAAGATCTTTGATTTTATAATAGATTTTAAAAGTTGTTGAAAGAGGTACTAATTGGAAAAAGTTTATACCCAAATTTACAAAATAAAGTGATTTTTGAAAAGTTCATAGACCCTTTGCAGGTTTAAATCTAAGGACTTTTCTAAAGAAGTTGTGTAATTTTCAACTGTCAAATTCTTATTTTTTTAGTGAGACTAGGACCAAATTTGGGAATTTAATTAAAGATTTGCAGCTTTTAGAGATTTGATTGGACAATGTTTGTGAATTCGCCTCCAGATTCTGATGGCCCATGGGCAGCCCACGCGAAAATCAAACGAACGTCGAACGTCGAACGAAGAGCAGTTTGATACGGTAGGCGGTAGGCTGGCCGGCTGCCTGTCAGTTAGGCAGCTTACGTACTTGCAACCAGTGAACAAGTTTACGAAAGATACACGCCTTAGTCTTTAAACTTGTCTTGTTTATAATCAACACAATTAATTGGAGCGTTATTAAACCGTTAAGATAGATCTATATAATTAATTCCTTTGTGTACAATTCTGTTCAAGTTTTCTATTATTCTAAAATATACTAGAATGTCTCTTTATTGTTGCTATATAAAAGTCTATCAGTTGATTCCTGTCAAATTATAATAGCTTTGAACAATGCACGCAACACCTTCAGCTTATAAAAATTCTGTGGAATCCATTGGAGTCCATTAAGGCATACCTGAATATGTGCAACCACGAGTAAGAGAAGAATGTACTCTTGTACTATGTTCTTACTTTCAAAACGTGTAATACTTAAATGATCATACTGATATGATCTAGTATTTTCTACCTAGCTCTATCTAGCTATGATATTATATAGACAGTCAATGTTAATCTGGATACAAATTAGCTTTATAATCCTATATGAAATTTTGTATACTGACCACGACAATTTAGTCCCACTTGACTCTTGAGAATTTGAGGTTTGATCATGAATTATTTTGCAAGTACAATTGTACTTACCTTTGTCCCTTATAATCCTCAATGTTACTCAGGCTGAAAAAACATTTCACTACCTGTTAGAGATAAAACCTTAAATAGCCATTACACAAATTGGAAGTTATCCGTTAAAATTGATACTACAACTTCTTATGATTTGAGTTAAATTTAACAATAGACTTCATGAGCGCCTGTGATCATTTTATGGATCATATATTGGTTGTCCATTTCTCAACAGCTTGTTAATATGGGGTTTATAATAGGGTATCACTTAATGGTGGCTCGTGAGTTCCAAATTGATTTGTTTGATTTTATTCAAAAGATAGCTAAAACCTATACTCTATATTTACCCATGACTTGTTCTTATAATACATACCATCACTTCAACCCATTTATATATCTGAATTACCAGCTTCATCAACAGTTAAGGACTTCGACTTTAAAGTCTTCTTCTCATCGAAAAAGCTAGACCAAGGATGTCAATTTTCAAATGACACGTCTGAATTCATTGGCCCACATCATGCATTCATGATATTTGCATACAATTATACGTAAATTTTAAAAGCTTTTATAACCGATTTGAACAATTTTAAGATCCAAGTCTCAAATATTTCTTATCTAGTGATTGTCGATCATTGGTTGCTTAATAAGTTGGGACTTACCATACTTTTGTACTTAAAACTTATAACAACTTGTTCTACAAAACTAATTAATGAACTACTTCTTTGTTAAAATTTTTAACTTTTTACTTTATGGTATTACAGATGAACAACACTGGGAAATATATATTAGACACACCAGTCAGTCACTAGACAATGGTCAGTGGAAACTGGTGTCATATATACATGTCCAATAGTGTTTCAGAAGTTAAATCATTTGAAGTCGTTTGTCGTATGAAGTTTGAACAAATAATAGTTTCCTAACGTCTTCTATTCACAATGGGTACCATATATTATAAAGGGAAATGATTTTTATACGACTAGTTATAGGTCTAAATATTTGAGTTATCTTGTTGTGATTACTGAGTTCAAGTTAATAGTATAGTCGCATTAAACTTAAACTACATATCATCAAGCATAAGATATTATACATATTGAACAATCATGTGAAAGATATTTAATATTAATTAATCAATTAATCTCAATAGCACAACTTCTCTAGCATATAAATCAGCCTATATTAGGCTAAGGGTTGGATTCATTATATGTTGTCATCAGCCAATTTAAGCGATTTAACGTTAGGTTATCTCTAGATCTCAATCATGTATATCATTGACAACTTCAGGATACATTAAAGAACAATAATAGTATGAGACATACCTTCTAGGCCAATTAAATAGAACACATTAATACAACGTTGTTATAAGCTCTATATATATCTACTTAATTCAATTTTATCATTTCTAGTTTTATCATGGTATCAGATATATAGAGCTGATCAATACTGCTCATATTTCCACCATATTACTAGTACCGTTATGATATACGTCTAATTTTAATGCTAGCTCAATTATATATAAATGATCTTTTTAAATTATAATTGCCCATAAGTACTTAATATAATGATATTCAAATAATGATAATATCTTCTAAGTCAATTTGTAATATTTAAATTATTAATAGTACGTATGAGGAATTCACTGGATCATAAATATCTAGCTCATCATTACATATAAGATTATAGACAGCGCCTAGTAATTTGATTTATGTTGTACGTTTCATGAGATCATAGATCAACAGATACTAGTATATACTGTTCCTGATTTCCGACTCTAATTAAACATCCTGACCCAAAAATTCTACTGCTCATGCATGAATAACCCAGAAATACAATTGTGCCTCAAATATTTTATACAGCTAGTTATAATCTCATGGTAAGTTGCAAGTTGCAAACTCGTCCTAACGTAATTAGGATTAAATAGAAAGTTGAAGAAACTGTTGTTGCATATATAAATCATTCGATTTTTATGTATGTTCCTTTAACTATAAGATCAACTTCAATTGCTTGATTTGCATCAACCTATAAGCGAAAATTATACTGGCGTATTGGTGTACTTAGTGATCCTGTGTCCTGACATTTGAAACTTGAAGACTGTTGAGCTGCACAGAAAGTATACATCAGATCAAGTACAGAACATATAATAATTCGGTTGGTACTTGATTCTCGAGTCTTGAGAGTTGAGATCATGAGTATTAGATGCAACCAACTCAAATTCCATTCGATATAATGATATATGATATCTCAAAATTCCATTATGTTACATGAAAATAACGGTTAATTATCGGTTAATCTAACTCGTTATAAGTTGTAACACGAATATAAGATTTGTAACCCTTGCTCATTTCCTCATTTACATGTGTGGATAGAATTGCGAGCTTCATGAATGTTCATCTTAAGCTGAAAGCCTGAAACCTGAGACAAGGTTATTGTCAAGTTTTCAACACATCATGTATATAGGAGTGGATACAAGCTGTCAAGTATATTAATCAAAATGAGGTAACTTGAGGCTACCGATTTGACATCTTAATGCAGAAGAGGTTAGAACTCGACCATGAGTTCTTCATGTCTTTCATACGATAACAAGTTACAAATTACAAGGTAAACGACCTGTGTTTTACTTCAGTATTCCGTTTTCAAAGAGTTCTTAACTCAGAATTCAGAAAATTTGACTCCTTTTGGATCTCTGAGATTCATCAGTGAACCAATCTACGTACGTATTTACAAAAATAGTAAAAGCCATTTCAGATCTTACAAATTTCCTACCTACATGTCACGCTACTTACCTATTACGGTTATCCTCGCAAAGTAAGCAGATAACCGAATGCCGACATGGAATAGATTTTCGGATTTGTGCTGATTGAAGGTGATGCCGCTTTTTAGAGTTTTGACGGACTCGGATTTGAATATGTGATGATGCTTTCAAAAACTCAAATCATAGAGATCTACGTACAGATACCTAAATTCGAATCAAACTATTCAGGAAACAGGAAGCAGTGTTCACCGATTCTTGATAACAAAAGATGAATCTTGGAAGCTTATAGTTTGTGCTATATAGGCCTAGACAGGCTACTAGTAGATGTTAATTGATTTTGGATTTTAATGTCGATCTCCGCGGTGAGGTTATTCGAAAGAATATTCGATTAACTAGTACAGGTTGTAAGTACGCGTGTAATGGATTAACTTTGAGTATAGTACTCATCTAGACTTCTAGTCTCAATTATATAGAATCATACTTAATAAAATCATCACAATTCCAGATCCCAGATCCCAGCAGAAGAAATATACACGTTAGTGATTAGCTATATTTAGAAGATGAATACCAGACTGATACTGGTAACTGCATACGCACATATAAAAATACGCCACATATCTTATATTTTTACCGAGGCATACATATTCGATCAAATTATTGTGCGTCTGTAGTACTATACCATTTACTATATACTATTATACATACTATATACTATACTATATATTATACTATATACTAGTTGTATACACAATTTTTAGACCGTATTACTTCTACAGCTCTTCATTAGTATTTTTCATGCCTTTGGATGCTGTCACAGCTCACAAGTCAAAGCTCTATCAAAAGGATCGCTTTGATCACATGGCCTTGGTGGACAATATGGCCTATATCACAATAATATTATATAGCTCAATATTATAATTATAATTCTGTTTGATCAAGCTTGAAATACGATTATTGTATATATATATATATTAATCGACGTCGATGAGCTTGTCGACAATATAGTTGTTTGTAGTACTAGAGCAGCTTATATATTAATATAATATTTCAGATATATATATACAATATTAGCTAGCAGCTCTACGCGTTTACAATTAAAATATTATGGATCAACTAGTCCTGACAGTCGATATAATATTTCAAACAAGCTTGCGCTATAGAGACAATGCGCGCCATTCGATAATCCAGCAGTTATATATTATAATTAAGCTATCTAATATTTATGAAATTTACACTTGATATTCATTATTGTTCAACAATTGAAGCTGATTACACGTACGCGTCGGATCGAGCAGTTTAAACAGCTCATGGACATGCTGAATTAATAATACATATTATTGATTTCATATATAAGCTATTTCACGTAATGAAAATTAACTATCTTCATGGTTCAGTTCAGCTGATCGTGCAGTATCTTAAACATTTCGGACCGGTACCTTTTTATAAGTGAAATTATGCTAGGAATATTCATAGTTTTAACTTGGAACAATTGCTACTTGTTAGGTATCAGCTACCAGAAGCTTTTACGAACATATAACTCAAGTTTCCTTGTCTTGAATCGTTCACGACTATTACCTTCCATAACGTTCCAAGACATAGTTTTGAATCATAGATGTTAGACAATAAAGGCACTAGATTTCAACATAGTAGTAATATGAATAATATTGTACATTGAATTTAAAGCTCAATGGCTACTGGTGATATAATAAATATATCAGATATATACAAGTTTCAACAATATTCAGGGATCATGTAATTTTGTATTAATTATATCGAAGGTTAAAATTGCGGAAATTGATTAACTTCACGGCACATTCGTGCAAAATTCAAATCCACTAAATATGAAACTTGCGGACTTTGACCGTTTCGATTCGGAAATGTGCATACGTACAGGAAAAATAAGATAAACTGGCGAAGAAGTGTTTAATAGTAAGGGGTTAAAGCATTTGTTTGAACGTTTTATGCACCCTTTGAACTGTTGAATGTGTAAGATGTACTCTGTAAAGGTTTAATTTAGATAACTTTGCGAACAGTTTTTTAATTAATATTATCATATCCGCAAAACTTCTCCATATATATATAATCAGATATCCCTATATATATTGTTTGCAAATATATCAATCTTACCCCAATTATAATTTTTTCACGTCTTCATCAACAAAGCTATCAGTGCAAAGAGTACCTCAGGAGTCAAGACTAATAGTATACAGTTTCAAAGTTCCCACAATATCCATTATATTTGAATCTGCATCAGTTCATTGATCAAATCAACAGCTTTAAAATACTGAATCTTTCACGATATATCAACGTCTTAGAATCAATTATCAATAGATTCAACGTCTACATCATCATCGAGATTTAATTTTTTCTGTTATAAACCGTTCGGAAGTTATTTCATAGTCGCCGATTCAAGGAAGAAATTTTAGTAAAGGTGCATGGCTTGCAAAAAGAAAATAAAGAATCCTAAAATCGCGGTTCAAACTTTAAGTTTAATACAAAAGAACGGATATTATCTATTTGAGACAAGATTATATTTCCTTTTGCTCATCAAGAAAGTTTAACAATACAACTATCAAGTTATAAAATCATCAGGAATTCCTTTAACATCCATCTCATTATTGAATTTTATACCATTAGAGTATAAATTATTACAGAAGTCACAAGAATCTACGCGGAGCGCGAACCACAATCAAAAAGATCAACATAGATTACAAATACAACATGTCAGTATCAGAAACCATAACAACTTTAGTTCATGAAATTCACAACTTGAAAGAATTTGAAGAAATAATACAGAAAGAAGAATTATTTGTTCTTGATTTCTATTCAACACAATGTCCTCCATGTGATGTAAGTTTGATTTTTTCTTTTGAAGCTAGGTTTAGCTAAAAAAAATTGCTGCTTTGAATTATTGTTGGGAATTTCATGTACTGACTTCTCATGAGGCATCTAAATTTTAGGCAGACAGACTTTTAATTTATGATATATTGGCAGAACTAATTACTAACATTCATATAGGTTGTTGCTCCTTTATACAAAAAATTAGCTGAAAAATATACCAATGCTAAATTTTATAAAATCAATGGTCTTGATCCAGAAGGTCTCATAGTACAAAAATCCATAGATGTTGTTTGGTGGCCTACATTTGTTATTTACAAAAATGGGAAAGAAGTATGGAGGGCTAAGATTCCAAATCCACCACAACAATACCCAACTGCTGAACTTGAAGCTGAATTGAAGAAAGTTTATGTTTAAAAAGTATTACATACCGATCAGATGAACGATCTATAGATCATCAGGAAGAAGTTGGAAGAATAACCTGAACACTTTTAATTTGCCTACCATAATGACAATTACTAGCATACTAATTTATAATACTATAACGAAGCACGACATGTCTATTGTAGTCAACACTTCTTGCAATGTTTATTAATTCCCTTTTTCTTGCTTTCTTTTTAGTTTTAGTGTAAAAATTGTGCTGTTTTTTCTTTTCCGCGCCCGTCAAAAAAAATTATTATGGCGGCCTGGAAACTATCAAAGGGAAATATTCGAAAAAATAATAAACTGGAAAGTCAGATTAAGCTGTCACGAACCAAACGATCAACTCAACCAAAAACAATAGCGCTCCATTCATTTTCATTAAGAAACATTCAGATCACAAAGACAAGATGTCAGCACCTTCAGCAAAGTCAGGCGGGAAGAAATCACACGCCTGTGGACCGTGTAGACGACTCAAAAGAAAGTGCGACTTGCAAATACCCTGTGGTACTTGTAAGTCTGGAAGAAATACCAAAATTGATGAATGTTTGGCTACTCCAGCAAAGCCTTTGAATAATATCCAAGAACTCATAGCTCCTAATCTCAAGTTTGGTAGAGTACAGAAAAGGTCGCCTTCAAATAGTGGTATTGGGCATGCAAATTCAATTTCAAGTACTAATTCAGCTTCAACTTCAAATTCAAATTCACCAAATGTCAACAAAAGGCAAAGAGCATCAAGTAGCTCAATCAAAAATGAAAGAAACAATAGTGATGCTTTCCTATCAAGTGGTAATTTTGGTTCCTTTAATTTAAATAAATCAAATAAAGTAATTCAAGAAAGTCCTGGAAGTGATCATCAAGTTTACTCTGATTCACGATCATCTGCACAAACGAGTGTCCCAGTTAACATTCAACCTTTACAACAACAACCTCAGGTGCTACAGAATACACAGTTGAATCAACAACAACAAATACCACAACAACCAGCACAAGTTCATCAACCTTCAAACTCACCATATCAACAATTTCAATATCAAAATTCTTCAATCCCAGTCCAACGTCTGTCATTTAGTCAACAGGGCTTAATTCAGCAGTCCCACCACCAACATCAGCAGTCACCTAATCCTGCAATAATACCGCAACATACACAACCGCAGTTTCAAGTACCACAAGTACATCAACCTAGCGTCTCACATAGACTATCACAAAGTGATACTTCACATCTACAACAACCTATAAATCAACAGCAGCTACAGGTTCTACAACAGCCCCAACCTCAGTTACCCATACAACCTGTTTTCACCGGTGTTCAAAACGATCTCGTGAAAAAGCAAATGGAGGAACAATCTTTGAAAATTCAAACGTTGGAAAATGAAAACGCACAGTTTAAAAGCCACGTTCAACAATTACAAAATCAATTAGAAAAAGTTTCTAAAGCTTTACCTACACCACCAAGTACGGGCTCGGAAAACATGAATTCTAAAAATGAATTCAAATTGAAATTTTTGGAGTTATTACCTTCTCAAATTCAAACCACTGTTTTAGTTAATTTTTATCTTCAAAATATTGATTATATTTATCATCCTTTACATCATCCTTCTTTTAGAAAAGAATGTGAAGAATTTTGGAAAAATCAAGAAGATGTTGATATTGGTTGGTTAGCCGTTTTATTCATGGTTCTTTCATTAGCTGCTATTCATTTACCTAAAGGTTTAATTAATATATCACATCAGGAGATTGAAAAATCCCATAAAACTTGGTTCAAAGCAAGTCGTGAATGTATTACACAATGGGATGAATCTCGTAAAGATCCTAAAGAGTTTAATATTTATACTTTACAATGTTTTTCTTTATGTCAATTATATTTTTATGCTACAAAAAGAGCTGAAGCTTTAAATGAACTTTTAGAAAAAGCTATAAAGGATTGTTTAGCAATGGGCTTAGATAAAGATGATGCCAATAATCCAAATTTATTAGAAACTCAAATGAAAAGAAGACTTTGGTGGGATATTGTTGGGTGTGATTCATTCAGAGCTTTATCACTTGGTGTTAAACCTTTGGTGAACTCTTATAGTAGCACTGTCCCATTACCTGCTAATTCAAATGATGCAGATATAACACCTACCTCAATAAAGATTCGTTCAAATTCAATTGCAACTGATAATTCCTTCAATATTTATCGTGCAGAAATGATGAGAATTTTAAACGGTATTTATGAAAAAGAACATGAAGCTCAAGAAAGTAACAATGGATTGAAAACGAATTTGGATAAAGTTGAAGACAAAATTTTCAAAGGTTTGATTGAAATTGATATAGAACTTTGTAGTACTTTCAAAGGTTGGTTTTTTCAAATTGATAAAGTTGGTAATTTACCAAATACAAATGATCCAAAAATTCAATTTCAACATCATATGTTACATATTTGTATTTGTATTCATAGATTCAGAATTTATCAAAATTATTTATCCAATGGTATTCCAATTGCTTGGGAAGTTGGTGTTACCTCTGCAAGAGCCATGTTTCAAGTTTATAAAAGGTTGAGAAAAATTTATGATTTGAAAAATCCTTTATTCTTAGCACAAATTCATCAAGCCTTTACTGGTTCTATTATTCAATCCATGTTGCTATTACTGAATCATAAAATTGCTTTACAAGATCAAAGTGCTTTATATAATGATATTGATTGGATGTTGAAAGATTTGGAAGTTTTGGGTAGAGATGTTTTCATTTTAAAACCTGAAGTCTTGAAGGAAAGTTTCAAAGTTTTAAATGCATTGAGAAAAAGTATTAATAAAAAATTGGTTGATTTGGAAAAAGATCAAAAAGATATTGTTTCTAATGTCTTTGGTGGTAAAGATATGACTGAAAATTATTTGCAAAAATGTACTGTGTCTTTTATTATTGATAAAGTTGATAGAAAAGCTAGTCAAGATTTACCAGCTGCTGAAGAAGGTACATTTGATTTCAAAAATCAATTGGGTACATTGGTTGATTCTGAATTAATTCAACAATCTGTTCAAAAATTTGAACATTTAAGAAATTTTTTGAAACCAGAAAATCAACAACATAATGATAATCTTGAAAAGCAAATTAAAACTATGAAATCGCAAGCTGAAAAAAAGAAAAAGAATTCACAAGATGATTCTAAACAACTTCAATCATCATCACAAAGTTATACTCCAAATGATAATCCATTAATTGCAAATTCACAATTTATGATGAATCAAACGTTCCCATTATCACAAGAAGCAACTCAACCTGCTGATCCAAATAGTTATCCACAACATAATATTTATTCCAATGGTAATAATGGTTACACTAATGGTGATAATGTATCAGGACAACAATTAAATAATGATGCTAATGGGGCCACTGACGGAGGATTTGTTAGACAAACAACACCATTTGATATGGGATTTGTTGGAATTGATGCATTTTGGAATGATGTTGGTCCTCAAGGTATTGATGAATTGAATAATATGTACTATTCAGAATTTTCAGGTTATAAGATTGTTTGAAATAATTGTGAGTTCAATTTCAAAGGTTACTTTAAGTTTTTTTAATTCAACAAAGGGGTTAGAACTTAGTTCTTAGATAGATATTAGGAGTCAGCTTTCAAGTTCCAGGTCATAAGTTCATGCAAAGTGAAGTATTTCAATTTTTTTATGCTGATATGCGGACAAGTTTCAAGTTCCCAACAAACTGAAAACGAGCGTATATTTTTTTCCCGTTTATTTCTGATTCCTGAACCATACTTTTACGTGGCAAATTGCAATTTGAAAATGAGTGTTATTTTTGTTCCTTTTCTGATGTACAGATTTTAATGATTTATGTTAGATTATGTATTATAGTTAATATTAGAATTTTCAAGCACGGAAGCATTATAAGCTAAGTTATTGTAGCTTATATGTTTGAACATATATGACTAATCATCGTTAAAGCTGGTAAATTGTAACAATTATAACATAACGGAAGCTTTACTAATCATTAAAGCGCTATAATTCCAATATGATATTCCCAAGATCCGGCGATCGATCAGATCTGGTAAGTAAATTATATATGAAAATTGAGTAGCGTAGTTGCGATCGTATATACATAAGATCATCTTATATATAATTACTATATCATATCATATTGTTTATCATGTGTAATTAGCTGGCTATAATCCAGCTATATCCTAGTATATATATACGTTATACCACATCAAATTATGAAAATGTCATACGAGAACCTGTAGGGCATAATTAATATATGTTGCTGATTCCCACGAATATGTAGAGATCTCTATGGATTTGTATATGGATCAGCGTACAAACGGCAATTATCAAGTTGTAACTTTGTATAAGTACCGATCTCCACGTAGTATAATCGAGTTGTGTAGTTTTGGGTTCGAATTATATATACATGTTAAGAGAAAGCTAGATCAGGACCGAATGCAAATTACTCTACAGCAGTACCTATCATCTTTAGCTGCTCTAAAGATCGAATTTATGCAGATAGCTGCTAAAATCATATAATTTCAAGTAAATATATTGTATGATACGTAGCTAGGGTTAATATAGTACTTTCGGTATATATAGAAGAGAAGTGTATATGAATATGTTCAAAGGCGCTTTTAAATATCCTGTTATGAAATTATACAGCAGCTAGTACATTCAATAGCCCTATTTGAAAGCTTCAGTCTAGAATACTGCCAGCTCTTATGTTTATAGATCGGAAGTATACGTACTGGTGACTGGATAAGTAGGATCATTGGTACCTTAAATTTCTGGATATCGCGAACGTTCTGACCATATGGATTTATATTAGTACGTCTTACTGCTGTAAACTATAGTTGTCGTTGTCCAAACTAATCCTTGATTGAGCTATATATACTATATAAACAGATAGTACACTGTACTCTGACCTTTCATAAATTTCAGGAGCAATATTAAATTTACGCGCTGGTTTGACTCCTTGTATCTTATATTGTACGTTACATTGTTACATTAGATGATACATAAAGTGTCATCGAATTACCTCTATGACGAATTAATGGTTGAAGTACAAATCGAATCCGCTATAGGCCGCAGGAGAGGCGGTGTGAAGTGTGTCTTGATTCTTTCTTGAACGCTGGGATCATGGTAAAGCATCAAGTGCCACAGACCCACAAGTTACAACTTACAACTAGTAGTTAATAGTTATGTTATAACAAGTTACTCAACGTCGAAGCTTGAAATGGACTTCTTTCAAGTTCAGCTGTTCTACGCAGACCACCGAGCGGGAGTCAACCAACAGATTTAGCGGAGCAAATCTTATAACAGCCTAACGCTAGGCAGACGCTCTGCACAGCTCGGCAAGAAAGTCTACAAAGCTAACGGTTTTCATGGTTACCAGTTTACAAGTTACAAGGTACAAGTTTACAAGCACAACTTACCAGAGGGGTTCTGGGATCAATGAGACATAGATTCAGGCTTGAATACAACGTTAAAGCTTTGGAAAGCACGGTGTTCCTCTTCTAGAGTATAATTTTCAATAATTGCAAGTTAATGTTCTGGGATCTGTAGCTGACTGTGATATTTTTAAAGAAGATTCTGAAGGACCTTTAGAATTATATATCTGCTGGGCGCCATGATTATAATAGTACAACATACAGAATGCATCTGAACACAATGGACAAGATATATATCTTCATCGCAATTACTGCTGATTTCTCAGTGACTCCTGAGACTGTGTATGGGTTATGAACTTTCTGAGCTTAGCTTAAACAGAATTGCCTTAGACCTCATTTCGTCCCAAAGAAGAATAGCGAGTGAGGCATTGAAAAAGGAAATGTCCGTTTTTGTTGGTTTGATTTTCTTGATCTTGGTTTCTCAGGAAAAAAAATATTGTTTTGATTCCTGAACGTAACAATACGAGATAATAAAGGAACGCCGTTACTAGCTAGTCGTGAATCGTGATTATTTACTGCGTGAATTGAAGTAAAAATCTTAGGCTTAACAGAACAATAACCAGATATCTCAGGCAGATCTCTGTTTTCTTTAATACAACAATTGATTTTATATTAAAAGTAAAATGTCAAAGTATCTGATTGGGATTGATGTTGGTGGAACAAACACTGATGCTGTACTATTAGACCCAGCTTCATCAGATAATGATAGGGCTGTTATATCTTGGAATAAACAATTGACATCTAATGATGTTTCTGGTGGTATAAAGGACTCTATCCTTGAATTGTTCAAATCAAATGTTGGTGTTTCTAAAAAGGATATATTATCAGTAACCATTGGTACAACACATTTCATCAATTCTATTGTGGAAAGGGATCAAGCTAGATTAGACAAAGTTGCAGTGATTAGAATATGTGGTCCTTTCTCTCATAACGTTCCCCCATTTAGTGATTTCCCTTCCGACTTAAAAAACCTATTGAATGGTTATAATGGACTTATAGCTGGTGGTTATCATGTTGATGGATCAGAAATTTTAGAGATTGATGAAGAGGAAATAAGGTCTCATGCTAGGAAAATCAAACAATTAGGATTGACAGCTATAGCTGTTACTGGTGTATTCTCTCCAGCTTTTCAAGATCAAGAACGCAAAGTTCTTGAAATATTACAAGACGAGATTCCTTTAGCAAATATTGTTTTATCTCATGATTTAAGTGGGATTGGACTATTAGAGCGTGAAAACCTAGCAATTTTAAATGCTGCTGTTAAGAATTTTGCTAACAAAATCATCAAAGCTTTTTCTCATGCTGTCAGGACATCTGGTATCGATGCTCCTATATTGCTAACGCAAAATGATGGTACAGTTTTGACAATAAATGAAGCACTTAAGATTCCAATCAAAACTTTCTCATCGGGTACGACGAATTCAATGAGAGGTGCTTCTTTCTTATTGAATAAATTTAAAGGGGAAAACGTTATTGTCTTAGATGTTGGTGGTACTACATTAGATGGTGGTATGTTACTATCAAATGGTTATCCACGGAAAACTTCATCTTATTCATTCATTGGTGGTGTGAAAACAAGATTATCAATGCCACAAGTTGAAAGTATTGGTCTAGGTGGTGGCTCTATTGTTAGAGTTCTTGAAAATGAAAAAGTTACAATTGGTCCAGATTCTGTTGGTAATGATTTTAGTAAATCCATTGTTGGTGGTGGTTCAACACTTACAACTTCTGATATTGCTGTTTCAATTGAACAATCGTTAGAAAATTCAGATAATGATCCTATTCTATTAATTGGTGATAAATCAAGAGTCACTAATAAAGTTAGTAATGACCTGAAAAATGCTTATAATGTTGAAATATTAAGAATGGTTGAAAAACTTATTGATAAGATCAAAACTTCACCAGCTGACATACCTGTATTATTAGTTGGTGGTGGTTCATTTATTTTACCACAAAGTATAAATGGTGCTTCTGAAGTTTGGAGACCTAAGTATTACCAAGTTGCAAATGCTATTGGTGCAGCTATAGGTAAAATTAGTGCAGTTTCACAAAAATTTGGCAAAGTAGAAGATAAAGAAAAAATAGTGGAGGAGTTAACTCAACAAGCTCGTGAAAAAGCTTTGAATAATGGAGCATTAGAAAATACCATACAAGTTGTTGATATAGTTTCAGAGGAATTACCATATGCCAACTTACATAGATTTGAAACAAAAGTTGTTGCAGATGTTGATTACACCAAGTTAAAACTCACAGTCCCAGATGAACTACAAAATGCAACAGAGATCTATGATGAATCGAGCGAACAGTTTGAAAAAAAACCATTAAAGAATGAAGGAGATGAATTTGTTATGGGTGATGTTGCTACCTATAAACCGAAAATTGTTGATGATGAATGGATAATAAGTGAGACCGATTTAGAATTTTTAAGAATAGGTACATACATTCTTGGATGCGGTGGTGGAGGTGACCCATACCCACAATATTTAATTGCAAGAAACTTATTAAGAAAAGGTCAAGTTATGAAAGTTGTTGATGTTGATTTCAAACAAAATTATGAATCTATATCAGTTGGATTTTGTGGATCTCCAACAGTTTCAACAGAAAGATTACAAGGCTCAGAAATCAAGACTGCATACTCATTATTGAATTTTAAAGGTGATATAGAATCTGTAGTTTCATTAGAGATTGGTGGTGGTAATGGGTTTCAAGGGTTATTACTTGGTGCTGAATTGAACGCAAAAGTTATTGATGCAGATCTTATGGGAAGAGCATATCCAATGATTTGGCAAATATTTCCTGTTGCATTATCAGATGAACCTTTCTACTCACCATGTGCCTTCAGTGATGGTAATGGTAATGATGTTATGGTATCTAAGACAAAGACAAATCAACATGCTGAAAAGATTGTGAGATCCGCATTATCAGAACTAGGTTCATTTGTTGGTCTTGTATCATCAATCAAAAATGTTAACTCTTTAGTTATAAGAAATAGTATTTCATTAGCTTGGAGAATTGGTAGAGCCGTTACATTAGCAAAACAGAAAAGTGATATTGAAAATTTACCAGAACATATCATCAAATCAGTTTCACCAACTGGTGCCAAAAAATTATTCACTGGTAAGATTATTGGAATTGAAAAGAAAGTTCACAAAGGTTATGTATTCGGGGAAGTAATTATTGAAGATGGGAATCATACTTTAAGAATTCCATTCCAAAACGAAAACATATACGCAGAACTTGACGGTGAAGTTGTTGCTTCTGTCCCAGACCTTATCACTGTTATAGATGCTGATACAGGTGAAGCAGTTGGTACTCCAGATTATAAATATGGGTTATTAGTTGTTGTTTTGACAATTGCTCCTTCGAACTTGTGGACAGATACTGAAAAAGCTTTGAAACTTGGTGGACCTGAAGCCTTTGGACTTGATAATATCAAATATAAAACAACTACAGAACCTTATGTAAAGCCTCATAGTGTTATCGAGGAGTATAAATAACCTAATAATTAATGAATTTTGTGTTTAATGAGAAAGAAGTGAGTAACTCGTACTATGATTTGTAATCATAAGCGTGGTGATTATATAATAATCATAAAGTTCTGCTCTTACCGACTTTGATTTTTGGCGTGGAGAAACTTTGACTTTTCCTTATTTTAAGGATGATTTCATTGGCAGTTTGAAAGATTGCAAGATATTGAAAACAACTTGTTTTACTTCACCAAAAGTCAATCAAAGTGCTTGCTTTAAGATATTGAGTGCTGTGTTATTGAAACTGATAGTTGCTGCTCAGGTTACACTTGGTGATTGTTGTTTTTGTTCCCATTGTTTACTCGGTTTATTTTCCAGGGGATAGTAAAGTCTAGCACCACCACAACTACGTTATTTGACAATTAAAAGTTGATTAGACATAACCTTAGATCAAATGCTCAACAGATCAATACAAAGGGCTTCTTTGAAAGCTTGGAAGACTCAAAAGGGTGCATTTGTGAGAAGCTTCATGGCCAGCTCCAAGTTGCGAGAAAGTGAATACGATGCATATGTGCCAAAGAGGGAACCTGGAATAAAGATCCCAGTTCATCAAGAATTAAACAATCCATTAGGAAGTTATACACCAACTAGAATTACTGAAGAGTTGAAGATTGAGAGTGAAGACACGAAAGCGGTTGGTAGTCAAAACTCCAAAATTAGACATTTCACGGTGAATTTTGGACCTCAACATCCTGCAGCTCATGGTGTTTTAAGATTAATCTTGGAATTGCAAGGTGAGGAAATCATTAGAGCTGATCCTCATATAGGTCTATTACATAGAGCTACTGAAAAATTGATTGAAAGTAAAACTTATTTACAAGCATTACCATATTTTGATCGTTTAGATTATGTTTCTATGATGACCAATGAATTATCATTTGCTATTGCAACTGAGAAATTGTTAAATGTTGAATTACCATTGAGAGCAAAATATATTAGAACGTTATTTGGTGAAATTACAAGAATCTTGAATCATTTAATGTCTGTCTTGTCACATGCTATGGATGTTGGTGCTTTAACACCATTCTTATGGGGGTTTGAAGAACGTGAAAAATTGATGGAATTTTATGAAAGAGTATCAGGTGCAAGATTACACGCTGCTTATTTCAGACCTGGTGGTGTATCACAAGATCTTCCAGAAGGGTTATTAGATGATATCTATATGTGGGCTACACAATTTGGTGATCGTATTGATGAAACTGAAGAATTGCTTACAGATAACAGAATTTGGAAACAAAGAACAATAGGAGTTGGTATATTGACTGCAGAAGATGCTCAAAATTATGGTTGCTCAGGTGTTATGTTGAGAGGTTCAGGTGTTCCTTATGATATCAGAAAAGCTCAACCTTATGATGCTTATGATAGAGTTGAATTTGATATTCCAGTAGGTACAAATGGTGATTGTTATGATCGTTATTTGGTTCGTATGGCAGAATTCAGACAATCATTAAGAATCATTGAACAATGTTGTAATGATATGCCACCTGGTGCCGTTAAAGTTGAAGATTATAAGATTTCACCACCACCAAGAAGTTTAATGAAAGAAGATATGGAGGCTTTAATTCATCATTTCTTATTATTCACCAAAGGTTATGCCGTTCCACAAGGTGAAGCTTATGTTCCAATTGAAGCACCAAAGGGTGAAATGGGTGTTTATTTGGTTAGTGATGGGTCCGAAAGACCATATAAGTGTAAAATTAGAGCCCCTGGATTTGCCCATTTAGCTGCTTTCGATCATGTTGCTAGAGGTAATTTGTTAGCTGATGCTGTTGCTATTATTGGTACTATGGATTTGGTCTTTGGTGAAGTTGATCGTTAGGAGAAGCGTTCACCTGGATCTTTAAAATTTATCCTATTTACTAACTTATTTATTTATTTATTTATTGAAAACATATAAGGTTGACTGTTATTAACGGTTCATACATTATTTATTTATTATATTTATTTATTATCAACATTGGTCTCATAGATCTAATCGTTGATTGTCATACATAAGAAATCATATTATATACACGTGTTTTGTTCATCTACACGATCTATTTATATGCAATGGGTTATTGTCTTATTAATATTTAAAATTCTATAAATCTATTGAATCAAATGCAAAAATTATATGAACAGTCGAAATTGATGTTCACGATATTAAAAAATCACACTCTATTGTGCGCGTCGAAAGTATAACTTTGATTATTATCGCTTCGTATGGAAGCTTCATCATCAAATAATTGTTCCATATAGACACTTGGAGGTCTTGCAGGTTTGGATTTCTTTTCCCTTGTATGATCAGTATCAATACTTGATGTTGTTTGATGCCCAAAGTTTGGAGTATACGGACTATCAATTGGTGATTCAAAAGCAGCATAACCACCAACATCTTCTAATCTTTGGAAATTGTTTAGTTGTTGAGTTGCTAAAAGTTCAGTTGGTGAAATAAATAATGAATTTCTTGGATTATTATTCATTAAAGCAGTTCTAAAAGATCTTCCACTTGGTGCAACCATTTGTTCCATAGAAGCTTGTGATCCCAAAACATTCAATGTAGATGTTGAACCTAATGAATAGATTGATGCACGACTTGTATGCTTTGTTAATCCTTTTTCCTGGAATAATGAAGGGTCATAATCAAATTCAGTAACTTTATTCATTTGATTAGCTTCTTTAGCATGTTTATTAGACAAACACCAATAAATTACTCTTGTAAACATTAAACCGAAAAATATCAGTCCCAAAACACCCCCAAAAGCTATGAATGTTGTACCATAAGGCAATTTGGGTATAACTATATTTGGATTTGAACCAGTTGGAACAGTTGGTGTGAATGTTGGTGTATATGAAGAAGTTTGTGAACTAGCACTTGTTTGCGTAATTGTTGGCATCGCCTTTGCTGAAGTTGATTTATCACTTGCTAAAACTGAAGACATCATGGCACACAGCACCGTGAAGGTTGATATCGTGTTTATGGTGATCCCTTTCATTGTATAATTTTTATGATGTTGATATATAATATAATCTTTTGGTGATTTGTGTTTTAATTGAAACTTTGAAATTAATGATATGAATCAATATAGTTTTTGGTGATACCGTATACTTGTGAAAAAAGAGCGTGTGTAGTTGGTTAAGTATTAAAACAGTAGGATGTCAGACCTGATCAAATGTTATTAAAAGGTTGAAAAGATGAATAAATTAGTTTGATAAATTATTTTTTTAACTTGAAACTCCAAAACAGCCATTCGAATAAGTTATAAATAAAAGTGAATTCACGCATCAAAAATACTCGCTAAACACCATTGCGATAGCAGCAACTCACAGTGTATTTCAACCATTCGTGTATTAATGGAATATTGAGGCCATCAAAGGAGTCGATCTGGACAGACATCTGCAGGGAAGATATACACACGCGCTCTAATTTCACCAAAACAACGCGTCGATTGCAGGTTTCGCGAGCCATAAACATTAATTTTGCGTCAAGAAAGGAACAATTTCTAAACAAATTTGGAACTAAGTTACAATTTTTGGAATCATTTGTATAATTAGACATAGAATAAGCCAGATGGCCAATCTGGATTCGAATTGAGAGACGTAGATCGATCCCAATTAATAGACAATGATTTAGCTTGTTCAATTAAGGTTTAGAAGATGCCTGAGAGTGAAAGAGGGAAGCACGTAAAAATAATTAATCCTTTGAAGTTTTGACTAACTATACTTATAGCTTTAGGAAGTTAAAGAAGAAATCTCAACAACTTAAAGGTCAATACTTGGAGTGTGGTATTACGTATATATTATACCATGATCCACGTTTAATACCATGTTGGCTAGAAGCTTAAATGGATATGGAGATCACTAGCTCGAATTTGACACAATTAACTACAGAAACTACGTCGATCCCTTACCTAGTACTAAATAATAAGGGGTGTATTGCACTGTATTCTACTTCTTTGTTCTTACTACTTAAAAGTTAATATATCAACTAGTAGTTGACACAACCCATGTGGTCATATTTAAGTTCTAACTCCTAAGATCAAGTCTATTTAATCGTTAAAAATATAACTATATCAGTTAATACTACAAATGTAAACCCTTTACTAACTATGCAGATATCTATTAAATTATTAAAACAATTTTAATTCTCTAATCAGAAATGAAATAATGAGAAAAACTTTTACAGAATGACAATCAACTGACATGGAAACGAGATATAGTAAAATAAATACAATGCCTTAAAACCTCCAGTTTTCATCAACTGATTCAATAGCCCATTTGAATTTTTCTCTTAAAGTTTTGGTGAAAATCTTTTCAATTGGAACATCAAATTTTTTACAGAAAACAACTGATAATCTTGGATCAATATAATTGATCTTTGAAGTACTTAATGAAACTTCAGAGTTATCTTCTTTATCTTTCATTTGAATAGAAGTATTTGTAATTCTTTGTTCCAATTTTTCAACTTGAGCTTCTAATTTCTCCACAGTAACATTGGCTGGTTTAACTTCTGGTTTACCAGATTTAGCTTCTTTTTTATATTCTTTTTCTAATTCATCAACTTTTTTCAAAGCTTCTTTTAATTCAGATTGTGGTAGAAGTTCTTCTTTATTTTCTTGTCTTTTTTCATTGTCTCTTTTAAATTTCTTTTCTTGTTTATCACGTTCTCTTTCTATAACAACTTTATGAATTTCAAGTTCATCTTCTTTACTTAAATCTTCCAATTCTTCAAAATATTCTGGTTTCTTCTTTTTCAAATTCTTATCAATTTGTAACATCATCTTCTTGAGTCTAATTTTTTGCCATAGCATTTCTTTCAATTTATCATGAATCTTTTGCATAGCAGCATCGTGACCTTTAGCCACGGTTCTTTGATGGTTACATAAAATAGCAACAGTTCTATTGGCAGCATTGAACTTTGTAACCTTTTCAGCAGGTGTACCTTCATTTGGAATCAAATCAAGTTGATCTTGCATAGTCTTTGAAGCATTATATGTACGGAAAACTTTAGCTGTAAGACCTGGCATATAACTATGGAAACGTTTGTTTAAAATTGAAGGATCTAAACGATCAAATAATTGATCACCTGGTCCCTTTGGTGCCTTTTTGAAAAGTTTTAAATTCTTGAAAACTTGTGGAGCAACTTGAACTTCTTGATAAAATCTAATAGAATCTTTACCTAAGAAATCAAAAACAACAGTTGTTGGTGGACTTAAAGTGATATGTTCATATCTTAAAGAACAACAACCGACAGTATCAGCTTCATCTTCTGATTTTTCACCACCCGCTCTTAAAGCAAAGATATCAATCAAGTAAGTGGCAGTAGCAATCTGACGATTCAACATCAATTTATCACGAAGCATACCTTCATAATCTTCTCTAACTTTTGCAATATGATATTTTAATTCTCTTGCCTTTTCAAATTTTTTGTAATCACTCATACCTTTCAATGAAGAATTAGCAGCGAATCTCACATATTTGACAGCGTTTAAAACATTTTCTCTCCACATGGCTAACCAAGAAACTGTGTTATCATGTCTAACTTCAGCCCATTTATGACCTTCTGGAGCTGGTGGGACTGGTGCATCTTTACCCAAATTCAAAATGATGTCTTCAGGGAAAACACGTCTTTTCAATTTACCAGTTCTTGGATGTGCACCACGACCTCTGAATAAACCTGGTGGTTCAACTCTGAAATTACCAACTTGTTCTTTTCTACCATTTAATAAACAAATTTTGTATGGTGCTTCTTCTTCTTCTTTCTCTTGTCTAAGTCTTTTCTTCTCAGAAGCTGGTATTGATTTTTTCTCTTCCTTTTTCAATTCAAAATATTGATGCATCTTTGTGAAATCACATTTTTCAAATTCTTTGATTTGAACATTACAACCACCAGATTCTTTTAAAACATCCAAAAAATCATGAAAGAAATTTTTTTGGAAAACAGGATTCTTACCATGATCAGTTTCTAACAATGCACCGAAAAAACCTGCAACTTCTTCAGCAGCCAGTGGCAAATCAACTGGTTTACCATCATAATATAGTTTAACATGTGAAGGTAATGGCTCATACTCAGGTGGAAACATAACACCATTATGTTCCAATGTATCCCACTTGATGGTATCGTCATCTTTTTGTTCTTCCCACCATTTATAAGTTCCATCATCTTCGTCATCATCACCATCACCATCACCATCCGGACTGGGTGTTTTTTCTTTCTTTGGTTTTTTGTCACCATTAGTTGATGCCTTGGTGTTACCATTAGAAGTTGATTTCTTTGGTTTCTTTTCATCTGATCCTTCCTTTTTTACTCTCTTTTTTGGTTGTGCTGGTTTTGATGATGCTTTACGTTTTTGACTTGATTTAGCTTGTTTAGCCAACGGAACGTCTCCATCGTCTGAAGTTTGACTTTGAGCTGACAGAGAAGTTTCTGTGGTTGATGTAGCATTCAATTGAGATAAAGGAACATCATCCTCATCACTATCATCTTCCAATTTTGGTTTAGTTGTTGTTGATCCTATAAAGAAACATAATTGTTAGTAACAAAAGTCCATAGATATACTAAAGCAGACGCATTTAGACGTTATGTAGATCTCCACAAACTATGAATACTCACTTTTGGTTCTTTGAGCAAGAACAACGTCATCCTCCGAGTCAGACATGCCTTGAGATATTTTGTATTGATCCTTATAGGCAGTAGTTGTTGTGAAAAGTGGTTGGATATGTTTTAATAAAATTTGAAATGATACAGCTCAGCAAGTTTAAATTCTGTCACAATTTTTTGATGGCTGATAACTGGCTGAATATTGCGTAGCTATTGGTAGATATTTCAAAGCAATTAGAATATGTTGATCTCTAAAAATATCTGAATCTCAAAAATTATTGAAAATACCAAGTTGAGACTTCACAGAAACCCTTGATTCAATGTTTTGATTTTGTTGTTGATGCCAGAGAGATTAATTTCAATTTTTCTAGAAATCGCTGGCGGTTGTTTTCTTTTTTTTTCTTTAAATCTGGTCGCGAAAAAGTCATGTGCTGAGAAACGTGATTATCACGTGAATTGATTTTCTAGTTTTAAGCTAGTAAATTAGGTCAAAATGGCAAACAATCATGATACTATTAACCTTTGGATACAAGTCGATGATACAGCGTCTGTATGGACCATCCTTATTGTTAATTAAGACATAACATACTGAGATTTCGAGCATGGTGGGTAAATTACATTGTCCAGCTACTACTAACTAGTTAACTAGACAGTACTACAGATCTTAACATGATCACTGCATTCGAACATTCGAACCACAAAACAACAGGTCCTTTACACAAATAGAACCCTGTTTCAGTACCTAATCGAGCTGTATATGTTGTGCCTTTTTAAGATCTCACACGCATCACCAAGTGCAACTGTTTTCAATTTGAATTATTTTAATTGTCTTTGTTATTGTGTAACTACTTTCGGCGCACCATCGGTGCTTAACCGCTACAATATTATTATTTACATATTGCCGCTTTCAGCATATCGCTAGTAAAATGAAAACAAACATACACAAACCAAATATTTGATTCGAAATTTGAATGGAAAAATAAAAAGATCATCTTTACCACATTTCTCTTCTACTCAGACATCTCTGGTCTTTGAAGCTTATACCCATTACCATACACACCGTGTTATAACCAGTTACAAGATCCACTCGTTGACTTGAATATTGTTTGTTTGTTTGTGCATATTCCATTCTTCACATATACCTATTTTTTTTTTGGTTTCCAGAGCTCATTCTCCAAATCAAATATCTTGAAAATAAGTTCTTTTTGTGTTAGCGCTGAAACATAAACTTCAATATACTACCATCTAGATCATTCAAGCTCATTAATAAGGTCAACTTCTATTCATAGAACCTTCCTTAATCACCATCGTTCGTCACATATATCATCCACATTGAATTGTCTCATTCTTTTTTGATCACAAGATTTCATCATTATGGCTGCTGTAAGAGGTCAACCGCTACAAGCATTAGGTGCTAGAGAATTAAACGCTAGGTCAAGAATCACAAATCAACAGATAACACCTTTGAAATCAACAAGAAAGTTAGAATCTGAAGTTGAAGTTGTCAAAGCTGAAAAAGTTGTTCCAGATCAACCTAAAGATAAAGCTAAAAAGAAGAAGGAAAAATTATCTGCTTTATGTAAGACTCCACCATCTTTGATTCGTACAAGAACTGGTAAAGATTACAAAAGAGGTCTATTCTTAGGTGAAGGTGGTTTTGCTAGATGTTTCCAAATAAGAGATGATAGCGGTGAAGTTTATGCCGCTAAAACTGTTGCTAAAGCTTCTATTAAAAGTGATAAAACCAAAACAAAACTATTATCAGAAATCAAAATCCATAAATCTATGTCACATTCAAATATTGTTCAATTTGTTGATTGTTTTGAAGATGATGTTAATGTTTATATCCTTCTAGAAATTTGTCCAAATCAATCATTAATGGATTTACTGAAGAAGAGAAAAGTTCTTACTGAACCTGAAGTTAGATATTTCATGACACAAGTCATTGGTGGTATTAGATACATGCATACAAGAAGAGTTATTCACAGAGATTTGAAATTAGGTAATATCTTTTTTGATCCTGAAATGAATTTAAAAATTGGTGATTTCGGTCTTGCTGCTGTATTACATGCTGATAAAGATAGAAAATACACCATTTGTGGTACACCAAATTATATTGCACCTGAAGTCTTGACAGGAAAAACCACTGGTCATAGTTACGAAGTGGATATCTGGTCAATTGGTGTTATGCTTTATGCTTTATTGGTTGGAAAACCACCTTTCCAATCTAAAGATGTTTCTTTGATATATGAAAGAATCAAAACAAATGATTTCCATTTCCCTGCAGATAAACCAATCTCTAATGAAGCAAAAATCTTAATTCAAGATATTTTATCAACTAATCCATTAAAGAGACCAACATTAGATGAGATTCTTGAATATGATTTTTTCAAAGGTCCATTCCCTGAAAAAATTACTGTTGAAACATTAGTTAGTGTTCCAGATTTCAGTCATTTGGACAGACATCAATCACAAATCAACTTTATGAATGCCAGAAGAAATGCTGGTTTAATTCAATCATCACAAAAAAATCCAGTTGAAATTCTGAGATCAGATTTAGAATCTGAAAAACCAAAGACAATTTTACCACAATCATTATCACCTGGTAACACCAAGAGCAAGTATAAAGAAGTAACTGACATGGCTGTTCGTCCAAGAAAGATCGAAGAGTCCTCTTCAAAATTAGGTAAAGCTAGAAGATTAGATGATGATCGTAAAACCTATAGAACTTCAATTGATGCTATCCCAAGATTTTCAGATACTGTTCTTCAAAAAGAATGTGAAGGTACATTGACTGGTATTTTAGCAGCAGAACGTCAAGCAAGATCAAGAGTTCCAAATAGATATTCTACCATTCTGAAAACTCCAACTTTAATTAGTAAGTGGGTTGATTATTCAAATAAACATGGATTTTCCTATCAATTATCTTCTGAAGATATTGGTGTTTTGTTCAATGATGGTAATACTCTGCTACGTGTTAACCATTCCAATAGTTTTTGGTATATTATGAATGATCTCACTGATGGTTGGGTAGCACAAGAATACAAAATGGGTTTTATTCCACATGAACTTTCAAGACAGGTTGAGATTGCTGATTTCTTTGCCAAATATATGAAGACAAATCTATGCAAAGTTTCTAATGATGATGATTCTTTGATTGAAGAAACAGAGGAAATTTTCTTAAGAAGATACACCAGATCAGATTTGTATGTCATGTTTGAATTGAGTAATGGTTCAATTCAATTTAATTTTAGAGATCACCATAAAATGTGTGTTTCACAGGCCGGTTCTGTTATCACATACATTTCACCAGATCGTACATCAGAAACTTGTTTATTATCCAACGTTTTGAGAGATGGTTCATTCCCAAGTGTTGCTTATGACATTGGTCTTGATGAGAAACTTGCCTTAATCAAAGAAGCTTTGAAAGGAAAAGTGAATGCTTAATTCAATCAATTATGAAGTACATTTGAATACTTCACTATTACATTAAGAATTGGTTCTGAACAGAATCAAATATATTATTAGATACCCCCACATACAAATAACATTTTTCTTCATAGGACCTTTATCAAGAGTCCACCAGCGGCATTCATTATTGAGAGATCAAAGAGATGACATTTTGTACTTTTATTTCATTTAATCACAAAGTTAATTTTTTTCACGTTTAATTAGTTCCAGCATTTTATATATATATAATCATTAATGAACAAATAAAAAATATAATATAAAACCAGATGTAGTAGCTTAACGCTATTTGATGTCAAAGAATTACTTGAATTTTTTGTGATTATTTATTTCACGAATTAAATGCTTTTTTTATTTCTAATATACAGCTTTCATATGATACAATGTTAATAATAAATTAACGTTAAAATTCCCAATCCAATAGAATAATTGATATTATTATATCAAAATTCAGAACCATCGACAGCAAAGGTTTTCAAATCCCATTCATTTTTGAATTTACTTTTCAATGCTTCAATTTGTGCTATAACATTATAACAAGCATTTTTTAAAGCTTCTCTTGGGGTATAATTATCTTCAGTTTGAATTCTCATGACAAAGTTTGCAAATAATGGATGTTCAACTTTATAAGCTGCAAATACTACTCTTTCATCTTTTAATAATTGTGCTCTTAATAAATTACCTAATGTATGATCTTCTTTTTCAAATGTTACAATTGCTGCATTTTCAACTTTTAAATCTGGTTCAACTTTGATTCTATTAAAGGTGTTAGTATCTTATTATATTAATAAAAGATGAATGTAGTTCAAAGCGACTTGGAAATTCATTGGTAAAGTTGATTAACGTTTGATTTGAAATATTTTAGCCTGCTTATGAATAATGAAAAACTAATTGATTTTAATACCTACTTTGATGCACCATCTGGTAAAATGAAAAGTTCGAAACGATCTGGAGCATTCATTATGTATTGGGTGTGATGGTTGTGTGATGTGAAAGGCCTTTAATGCAAGTTTTTTTAACTCCTTTTGTTTTTCCACATACTAAACCGATATCAAAACATAATAAAATCTCGAAAGTGTGTTGAAGTAGTGGGTTTACCATCTTTACATAGTGTAGTCGGTAACCCGGTCTGAAAGTGTGGGAACCAGAGTCTGTCAAACCAAAACGGCACTGACCGCTGACATAAGCTTTGTTTTTTCGTGTCAGTTACCCTTTTATTAGAAACGAATGTGCTCAACTCAGAAACAATCAAGTACTCGGGCTGACTTAAAATTGTACTTTATCATTTAATTGATACAGTGAAAACAAGTTAAAAGGTCATTAACGACATTATCAGAGATCATATTGCAGATAAAGTTTCTTGGGGTCAACTTAGTCAAGGGTATACACATCATAAAGTCAAATTAGTTTCACTCGTGAAAAGATCTCAGTATTTTTCCTTGTGTTTATAATCTGCCTGTCTTGAGTTGTTTTAATCCTTATTTAAAATTTGAAATTGAAAGAGAGAAGTTTTGTTGAAATCTTATTTAACTGATCATTTCCCATTATTCATTCAAGTTGCTTGGTCTAGATCTTTTTCAATATGTCTAATCAAGAACATTGGAAATCAGAACAGTCTGATACAAATAGACCAGGAATCCCACCACTTCAACAGTATGCATGAACTTTTTAACAGAGAAAGCTTAGGATATGTTTAAATACAAGATACAAAAAATTCATATGTGAATTATTTAAATCTATCCAAGTGCTTTCCAGATCCATGATTTGAACTTTAAATACTAACTTCTTTTTCAACAGTCGTCAAGGAGCTCCTGTCTTACCACCACCATCGTCATTACCATCTCATTCACCTTTAGAATCAGGTAAGTACATCTTCAATGAGGGACTAGATCATGTATAACTTTAGGATTCATATTCTGTGGTCCATGGAACTTGTCTTATTTATCTCATGTCAGTCCGAAAGATTATGCTCCAGAAGGTTACTAACAAAATTTTTCTAGGTGGCTTTTATTCTCTGCCTTCAATCAACGTTGGAGGACTAGGTAACGCTTCACATAATTTTGTTGTGAATCCAATCAATAACGGTATCAACCCAGTAAGTAACCATCCTCCAGGTCAACATGTCAATAGCAGCAAACTAACACCATTCTCGTTCCAGCCTCCTATGAATTTCCAAAGTGTTAAAACCGAAGGTGGTTTACCAAACCAACAGGGTCAAGCTACTGGCTCAAATGGGGCCAACACCAATCAACCTGCTCAAGCACTGCAACAACCTGCTCCTCCACAACAACAACAACAAGGAGGTGTTAAACAGCCAAGTGGACCAGGTACTCCAATGTCTGCTTATAGACCATTAAACGTGAAGGATGCCTTATCATATTTGGATCAAGTTAAAGTGCAATTTCAAAATCGTCCAGATGTTTACAATCACTTCTTAGATATCATGAAGGATTTCAAGAGCCAGTCTATTGATACACCAGGGGTTATTGATCGTGTCTCTACATTATTTAGAGGTCATCCAAGTTTGATTCAAGGTTTCAATACATTTTTACCTCCAGGTTATAGAATCGAATGTTCTTTAGATCCTTCTGATCCAAATCCTATCAGAGTCACCACACCAATGGGTACAACTACACGTCAAGAAACAAATTCAAACATCGTTTTCGAACAACAACGTTGGCAATCACATTCTTCACCAACAGGTATACCCCATGTTGCACCAGGACAAGCACCAGCTCCAGGTTTGATTCCTTCTCAAGCAGCTCCAGGTCAACAACCACAAGGCGGTAATCCACCAGGTGCCCAAATTCAAAGCCAACCAACTCATAGTCAAATTCCAACTCAAAACGATCCATATGGTCACTTCAATCCACAAGAACAATCATCATTATCTCAATTACAAGCTGCTGCAAATAGAAATAATAGTATAGGTGGTCAAGCTGGTGTTGATAGAAAATCTGGCGGTCCAGTTGAATTCAATCATGCTATAAGTTATGTCAACAAGATTAAAACTCGTTTTGCTAATCAACCAGATATCTATAAACATTTCCTGGAAATTTTACAAACCTATCAAAGAGAACAAAAACCAATTGCTGAAGTTTATGGTCAAGTTACTGTTTTATTTCAAAATGCACCTGACTTACTGGATGACTTTAAACAATTTCTACCAGACACCAATGGAAATGCAGCTGGTGGGTTATTAGGTTCTCAACCTCAAGGTGAATATTATCCACAGCAAGTTCCTCAACAGCAACCTCAACCTCAATTACCACCTGTTGGTAGCTTTTCACCTCCAACAGCTGGAAAAGTGAAGAAGATTGAAGTTACTAATGATCAATTACAAAATTATGAAGCTAGTAAAAATAGAGAAATTCCAACTTCAAGTATGCGTGGTTCAATATCTGCAGCTCCAAGACGCAGACTTGCTGATGAAACTACACCAACTTTAGTTCCAGGTGTTCCTGAACCATCAATCCCACCACATAAAACTTCGAACCTGATTGAAGAAATTGGTTTCTTTGATAAAGTTAAAAAAGCCATAGGTAGTAAACAAAGTTACAATGACTTTTTGAAAATTGTCAATATCTATAATCAAGAATTGATTGATAAGGATACTTTGATTGAAAGAGTTGAAGGTTTTATTGGTTCTCATATTGATTTATTTGATTGGTTCAAAGGCTTTGTTGGTTATGATGATAAACCATTACATATTGAAAATATCACACACAAGAAACATCAATTGGATTTGATGTTGTGTAAACCATATGGTCCAAGTTATAGAAAATTACCAAAAGCTGAAACATATATGCCATGTTCTGGTAGAGATGAAATGTGTTGGGAAGTTTTAAATGATGAATGGGTTGGTCATCCAACTTGGGCTTCTGAAGATTCTGGTTTCATCGCTCATAGAAAAAATCAATATGAAGAAATTTTATTCAGAATTGAAGAAGAAAGACATGAATATGATTATTATATGGAAGCAAATTTGAGAACAATTCAAACATTAGAAACCATTGCTAATAGAATCTCAAATATGACTCCTGAAGAAAAAGCTTCATTCAAATTACCAAATGGTCTTGGACACACTTCACAAACTATCTACAAGAAGGTTATTCGTAAAGTTTACAACAAAGATAGAGGTTTTGAAGTGATTGATGCTTTACATGAAAATCCATCAATTGCAATTCCAGTTGTTTTGAAAAGATTAAAACAAAAAGATGAAGAATGGAGAAGAACACATCGTGAATGGAATAAGGTTTGGAGAGAAATGGAACAAAAAGTTTATTTCAAATCATTAGATCATCTGGGATTAACTTTCAAACAAGCTGATAAGAAATTATTAACTACAAAACAACTTGTTTCTGAAATTAGTACCATTAAATCTGAACAAACCAATAAGAGATTACATCCTTTAACACCAAAACCACAAAAACAATTAGATTATGACTTCTTTGATAATGAAGTGCTATTTGATATCACTAAGTTGGTTTATGTGTTTTTGAACGCTGGTAGTTCTTACTCTGCAAATGATAAAGAAAAATTATATGATTTCTTCAAATCTTTCATTTCATTATTTTTCTCTATTGATTCTAATGAAGTTGAACAAGCCTTACAAAAGAGAATCACACAATCAACTGAACAATCTCAAAATTATGAACATAATGCTAATCATGAACCATCAAGTGCAGAATCTTCAGCTCCAGAAAGTGACTCTAATAGAAAACGTCACCGTGAAACAGATCTGTTGAAAGATGTTTTATTAAAATCTAAACAATCCAAAACAAGAGCTGATGAAACACCTGAAAGTTCAGTTTCACCAAGTCATGATTCAGCTGCAACGAGCAATGTCGAATCTGAAACTGAAAGTAAAGCTGGTGATGAAGATGTTAATGTTGATTTTGACTCTGCTGTTTCTGATACCTGGGTTCAAACATCAGTTCCTGATCAAGGTAAAACAGAAGCCGTTAATGACAAGAGAAATTTATTCAATTTGTTTGGTAACACTAACATTTATGTTTTCTTCCGTCATTTAAGAGTTCTATACGATAGATTATTAGAAGTTAAAAATATCAATGAAGAAGTCACCAAAGATATCACATCCCGTTCTGAAGTTCAATTTGCTAAAGATTTGAACTTGGTCTCAAATCAACTTGAAGATATGGGATTACAATTCGCCAAAGCTGATGCCTACACTCAATTGTTAGGTTTTGCTGAAAGAGTCATTGAAGGTGATGTTGAACATCAATGGTTTGAAGAATCATTACGTCAAGCATACCGTAACAGAGCTTACAAGTTATACACTGTTGATAAAGTTACTCAAGCATTAGTTAAACATTTACATACTGTTGTATCAGATTCACGTACCTCAGATATAATGTTATTATTTGCTAATGATAGAAAATCACCAGTTACAAGTGCTAAAGATCAAATCTTATATCGTAACAATGTTAGAAGTCATATGAATTCTGAAGAAAATATGTTTAGAATTGAATTTGATCAAGAAAAACACCATGTTTCTATTCAATACTTAGCCTTGGATGATTTAACATTAACTGATCAAAAGAATGATGAAGAAAAATGGAATTATTATTTAACATCATATATTATTGCACATCCAACTGAAGGTATCAATACAAGTGAATTAAGATTACCATTTATGAAATCATTGATATCGGATGATGATGATGATGCTTTAGAAGGTTATACTGATTCTCATATGAAGGTTAAGATTACTAGAGAAAACTATAAATTATTCTTTGAACAAGGTTCATACGATGAGTTTGCACGTTATTCTGTTTTCAACCACCCAATTAAAGCAAAATCAAAGAACACAGATGTTTTGAGTAAAGCAATTGATGATAAATTAATTGAAGAAGTTGGTCAAGATTCATTTGATAAAAATAAAGGTATTTTAGATGCTTTAGTTGAAGGTCCAGAAAAATATAAGGAATTTGTGAAATCTAGAAAAGAAGCTGATGAAAAAGCTAAAGAAGAAGAAAAAGCCAAAGCAGATGTTGATGTTGATCAAACAATTGAAAATCCGGATGAAACAACAGCTGAAGTGAAGAAACCTGTTAATCCAGCTATTGCTTCTGTTAAAGAATCTGATGTCACTGTAGATGCTGACTCAACACTTCCACAAGATGATACTGAATTAAAGGGTAATGATACAACCACAGAAGAAGCACCTGCAGCCGAAGAAAATGCTACAACAGAAGAAAAGAAAGACGCTGATAGTACTGATATAATAGAGGAAGAATCAGAAAAGAAAGTCGCCAATGGCGAACAAGATAAAGAAAAAGAATCAACTGACAAAGATGGTGATACTAAAATGGAGGATTAAGTATTAACATGAATTGTTATAGAGTTTAAGAAAGAAAAAGTTTTAATTTATGTCCAAATTGTGTATTATTCATATTATATAAATGATTTATTTTTGTTATGATATTTTTTTTTTAGTAGGATCATTTTTCAGCATCTAGATCAACGCCAAAATCTGAAAGTTTTTCACCAAAATCATTATACCATTCAGTTCTATTTAAATCATTTCTATGATAAACTCCTGAGCTTCTCGTAACAACAGTTTCATTATCTTGAACAATATCAGTTTGATCTCCTCTTGACAATCTATCTTGATGTCCACTATCAGGAGGCCATGGTAAAGAACCCAAATCTTGATCTTGAATACTTGCGTATTCACTTCTAGGAAATTCTAGACCATTACCTAAAAGTCCACCCCAAGGTAATAACCAGTTCCAAGGGTAACCAAAAGCTTGAATTAAATTTTTCCAAGGATTTAAATCATAAGGGAAAACAATATCATCAATTGTGAAGTTTGGTGAACCAGAACTTTGTGAATCTTCACTAGCACTGCCTCTACTGAACGACCATGAAGATACATTTTCAAGTTCTTTACCAAATATAGTTTCATAATTTTGCCTTATTTTGTCACGAGTTCTTTCTGTATGTATTTGAGATTCTAATCTTTCATATTCCCAAGTTTCAATTTGTGACATTCCTGAAAACATTATATGATAAAATACTCTCAAAGTTAGGATCCCCACAGTAGTCAAGACAAATAAACTTAAAGGTATGAGAATAATAGTAGCAGCCAGAGGTGTTTTATCAATCAAATATGCAGGTAAATTTCTATCATTCCAATAAGTAGCAGCTCTTTTGAATAAATGTACAAGTGTATAACCTGTAGTATAATCAACCCAAAGTAAAAACCTTATGAAATGTGGCATATTACCATGACCCACACAGTTTGCAGTCCAGGGACAATGATGATCCATTTTCAAAACACAAGTTTTACATGTTTTACAATGATGTGATCTTTCAGGTTTATATAATTGACATTTTTTACACCATCTTTTCCATTGATTTTGTGACGGTGTAAAATTTTTTGGTGGAACTCCTGGACTTTTGAAAATTGCTATCAGATAATGAATCCAGATCATAGTTATTGAAATTTCATACCATATCTGTTGATTTTTAGAAAGATCATTTGAAAAGATGAAATAATGACTTGAATAACCTATAACTGCAATTAACGCAGATGGAATCTAAATTAATGGTTAATATTGCAAACTAGATTAGATGCACAAAGAACATAGTACTCACAGCCACTCCCTGCCATGCTGGAATACTGATTTTTGCCATTGTTCACTCGATATCAACAGCTTTCTAGTTCATGGCGGACTATATTTGATTGCAGATCAGTAATTTTATAGAAGGTCTGATTTTTCGGAATTTTAACTTCGCGTCTTAATTTAACCGTGATTTGAAAGAAAGGAAAACTTCAAAAAAGAGAGTTTTAAATGAGATTCTAAGAAAACAAAAAGAGTAATTTTTGATTCAAAGTTTATTACCAAGATCAATTTCATATTTTGTTTATGTTTTAACTCTTTAGGGAACAGAGGGGTACTGAAATTCAAAAAAAGGAGGTTTATGCTGCCCCAACCACTATTTGGTAACCTGTTAATCAGCTCAAATTTAAAGTTACAAGGAAGCTTTTATGGCCAAGTTGGTAAGGCGCTACACTAGTAATGTAGCGATCCTCAGTTCGACTCTGAGTGAAAGCAACCTTTTCTTTTTGCCAAAATTTCGGGCGATTTTTCTTTTTAAATCTGTTATTAAATGGTCCAGGGAGACCCATAGAGTCATCTGAAGCTTTAGAATGTTTTTTTCTTCTTTAAAAGAGGTTCTCTTTATGGTATAGAGGCTTTGAGGTTCATTATATGGTTTGAGCATTGAGTTCAAAATATATAAGAAAAAAAATTGTACAATGCGCGAAAAATATTGTGTATAATAACGAAACGTTTATGTCAAGCTGAACTGAAGATAGCTATACTAGTATACTGACTAAAATAGCTTTATAATTAGTTGTGGAGATCAATAATAGATCTATATAGACTAGGGCGTTCAGTGAGCCAAAAACATACAGGAGAACTTCCAAAGATGACGGTGAAACACGAAAGAAAAGAAGCTAATGGTGGAGTTACCAAGAAACAAAAACTTAAAGGATCTAAAAGTAAAAATATTTCAATCCATGAAAGAGATGAAGGTATAAATTCTTCAGGTGAAAACCCTATAACCTTCTGGGATTGCTCTAAAAATATAGATGTACCAAAACAACCAGATCAAATAAAGAAACTTCATGTTTATGATTTTGATAATACACTTTTTTATTCACCATGTCCAAATCCAAATTTATTTAATGATCAAACTATAGGGATGTTGGCTAATTCTGATATGTTAAGTTATGGTGGATGGTGGTCTGAACCTTTAATATTCAAGAATATGGGTGCTGGATGGGATGTTGAATCTCAACGTCAATGGGAATCATTTTGGAATCAAGATGTTGAAAATTTATTAAAGTTATCATATGAAGATGATGAAACCTTAGCAATTATAATGACTGGTAGGAAAAACAAGAAATTTATAGAATTCATTTCGGAAATTTTAGAATCAAGAGGAATTAAATATGATGGATTAATGCTGAAAAAGGGGAATTTTAATACAACTATTGATTATAAGACTCAAGTTCTTACAGATATTTTAGATCATTATAATAAAATTGAGCAAGTTAGTATCTATGATGATAGACCTAGTCAACTTAATGGGTTCCAAAAATTTTTAAATGAATATACCGAAGCTGTTAGACCTGAATTAATTTATAATTTAATTCCAGTTTCACCAGAAGTTAAATATTTAGAACCAAAAAAGGAAAGGGCTCTTATAGAGGAACTATTAGAACAACATAATTCATTGGTTGACCAGGGGAAATCCACAGCAAAATTAGGAAGAATGACATTGAAAAGAAGTTTTTTTTTCAGTGCATATATTGTTGAAGTTGATTCTAAAGCTGAATTATTAAGTTATTTGATCGATAAATTTAATCATATATTCACACCAGAAGTACAAGACTCTATAGATTTTCAACTAGATTTCATACCCATATCTAGAAATAGAGTATCAGCAGCATTAGAATTGAAAATTAATGAAGATCCAGAAGTTGAATGGAAAATTACAAGTTTTGGTGTATCAAATGATGATGCATTTGCAGTTAGAGTTGAACCTGTTGGTGTTGAACTCCCTGTGAAAACTTTATACGACCCACCATTTTTAACAATTGGTACAAAGAGAAATTCACCTACATTAACATGGGAAAGATTGGAAAAAATTGTTGATTGGGTAGACTTGAAAGATAATGTTACAATTAAGACAAGATTTGGTCAAGTTGTTAAGTTTAGAATAGTTAAAGAGAATGCGAATTACAATAAAACAAGATACAAACGTCCATTATCAAGTGGTACCACAGAATAGAAGTATAGTGTTAAATTTTAGAAAAGTATAGATATCACTTCATTAATTGTAGACAGCTTCTCATGTTGAAAGTTGAAACCGGGTCAGATGTTTTCGGTGAACGCAACACAGGCGCGAAATATAAATACACGCGTCAGATTTGAACAGTATACCAATATTGAATGGAATTATAAGTTTAGATCTTGTTTAAAGATTATAATCAAGAATTATGGATGCGTCAATATTGAGTGTGCATTGGCACGAGAACAGTGAGCCTATTTATAGTGTCAATTTCCAACCACGAGTCGGTGATGATCAAGTTGATAGATTAGTTACAGGTGGTGGTGATAATAATGTTAGAGTAAGTTAAAAATGTCTTCAATTAATACCAAATGATTTGAATACTAACTATATGTGAATAGCTTTGGAGGTTAAATCAAATTTCTGACGGATACAAAGTTGAATATTTATCCACTTTGGCCAAACATACACAAGCTGTTAATGCAGTTAGATTTGATCCTAAAGGACAAATATTAGCAACTGCAGGTGATGATGGTACTGTATTACTTTGGACTTTAAGTGAATCAATTGTTAAAGAATTTGGTCAAGAATCAGATGAAGATATTCAAGAATCTTGGATATTAAGACATGCTTGTAGATCAAGTACTTCAGAAATTTATGATATTGCATGGTCACCAGATTCAAAATATTTAATAACAGGATCAACTGATAACGTATCAAGAATTTATGATGCTTCAAATGGTCAACAAGTTTGTCAAATTGCAGAACATAATCATTTTGTACAAGGTGTTGCATGGGATCCATTAAATCAATATATTGCAACACAATCGGCTGATAGATCTGTTCATATTTATTCACTTACAAATCCTTCATCAAAAGATCAATCATTATCACCAACTGTTTTTTACAAAATTTCAAGAACAGAATTACCAACAAGATCTACTACAAATAATTTAAGTTTAATGGGACCTCCAACTCCTGTAAAATCATCAAATGAAGATGATAACTCAACAAATAACAGTTCAAATATAACGAATTCTTCAAATCTACCGAAATCACAATCAAGTGCTACAACTTCCGCATCAGCTTCACCTTATATCAAATCACCAAGTCCTTCATCACCATTACCAGCAGTTATGACCCAGACAAATCCATTATTAAATTTTAAAAATTTAAAAAATTCAATGCTTTATCATACAGAAAATTTAGAATCATTTTTCAGAAGACTTTCATTTTCACCTGATGGTAATTTTTTATTCACACCATCAGGAATTTTTAAAAATAATTCACAAAATGATGAAGTTAAAGAAGAGTTAATAAATACTGTTTATATTTATTCAAGAAATGGATTAAATAAACCACCAATTGCTCATTTACCAGGTTTAACAAGACCAGCTTTAGCTATATCATTTTCACCAATTTTTTATGAATTAGATGAACCTGAAAAGAAAGAATCAATTTTCAAATTGCCTTATAAAATGATTTATGCTGTTGCAACTCAAGATTCTGTGATTATATATGATACACAACATATAAAACCATTAGGAACTGTATCAAATATTCATTATAGAACTTTAACAGATTTGACATGGTCTGCAAATGGTGAATATTTAGTTGCAAGTGCAGCTGATGGATTTTGTTCAGTTATTAATTTTAAATTTAATTCTTTAGGTAAGAAATTAATTGTTGATTATAAGTCTTTATTAAACAATTCTAAATCACAAGATGTTAAAGTTGATAATAAATCAACATCTTCACCATCATCACAAAATAAAAAAAGACAAACAAATGATGTGAAAGAGATTACAGGTCTTGTTAAGAAGAAACAAAAATCAAATACAACAAAAGAGGTTAAACCAACACAAGAATCTAAAAAGGAAGATGGTCAAGAAGTGATTGATTTATCCGAATCAAAAGAACCAAAATCTATTAAAGATCAATTGAAAAGAGTTACACCAACTCTAGTGAATGATGAAGATAAACATAAAACAAATGAAACACATGTTATAGATTAAAGAATATAATAGAAGATTATTTATAGATCTACAATTATCTAAACGTAGTTGCAAAAACACAAATCATCACATTTATAGCAAACCCGCTATACATAAATCATTCTTCTAATTTAGATAAATCTTGTTCATTCTTCAATTGTGATTCAAGTCTTCTTCTTGCTTTCAAGATCATTTCAGTTTTCTTTTGTTGTAAAGAACTAGCTCTTTCATCTGCAGAATCTGACCAAGTTTGAGTACCAGATTTAGATGTTTCAGCACCAGAACTTGTTGCATTAGCATCAACACCATATTTCTTCAACAAATTTTCAGGTTTAATATTATCAGTAGCATTTCTTGAATCTTGACCATCATTACCACCAGTAGTACCAGTTGGTCTTGGTGCTTCACCTTCAGGGAATGGTAATCCACCTTCACTTAAAAATCTATCAACAGTTTCCTGTACAGATCCTGTTCTTTGTAAATCCAATTTAATTTGACCCACAGTGAGACCTGGTGCCAATTGTTGAACAACTTCAATCATATCATGAGTGACAGGACGACGGAAACGTTGTGGTTGTGCTTGTTGTGTACCAGTTGCTGTTGATGCTGATGAAGATGATTCTCTAGCAGCTTCTTGTTCTTGTTCCAATTCATCTGCATCATCAGAAGAAATAAACCATCTTAGAAAGATAAACGCTATGACCAAAGTGGCGATGAATGTGATTGTAGAGCTGTCCATTGTGACTTGACCTTGTTTGTTCTGTCTCTGTTAAGGTTAACTCTTGTTGGTGGTTAAATTGATTCAGGTTGATCAAATTGAAATTTATAGGCGCGGTTCATTTAATTTTGGTGGAAGCCGTCGCGGGTTGATTTTAGAAGCAAAATTAAGGCTCATCAACACCAAAGAATGAAATGTTGTTTAACGATTGAGATGGTATCAATTTGTGATATATATATATACTGTTTGTGTTTTCATAGTGTTATCTGAAAGGCATGTTGTGGCTTTTTTTAGGGGTGATTTGAGTTATTTTTGAGAGCTACAATTGAGGAACCAAACCAATTCCATATAGTAAATACAAACTCCTAATATACACATTTCAAAATCCATTAAACTTCTTTAAACATTTAATAAAGTACCGAAGGGATCCTAATTTTTAAAATTCAGTTTAAAAGCTTTATCTTGATTATTAGCCTTATATATAAAATTTGTAATAATTTCACTTTCTTTAACAGTTTGAGTACTAAAATGTTTCTTAACAGCATTTGCTAAATCTGGTTTCGTTACTCTATCTCTTGATTTAAAACTATATGTTTTCTTACCAATTTCTGAAGCTAATAAATAACCATTTGTAGTTAATGAACTTTTAACAGGTAATCCATAATGATCTCTATATTTTCTTAATGCTTCATCTGGGAAAGAATCAAAATCTAATGGATCTGCAATTGTTTTTTCCTTAGGACCATTTGAATGAATATGTCTTGCCAGGAGTTCTGCTTGTGCCGCTTGTGCTGCTGCATTTCTAGCTTTTGTGGATGCTCTTGAATTTGGATTATTGTTATTGTTATGTGATGAACTATTCTTTGCTTCTGATTCTGAAGCTGACGGTGCCTCTTTCGAAGATCCTCTTGGTGGCATCTTGTGCTGTCTCTATAATAAGCTTTTAAATAGTGAATATTCAGTTATAATTCCACTTCTTAAAGTGATCCAGTCTCTTTATACAAAAGTGAATTCAAAATATTTCAGGGTTTTGATGCTCTCAATTTTGAAAACTTATTGAACATTCAAATCTGCCAAAAGTGTGTGCTCTTACCGAAATTTTCCGTTTTGGGAAAGTTTCCTGATACAGCTGAGAAGTTTGTTGATTGATCTACTAATTTATTTGATAATACTAATACAATTTTTTTTATTTATTAATGTCAATTTAAACCAGTTAAAAAGTCTTTTGAATATATACATAAATCAAACATTGAAATGTTTTTTTTTCTTTGTTTTTTTTTTATCATTCATCTGAACTCATTTCTGATATATCATCAGAAATTGTTCCACCTGGTGAACTTGGAATTCCACTAATTCTTGCTTGTTTATATAAAGTAGATAATTGATCAACAAGATTAAATAAATCAGTTTCTTTTTCAAATAATCCTATAGTTTGATCACGTAATGATAACAAAGCAATACTTGATTCAATTCTTGCTATAAAATTCTCAAATAAATTTTTATCTAAATGTTCATTTTTCTTAACATTTTGAAAATTTGATTGGAAACCTGAAACTTTTGATAAAATATAATCTAATCTTAATGTTATATCTCTCAATCTATAAATATCTTCAGCTGTTAAATCTGGTTTACGTTGGAAACCAAATCTTGTACCTAATGATTGTGGGAAAATTAATGAAATTTCTTCTTCAGTTTCAAGACCTTTTAATTGAACTCTACCCATTGCTTCAAGTCTCCATCCAATATTTGTTAACATTGCACATTCATTATTTAAAGATTCAGCAGCTTCATTTGGTCCAAACGCTTGTTCTAATGTTGAGCCTGCTAATACTAATTTATGTGCAGCTTCAATTCTTTTAAATTCAGTTAAACAATCTAAAGTTAATGTAATTTCACCACCATCTGCAACACCACAAACTCTTGCAGTTTTATTAACCATTGGTCCAAAATAATCCATTCTTCTTGTAATAATATCTGGTTCACAAACCGGAACACCCCAATGAATACCCATACGAACTGAAAGACCTTTATAAATAGTATTACCCATGGAATCTTTAACTTCACGACCTTCATCACTTTGTGTAATTTCTGCAGGCCAATCTTCTAATAATAATTGTTGTTGAACATTAAAACACCAAACCATTGCTGATGAAACTGTTGGAAATGAAACCATAAATGCATCACCTTCAGTCTTAACTTCATAACCACCAACAATATGTAATTGACGTCTCATAATATCATTATGTGTTCTAATTGCAGATCTCATAGCTAATGGATAATTTTCCCATAATAAAGTTGAATTCTTAATATCAGTGAAAACCATTGCTAATTCACCAACTGGTGGTTGAATTTCAGGTCTTAATCTTCTTAAATTTGAATCTTCAACTTGTTGCTTAGCAGGTGGTTTATAATCTTTTTTAGCTTTTTTCAAACTTAAAACAATAGCCGAAGTCTTAGTATTACAACCATAAGAAATTGCATAATCTCTTAATTTTTCAGCTGTAACCATTGGATTATCACTTTCTCTAACAATATCACCAATTGTTTTTGTTGGTAAATATTCAAATAATTCTCTTGTACCCAAGACTAAAACTTCATCATGTAAATGAGCCTCACTAATATCAGGACCTGAATGAATATGAGGTAAAAGATCTGAAAATCCAGCAGCTCTTGAAACTTTTGAAACACCATCTAATTTATCATCATTTGAAACAAACCCACCACTTGTTCTAATTCTTTCAAATTCAACAACACTTGAAGGTTGATGATTAACAGTTAGGAATGTAAATGAACCATCAGTCTTGGCCAACATTGCAGTAGAATCACCAATATTTGCAGTATAAATTTTCTTCTCTTTAATGAAAATAACAGTAACACTTGAACCAGTTAATCCATCTTCTGAATTTAGAGATGAGAAATTAATAACTTTATTTAATGATAAGAAAGTATGTCTCAATGCAGTAACAATATCAAATTTATTTAATTCTTGTTCAAAAATCTTGTGGAAATTTTCTCTTATTATATGTGAGATTTTACCTGAATTTATACCATCAAATAATCCAATTAATATACCACCTGCAATTTTTTCAATAACTGAATCTCTTGATAAGATATATTTATTAACTCTATCAGAAATACCATATGACATATTACCAATTGTACTTGGTGTGGTACGAACTCTCACTTCCATAGATTCATCTGGTATAGCTTGTGTAGTTAAAGTTAAATCCATTAAACCTAATAATCTTAATCTTGGTAAATTTAAATCTTCAGTAATTTCTAATTTTTTATTACCAGATAAATTTAAATATCTTAAATTAATATTTGATTTCCAATTCCATTCATATTTACTATTTGAAGTATTATATTTTAATTCATTTGAACCGACATCAATAACTTCCATATTATATAATTTACTTAATTCTGATGGTAATGTACGGAATCTATTCCCATTCAAACATAAGACTCTTAATGTTGCAATATCTTCAAAATCTTCTGGTAATGTTGTTAATGCATTACCTGATAAATATAATTGATCAATATTTTTACAATTACCCAATGTACCAGCAGGGATATCAACTAATCTATTATAAGCTAATGATAAGATCTTTAAATTGATATAATGCTTGATTGTATAGAAACAATCATCATTCAAACGATTATCACCAGCTCTGAAAAAAATTAAATCACTAAATTGTGGTGATGGTAATTCAGAAATTAAATTTGATGAAATATTAACAGATTCAATAAATGAAAAATCAAAAATTGATTTCAAATTATTATCATGTAAATCTAAATTTTTCAACTTGGTTAAAGGTGATAAATCTGGCAAAATTTCTAAATTATTACCATAAATTGATAAATCTTTTAAATTTTTCAAATTAACTAAAGTTGAAGGTAATTCACGTAATGCATTTTTACTTAATTCTAATTTTTCCAATTTAGTAAAAGTTAAAATAACATCTGGTAAGAAAGTTAATTTGGCCTTTGATAAATTTAATGTCCGTAATTCAGGACTTTTGATATTTAATTGAGTAACTGGATTTTGTTGTAAATCTAAAGTTTTCAATGAATTTAATGGATCTGCAATATTTGAAATATTATTGTGAGTTAAATATAATGTTTCAATATTTGAATCATGTAAATGAATTTCTGTTATATCATTATAACGTAAATTTAAAGTTCTTAAATTTAATAAATTAATATCAACAAAAGTTAAATAATTACTTGATATATTTAATTTCCTCATGTTTTTCAAATTATTAACAGATTCTGGTAAATTTTGTAATTTATTATAAGATAAATCTAATTGTAATAAATTGTTTAGTTTATTGACAGATTCAGGATAACTTTCAAATTCATTTGAACTTATATCCAAGACTCTTAAATTCGGTGGTAAATCTGGTAATTCACTCAATTTATTACATCTTAAATTTAAAGTTGATAAGTTTTTCAAACGGAAACATTCCATAGGGAATTTTGTTATGAAATTTCTTTCTAAATCTAAAGAGGCCAGCTCTTTAGCATAAACAATATTTTGTGGGAAATTCTTAGCTCTAATATTAACCATTCTTAAATTACTTAATTGAGAATTTGCAGTTTGGAAAAAATCTAAAGGTAATGTAATATCACCATTATTTGAAACATCTAAACTTTGAACTTTTGGTGAATAACATAATGCAGGGATTTTTTGTAAATCTTTACTTTTCAAATTAACATGTAATAAATCTCTTGAAATTTGTTCTTCTTCTAATGGACTTAATTGTTTTAAAACATCATGATGTAAAATAAATTTGAATAAATAACTTAGGTCATCTCTACCAATTTCATCCAATCTATCTGATTCTAAATAACCAGATAAAAATAATAAATTTGTTTGAATTTTAATTGGTTTTTGATTCCATTCTAATTTTTTAGTAACTTTCCCTACTCTTAAACTTAATTTATAATCACCAACTAATTGATATCTACCTTTAATATATCTAATTAATTCATCAACAGTTTCCATGTAAGGTCTTTTCAAAGTTGAAGTGAAATCATCATCTTCACCATAAATTCTAATATGATAATTCTTAGAGTCAAATCTTTGTTCATCTAATTGAGTAATTGTAGTTAAAGTTTTCCTTACAACATATTCATCATCATCATCTGAAACAGAACCTAATTTGTCACCTTTAACATCCCAACTCTCAGGTGCAGTCCAAGAATCTTTTTGTATTTTATCATTTGTTCCCTGTGATTCTTGTTGTTGGAATTGTTGTTGTTCTTGCTGTTGATCTTGTGGAGGTTCAGCAACAATACCAGTCATATCATTTAAGTCATTAACATTTAAAGCTACAACGGAATTCCCTCCTGTAGAATCATTTCTCATATCAAAGAAACTTGAAGTTATACTTGGATTATGTTTAACCATTGGATGAGAGCTAATTGCATTTTGAACACCTGGATGATTTTGTGAAGAAGGTGGTGGTGCAGCACCTTGTTGAACTTGTGCCTGTGACCCCTGTGAACCTTGTTGTGAACCTTGTGATTGATGAACTGGTGTTAAAGGACCCAAATCATCATTATAGCTAGAGCTTCTTATATTTAAAATAGATGGGGTTCTATGTTTAGAATTTGATCTTGTAAAACTCATTCTATTACTTCCACCACCACCACTTGAGCTTTCAGAACTTGAACTATTATGTCTTGAACTTTTATCATTTATAGAATTGATAAATTTCCCAAAGAAGCTCTTTTTACCTCTATTTGGTTTAATTGGATGTGCTAAAGGAGGTATAGGATCATTTTTACCAGCTTGATGAAATCCTTTATAACTAAATGGAACACTACTAAGTCTATGTCCTTGTCCTTGATGTCCCTGATGTCCTTGGTGATGATGTCCTTGATGATGTGAAATTGGATCATCTTCATCCTCCAAATCCCTTTGTTCCTCGATAGATTCATGGAACCGTTCCTGATGACGAGGACTTATAGGTTGATTGTAATCCTGTTGATATTGTTGATGAGCATCTGCTAATGATACCTTACGAGAAGATAATGGTGAAATATCCCCATCGGAGCCCTCTGAGCGAGAAGCCTGCTGGCGGTTGTCCCGCTGGATGTTGTACTGTCCTTCTAAAGAGCCCATAGAATCCCTAGCAATTGATGAGTAGCCAGCTGCTTCTAGTTGTTGATGGCCAATTGTTGGTTGTTTGATACTCAGCGGTTAACAGCTTTGTTTCAATTGCGAGAATTCTTAATTTTATAAATTTTTAAATTTAGTGTGGGTTCGCGAATTCATACAAGTACTTCAAACATTTTATATTTACTTTGTACTTTTATTTACTTTATATTCACTTTACTTTATATTTCTATATATTCATAGCTCAACTACGATAATCACCATTGATAGTCACATACTCATGACTCAAATCACAAGTCCAGAAAGAAGCTTCCCCATCACCATTAGTACCCAAATCAACATGGATTTCTAAATCTTCAAATTCTAAAATTTCACTTGCCCTGGTTTCATCAATTTGTTGAGGTTCACCATTAACTAATAATTTCAAATCTGCTGAACCATCTGTTGGAATGAATGAAACATTTGTTTTCTCGGTGTTTACTGGAACATCAGAATATCCAATAGCACACAAGATTCTACCCCAATTTGCATCTTTACCATATAATGCAGTTTTAACTAATGGAGAATTTGAAATAGTTTTAGCAACTTTTTGAGCATCTTTGAAACTTTCTGCATTTTGAACTTTGATTGTAACAAATTTAGTTGCACCTTCACCATCACGAACAACTAATTGTGCTAAACTTTGAGCAAATTGTGTAAATTCATCTCTAATCTTGTTATAAGATTCTCCTGAAGATTCATTAATCTCTGGACCACCAGCTTCACCATTTGCTAATGCTGCAATTGTATCATTTGTTGACATATCACCATCAACTGAAATACAATTAAATGAACGATCAACTGAATATTTTAAAATTGATTGTAATGCTCCTGAAGAAATTGGTGCATCTGTAACTAGGAAACCTAATAATGTAGCCATATTTGGACAAATCATACCAGCACCTTTTGATAACCCTGCAATTGTATATGTATTACCATTTATATTTATTGATCTGGAAATTAATTTTGGAAATGTATCAGTTGTCATTATACCTTTAGCACATGAAACCCATGATTCATGTGATTCACCTAAATTTTCATTAATTAATTTAGGAATTTGAGGTAAAATTTTATTCATTTGTAATGGTTGACCAATAACACCAGTTGACATACATATAGTGCTTGCTACATCTGTGGAACCAATTGTTTGATCAACTGTTTTAACAATTTCTTGAGCATCTTTTAATCCATTAGCACCAGTGACTGCATTAGCACAACCAGAATTTATAACTATTGAATTAATTTTATTACCTTGGTCCAAAATTTTTTTAGAAACTTGCACTGGAGCAGCTTTGAATTTATTTGTTGTGAAAACAGCAGCTGCATTTGCTGGATTTATACTCTTAATTATTGATAAATCTAATTGATTATTTTTCTTAACACCAGTTGATACTGAACCAACAAGATAACCTTTTGGATAAATACCCTCTGTAGGAACATATTTGGAATATTTATTTGATAGTTGGGAAAAAGAAGAGAAGAGTCTTTTCTGAACAGGCATTTTGACCATAGTTGACTATAAAATTGACCCGTTGATCAACTGCTTGAAGCTGTTCAAGTTCAGATTCAAATTGATAAGATTTCGGTTTCAATTTATACTCGGAGATGAGTCAAAAAGAATTTCGAGATATGATTAAATAGACACAAGACATCGACAAACAGACACGATTTGGACATGAAAAGAAGGAAAAGCACAATGTACATATAATAACAGGTGTAGAATAACAATTGTCTATTTAAAGCTATCATCTTCATATTAAAAATCAAAGATATTCTAATAAATAGCTACATTTTACCACAGTGGCACATAACCATTCCCCTTTTCAGCCTTTCCAATTTGTGTCTTTTCACAAAAAAAATCTTCGAACAAAAATTTTAAATGGAAAACTGAAAAACTGAAAGATCCAAAGCTTGTCAAATCCATTGTCAATTCAATTTCAATTCAATTGATATAATAACAAAGATGTCTACTACCACTACCAAAGCTGAACAACCTGACTACTCAATCAACAACTCTGATGTTGTTGAAAAATATAGAACCGCTGGTGCTATTTCTCAAAAAGTTTTAGCTCATGTTAAAACTTTAGTTGTCGATGGTGCTAAAATCTGGGATATTGCTCAAGAAGGTGATGCTTTAATTGAAGAAGAAACTTCAAAAATCTACAACTCCAAAAAGAACAAAGTTGAATCAAAAGGTATTTCATTCCCAACTTCTTTATCACCAAATAACATTGCTGATCATTTATCCCCATTAAATGCTGATGATAAACAAGCTAATTTAACTTTAAAAAATGGTGATGTTGTTAAAATTCATTTAGGTGCTCAAATTGATGGTTTTGCTTCAAATGTTTCTGAAACCGTTGTTGTTGGTGCTTCAACCTCTGCTCCAGTTACTGGTAAAAAAGCTGATGTTTTAACCGCTGCTTATAAAGCTTCAGAAGCTGCTTTAAGAACTATTAAACCAGGTAACAAGAACTGGGATGTTACCAAAATTGTTGATAAAGTTGCTAAAGAATATGGTGTTGTTCCATTAGAAGGTATGTTAACTCATAATCAAGAACGTAATGTCTTAACTGGTCCAAAAGAAATCATTATAAATCCAAATGAAGAACAACAAAAACAAGTTGATTCATTTGAATTTGAAGAAGGTCAAGTTTTCGGTCTTGATATCTTAATTTCATCAGGTGAAGGTAAAGTTAGACCTTATGATGCTAGAACTACTATTTATAAATTAACTGGTAACAATTATCAATTAAAATTAAAATCTTCACATTTAGTTTTGAATGAAATCAAAAGAAAAGCTTCACATTTCCCATTCTCAATTAAAAACTTGGATGATCCAACTAAAGGTCGTGCTGGTTTATCAGAAAACTGTAACCATCAAACTATGATTGCTTATGATTTATACCAAGAAAAAGAAGGTGAAGTTATTGCTCAAGTTTATGTTACTGTTGCTTTAACTAAAAACGGTTTAGTTAAATTCTCATCATCATCATTTGATGAATCAATTGTTAAATCTGATAAAGTTTTAAATGATGAATTAAAAGAATTATTATCTAAACCATTAAAAGTTAACAAGAAAAAAGCTACCAAAGCTTAGATTTTTGATATCTAATTGATATTGGAGATTCTTATTATTATTCATGGTATAACACATATTAAATGAAACGATTTAAGTAACGATTAAATACAAGAATATCAGTAGTTTATATAGTTGGTTGATCTTGCTTTATATTTTTCATATGAAAAGATCAATTTTCAAGGTATGAAACTCATAGAAGATGGAATAAAACTCTGTTATCAAGGGGATCATAGCCTTCATAGCTGGATAACATACTCTCAAGATTCCTCTATCTTTTATAGCTCATTCCAATTCATTTACTGAGTGAAATGACCATAATTTTTTCAAATTTTCTTTATACGCGTTTTTTAAATTTTTTGATTTTCACAGGCGTTAAAATCAAACCTGTTAAAATCATTTGATATCAAGTACAAAAACATTGCAAAGCTCAACAATCTAGGCTTACGAGAAGGTTCAACTGCTGTTTAAACTGCTGCTAATTGTCTGTTCAAGCTGATTAAGATCAAAGGTTTCACTCATTGCTGTTCAAGTTTGCATCACTGGTTTAATTGTGTGCTTGTGGTTTTTTATTCTCGGTATTTCTGGTTTTAAACTCCAAGTTCTGAAGGTTATCCTTTTATTTTTTGGTTAAGAAAGTGTTTTCATTCATTTCTAAGGCTCTCAAGAGGAAGCATACCATGTCCTCATCTTCCCAACCATCCGTCAAGTCAGACTTGGGATTGGATGAGTCGACTTTGCCTAATCAATCATCTTCACAATCTTCAAATATAAGGTCTAAATCATCTTCAAGAAAAAATTCAAATAGAAGTTCACCTGTACCACAGGCTGTACCACAGGAGAAAGAGACTAATGGGAAGAGAAGACGGTCTACTAGATTGACTGAACAAGAAGAGAAGGAGAAAAGTAAAACCTCAACTCCTATTAAACAAAATCATGATGAAGATGAACCTGTATTAAGTTTGAAGAAAAGAAAATTTCCCATTTTGGTTAAACCAATGGATCCACCAAATAATCGAAAGAATGGTGTTTCAAATGGAATTGTCAAGAAACAAACTAAATTGAAAATCATAAATGGGAAATTACATTTTGAAGAACCTCCATTAGCAGATCCAATGATTTCAGTTACTGGATTACCTCTTGAATCACCACCAAATGCTAAAATTAAAAAAGAACGTCTTTGGCCAAGGAAAAAATTTAAAAAGTCAAAGAACTCCGTTGAACCTGAGGATCAAATTGAAGATGATTCTAAAAATGTTTCACCTGAAATAAGTTTACCACCTGAAGATATTGATAATATGTATCGTCAAAATTTAAAAACTAATGAATATCAAAAAAAATTGAATCAAAGTCAAATACGTTCGAACATTATAAATCATAAAGATTCAATTAGTACGAAATCCAAAAATTCAAATTCCAAAATTATAATTCCAATACCCAAACCTAAATCTGATGATTTTAAGAAAACCACCCCAAAAAGCAATAAAAGTCAACACCAACAACAACAAACACAAGATGCTTTAACATCAACACCTAAAAAATCCAAACCTATAACAAATGATTCCAAACGTAAAGTTAAAAATGCCTCCCCTAAAAAACTTAGAGATAATGTTTATGGATTTGATGATCCATTAAAATTAGTTGGTCAACAAAGAGAAAATGCTCATGATTTTAGTGATAACACCAAGGATAATGATGATTTTTGTTCATCATGTGGTGAACCTGGTATTTTCTTATGTTGTGAAAATTGTCCCAAATCATTCCATTTTGCTTGTTGTGATCCTCCATTAGATTCTGATTCATTACCTGATGATGCTTGGTTTTGTAATGAATGTAAATGTCTTACAGCTCCACCAATTCCAAATCCACCTGGTTTGTTCCATCAATTACTGAATAAAGTTGATAAAAGAAATCCAGTACAGTTCCAATTACCCAAGAGGCTCAGAGAAAGGTATGCAAATGTCAAGACTGGAAAATATGGGGAATATGAAGATGATGACGATAAACCAATTAAACATGGTCCTAAATCCATAGGTTGTGACCTAATAGACTCTGATAATAATCATTTTGATAAAGAAGGTAATATACTGTATTGTATCAAATGTGGTACTAGTGGTATTAGTTCTGATAAAACAATGGGAATCCCAAATAAAGCAATGACTATATGTGATTATTGTTCAACTCCATGGCATCTGGATTGTATTAATCCTCCATTAAGTGCAACAAAACAATTAGGTAAGAAATGGAAATGTCCAAATCATATTGATGATTTATTACCTTTTAAACAAAGAAGATTGAAAAATCCAAAAATTATTGATGTTGATCAAATTCATAATTTTAAAAATGATGGTGATATAGAAATTAAATTGACTGAGGAAGTAGAGGATTCAGAGGAAGAAGATGATAGTGAAATTTCAATTCATGAAATTCCAACACCTTCATATATGATGAATAGAAATACTGAAGATGGTGTAGCTGCCGAAATACCAAATTCAACATTAAAACTATGGGATGATAAAACTACAATTTTTAGAATTTCAGAAGAAGGTATAAAAGCAGATTTCCTAGAGAAGGTTAAGAAGGATAAAGAACAAGAGAAATTGTCCATACAAAAAGAACTAATAAGATTAAAACAAGAAGACCATAAACTTTTGAAGAAGTTGATTGGAAATGAAACGAATCATTCCCTTGAAGAAAAAAAAGTCATAAAATCATTTATTGATTTACCTGAAATTGGTATACATGATTTAGCTAATGTTGCAAAAGAAGAATTAGATAAATTAAATCAACCAAAACCACCAAAACCAAGTAAACCCCAAAGAATTACACGGAATGGCGAAAAGAAGAAGAATTCAAATGAACTAAGTAAAAATGAAATGGATGATCTTTTAATGATTAAAAAACTTATTGCTTTAAAGGGAACAAATCAATTAATGGAGTTTTTGAAAAGTTGAAAAATTGTTGTTTGAATTTGTAATGCATTTAATAATAATATACAAAGAATAATATAAAGCAAAAATTTATAACATATTCAAATTAAAATTAAGATATTTATTATAGCTAACGTAGTAACACACGAATTAAATCAATCTTTTATATTATGCAAAAAATACAGGTTTTAAATTAAAAATCAGAATAATCACCAGATTCTTCCTCTTCCTCTTCATCTTCTTCCATTTCTTCATCTTCATCATCATCAATTTCTTGATTTGCATAACTAACACGTTTAGCTCTTGTACTTTTTCTAACAGGTTCCACAATTTCTTTTGACTTTGATGGTTTATTTGATTTCTTTGGTTTTTTAGGTTTTGAAACAGACTTGACCCTTTTCGGTTTTGGAATAGTTTCACCATCTTCAGTATCATGAACTTGTTGACGAAGTCTTTTAACTAAGTGAATTGAAGATATTTTTTGTTTAATTTTGATTTTCAAATTTTTTAGGACAACTTCTGGTATATAACTTGTACGTACAATTTCTTGACCTTCTTCTGAAGTTTTAGTTGATGTAAATAATTCAGATGATAAATCAATCTTACCAGGATAAGTATTTAAATTCCAATTTTTATGAATTTGTAATTCTTTTATGGTAATTTGTGCTAATTCTGAAATTCTATAAATGTTAAAAATTGAGTTATTTTGTTCTTGGAAATCTTTATCTGTAAATAATGCATCTCTATATTGTTTTAATCTTGTTGCAAAATAATATAATAAAGAAATGTTATTCTCTGTAGCAACGGTCTCAAGGAATAAAACAATATATTCTAAAGCAAATGTGAAAGCTTTTAAATTGCGCTCTTCTTCATCTAATTCTTCATCTTTAATATATTCTAGAAATTCTGGATGATGTGCAATTGAATGTAATAACCCAGTTAAACTTTTTTCAAAAACAATATTTTTTGGTGAATTTGAATTTTGTGTTGTCTTTTTGGTAAATGAAAATTTAATCCATGTTTTGATTTCATTTTTCAATGATTCATTTGGTTCAAAAGCAATGAAGTAAACTAATGGTAAAAATTTTAATGAAATAACTTCTGATTTTAATAATGAAATTAATTTATGAATGAATATAGAGCGGACGTGTTCATCTTCATCTTGAATCAAAAGAATTAATCTATTCAAGGTTGTAGGTTTAATCAATTTATTATATCTTGGTATCTTGGCCAATTTCAATAGATTTAACCCAGCTTCTAATCTTAATCTTGTTTGATAATGTCTTGGAGTTGGATAAGTACCAGACTTACGACTAACAATTTCACCACCATTACCGATTAATGATACTAAAAGTTTTAAAACATGTTCAGCAATTGATTTTATAGTTTCATCTGAATCAACATCACTTTCTGATAATGATCTCAATCTATTTGTGAAAATTTTCAAAGCTAAAAGTTTTGAAGTTAATGAACCTTCTTCACCATTTTCCACATCTTCATCATCTATCCAAACTGGATCATCTTCCTGGCCAATAACACTATTAGTTAAAAGAACATTTTTAATTAAGAAAGGTGTTATTTCATTAGCTTTCTCTTCAACAATACTATGTTGTGTAAGGAAAAATTGTGAAATAACTGCAAGATGACTAACAAAATTTTCAGATTCTGGATCAAATGGATAAATTAATTCAAATAGTTGGTATGATAAAGCATCATCATTTTTGGATAATGAAATTATTTTAACTGCGAATTTTGCTTCTAATGGAGTTCCTTGACTTGCAAATTGAACAATTTTTTCAAAAAATTTAGAATCATCATCATCTAAATAATCTCTCATCTTGTGGAAAATATGAAATAAAGCTCGAAGTGTATTAACTTTACTTTTCCCTTGGTTGGATGGTGTAGATTCTTTGATAAGTTTAACTAAATCATGAACTTGATTTTGAAAAGCAGCAGGTGTAATTGTTGAAATATTATTGATTAATTCTTGTGAACTCTTACCATATTGAGCATTATCACTTAATCTTAATAGTGATGAAATGTTTGATTTATTATAAAAATTTAAACTTGCACGATATATTAAAATTTTAAAAGTTTTAAAAATATCAGTTATTGAAATTGAAGTTTCATCATCAACTGAATTTATAATTTTAGAGTCTTGTAATCTGTTGAATAATTCTTTACTTGAATTTCTTATTGTTTCATAATCTGAAGATGAAGATAAGGTAAGTTTGATCAAATAATAGAGTCTTCTATTATTGATCTTAATAAATCTGTTTAAAGCACCCTGTGGATCATATTTATCAGGTAAGGCAACAGATAACCAATTAATAGTCTTTTCAATTTTGGTTTGTAAAGAAGCATCATCATTTGTTCCACCATTAGATTCTTCTGAAAATTCAATAAATTTAGTTAGTACACCAGATAATTGCTGTTGTCTTCTATTAAAAGCTAAGAATGAAGCTTTACCTTTCTCATCTAAACTTTGGAAAACATTTAAAATTCTCTCCACTCTTTTCAATTCATCATCTTCAAATGGCAAGATCTTCTCCACAAGGACCAAATCAACTAAATAATTAATATTTTTATCATTAATATATAATAATGATAAAATATGATTAGGAATTTGTTTTAAAATTTTGGAAATTTCATCATTATCAGAAATTTCATTAAAATAAATATCATTATATGAATCATTAAATAAATTAGCCAATGTATTAACAGCTTCTTCTCTAATCTCTGGATGTTTTTCTCTAGCCAGTTGTAATAAACCATTCAATATTGTTTTATTATTGATTCTTTTAGTTATAACATTAGTTGGAAGTTGTGCAATGGCTTTTGTGGAAACTAATCTAACACGTTCATCAGTATCAATCAAAGTTTTACCTAATCCATTTGAAATTTCAACCAAGACATCATTTCTATTAACCAATGCCTTGGAACCTTCTTCGACCCATTTATTTCTAACTTGAGGAGAAATATCAAGAGTTTTTTTCAACCAATTAGCCCAAGTTTCTTTATGAGTTTGAACAAAATTTAATCTTGAATTTGAAGCTAAAATTTTACCAATAGTTTCAGTTGCCAAGATACGGTATTTAACATTTTCAGCATTTAATTCATTATCAATAAGACCCATAACTGAACCAAGAACTTCTGGTGTATATTTCCAAATTTCTACTGATAATGTATGTAATTTTTTTAAATTTTTAAATTGAATTTCTGAATCATCAGATTCTGATTCATTATTCTCGAAAAGTACTTCTGAAAAAAATTTTGTAACTTGTCTTGCTAATCTATCAGGATTTGCATCACATATAGCCAATGTGAAGTTGAAAGGTGAACAACTAGAAGATGAAAGGTTTGATGTTATAGAATCACCTTCTTTAGTATTTGTTAAGAATTTATTCAAGATCAATTTTAAAACTTTTGAAGATATTTGATCCCATTCTGATATAATTTCAATTAAGATATCTGAAATGATTGGTTCTAATTTTTTATGGAAGGTTTTGGAAGTATCATAAAAGAGTTCAAAAAGTTCTTCAATTAATTTTGTATTATCTTCAATATCTGTAATTAATATAATACTTCTAACTTCAGCTAATCTTGTAATTAAATAAACTTGTTGAGTATAAAACCCATTATTTTGATCTGATAATCTTTTGAAACTTGAAATGAATAATTTGAAAATTGAAGTTAATTCACCATCTGTATAAGGAGCATCTGGTGCATAAATTCTAAGTATATCTGATATACAACAAGCAACTAATGATTGAACACCAGAATCTTTATGATTTATTAATTTCTTATTTATCAAATCATTCTTAATCTTATCTAATGATTTAACATCAAATTTATCTTGATCAATTTTAGATAGTTCAGTTGATAATGTCTAAGGAATTGTTAGTATTTCATTGATGGCAAATGAAAACAAATATAAACATACATCCAAACGTTCAAGTTGTTCTTTCACAGAGATGGATTCACCAGGAGAGCTCACTATGTTCTTCTTGAACTTGAGCTTAGGCAGCCTTGAAACAGTCATTGGTGGTTTATTTGGTTGACTAAAGGGATTGAGTGAATAAGTAAATAATATCTAACTAATGTTTGGTTTATACTTGAATTTTCGCGTCTAATAAATTAAAATTGACGCGTCACTTTCGCGGGAATCCACAATTTATATAGACAATATAGGCAAAGTTAATCAAATAAAATAGTGGAAGAATTCTAAGTTTATTACTGTATTGTAATTTGTGCTTTTAAGAATATCACTATTTATTTTCTGCTTTTATTAAAGTAGTCTGGTGTAAGAGCAGGATCTTTTATAATACAATAAGATTTTATTACATATTTCCGATCGGATTTATGTACAAGATCGTAAGTACAGTAATCAACAAGAACTTCTACAAATATTATTATATTTTATTATATATAATTAAGATATATCTAGTCTATATAGCTACCCTTCTATAAACAATCAAAAACAAAAAAACAACAACAAAAAACAAAAACAAATATATCTATATATCAAATGTCAAATATTAAAAATTCATTATTCAAATCATTATTCATCATGATTTAAATTAGATACAACACTCTGTTGTTCAAAATAATCATTATCATGACTCATATGATAATGAGCAGACCTAGGCAATGATCCAGTTGATTCTAATGGTGGCCTACTTAAGGTTGAACCACGTCTATGATTATTATTATTATAAATTGGTCTTGGTTTGGAGATATTACTTTGTGGTGGGAAATCATAACTATCTATACCAGCTATATGATCTGAAGCATTTGCAGCTTTGGGAGTTATACTATGTTGAGATAATCTTCGTGATATTTCATGGGCATTATCTGGTTGTCTTTGGGTGAAAGATTTAGAAATTGTTCTGAATAAACTTGGTGAATTATTTGTTGGATTTATTGATGATGATTGAGTTTTTGATGTTTTTAAACCAGATTCTAAGTCTTGTTTTGTTTGATTTGTATTTTTTCTTGTGAATATTTTCTTAAGGTTTTCTGATGTATAATTTTCTCTAGCGTTATAACCACCATCTAAATTATACTCATCTTCTTCAGATTTTTGTCTTTCTTTATTTGAAAGTCCTTGAATTGAGTTTGTCCTTAATGATATAGCATCAGAATTTAATGATCTTGTGTCTGGTGATTGTATGAAATCATCTGAATCATCTTGATTAATTGGATCTTCTCTTGAGGCTATTGATCTCTCACGACTTAATGGTTCTCCCATTCCTTTAACAGGGAAAACACCAGGAGGTGATCTCAAAGATGATTTAGTTTTTTGAGATAATCTTGAAAACCTTGATGAATTAGTTGGAATTTTGGATAATGTATTACTTGTTGATGATAATCTATGATTTAATTGTTCTTGTTTAGGTCTATAAGAAACAGGATTTAATTGATCATTACTTAAATCACTTGAATCTGATGAATTTTCAACTTCTTCTTTTTCACTTGGAACTCTTATAACTCTTGAATCCATTTCTAATTCAGGTTGTTCATCTTTTGCATCAAATTTAGGTAAATTTAATAATTTCCGATCTCTTTCCACAACAACAAGATGTAAATAAAATGGTATAACAATCCCAAAAATCGATCCACCAACTGCATTACCTAGGGCAGCTGGTATTAAAACTTTCCATATAGCTGTAGCCACGGGTAATGGAGCACCATTAAACATACCCATTGGTACTAAATACATATCAGCAACTGAATGATTAAATCCCATAGAAACAAATGTGAAAATTGGTAATCCCATAACTAATAATTTAACATGTAATGGTTTTGCCATTAATTGTAAATAAACAGCTAAACAAACACAAAAATTTGCAGCAATACCTTTAATAAAAGTTTGTATAAATGAAGATGAAGCTTTATCCATTGTAATTTCAATTGAACCTTTAATAAAATATTCTGATCTTGTTGTACCTGATAAATCACATATAACATAACATATAAATAAATTTGCACCTAAATTGAAAAACCAACTTACAAGCCAACTAACCAGTAAATCAAGGATGGAAACTGCACCACGACAAACACCAACTGAAAAATATAAAATATTTGAATTATATAATTCAGCACCCATTATAATAACATAAAATAAACCAATTGGATATAAAGCACCTTGCATTAGTTTAACAATACCTGGATTTTTTTCATAAAGGTCTGGATTTTCAGCTTGTGCTAATAAATGAAGCATACCACCAGCAGAGAACAATACACCACCAACTATGGAGTTGATCACAAGAGTATCAAGCCGTAGTCTTGCCTTTTTCATGGATGTAGCCACCACTGCTAAAGCAGCTTCATGAGGAGTGATATAGTAAGAATCCTCAGACATATATGTTCAGCGGTTGATCTGATAATCTATAATATAGTGAAAAATGATTCAGTTGTTGTTGAAACTTGGTTGAAGAATATAAAATTTCAGAAAGAAGTGTTGAACCCTTTCTTGAATCGTTTGACAGGTGTGATCTAAATAGTCTTTTAGTCTAATAGTCTAATCAGCTCTTGATTACTGAAATACGTTTATATTGCAATTTTTATCCTAGAATTGCAAAAGCAAACAGGCTCATCTTTTCCACTTCTTCCACTGCATCTCATTGATTCCGCACGGAAGAGTGTCTGTGCGTGGGCGTACCATTCCTAGGCTTCCGATGATATTTCTTTCACTTGATTAGTAGGAACATGGTTGTGTTGAAGTGTTTGTTTATTGATTGTAGTTGATTATTGCATTTTAAAGTGATTGTATAAATCAAAGATTATGGATATTCTGATGTTTATATAACATTTCAACTCCTTAGAGGGGATTCATTAAATCACAAGATCTTTCAAATTGACACAAAATATTTGGTGCCATGCGCGAAAGGTCTCGGAAAGACAAGTTCAGTGGTCTCATTGGCTGGGAGTGGACTTTATATACTGATTTGGATTTGATTTAGATTTGAATTCTGGAGTTTATTGTTTATTGTTTTGTGCTTTGTGGTGTGTTATGAGATGTTATCGAAAGAATCGAAAAAATCCGTTGTGTCCATATTGTGAGGTCGGTATAATATATGGGGAAAGTCTCGATTAGTACTTGAAATATTGACCTCATGCTGTTGGTATAAAGGATATGGTAATAGCTTATAGCATATAGGTACAAATAAGACATCAGTTACTACATTCAAACTTATATATTTGAATATTCCATGTATTCACTTTTCATAACTCATCAATAATCCTGGAAAGTTCTTCATCATAAGGATCTTTAGATTCTTTTGTTTCAACATTTGTCTCAACATCTAAGGATTCCGATGAAATTGATTGACTTTCTGGTATAAAAGAGCCATATATTGGATCTGTTGTGGCTGTATGATATACTGATTCCGTCAATTCATTTGTTATAGGATCAATTTTAACTTTCTTTGATGAAACTAAACCCAAGGTACCTAATGCTAATTTTAAAGTATAAAAAATTATATTGAATACAAATTTCACTGGTAATTTCAATAATCTACTCCAAAAAACTTTCAAAACACATAATCCAAAGAAAATTAATGCATAATACATAAATTTCTTATCTCTTTCTGTACTTAATTTTATATCATTTATAAAACCATCAGATTTTTCTAAAACACCTTTAAGAAATCCATATCTATCAGATAAATAAGTTAATGAATCATTTTGAATACTCAATTCATCCATATTTAATTGGGATTGAATTAATGAAGATTGTAATATTGAACTTGATTGAGATAATTTTGATGTGATTTTCTTGGTTGTTGATAAAATTTTATTATTTGTAGTTGTACCAGGTGCTTCAGTATGTATACTATCCTCTTCTTCTAAGTCATCAATTGATTTATAACCATATTTTTCAAATTTTAATTGTTTAAATCTTTGAAATTCTAAATTTTGCAATTCATTTTGCTTATTAACAAATTTTTTTTTAAAATTGATTAAGAAATCTTTGAGTTTATCATAATTTATAACATAATCTAATAATTTTTTATCGTTTTTCCTTATTGGTTTATTATATTCCAATTCATATTCAAATTTTAATTCTTGTTCTAAAAAAATTAATCCATCATTGAAAGTATTAATCAAATTTAATATAGAGATTCTAATTTCATCATCATCTAACCCATCAAATTTATTCAATTGAGCTAGTAATCCACTCTGTGCATCTTGCAATCTTGATAATTCATTCTCTATTTCAACAGACATATTTGATTCCTTGTAATCGATTGGAATATTTTGTGACTTTTCCTTGTAATTCATAGTAATTTTTGTTTTTGTTTTGATCCAAATCATCAATTTTAACAGCAAAGGAAAAACAAAAAAAGATGGATTACGTAATTCTGTCACTTTAAAAATCAAAAACATCAAATCTATAATAGTTTTAACAAAGAATTCATTGAAAGTAAACGAACGAGTTCAAAGATATCTTAAGGAATAAGCAGTAATCATGTTCCAAGGAAAGAGGTATCAACCAAATACAAAATTTGAATTCATAAACTATGAACAATCATCATCACAATCTTTTAAAAATGGGAAAAAAACTAAATCTCAAATACCATATACAATGAAATTCCAATTAGATGGTATTAAACCAAGATCTCAAACCTCAATAATTCATAATGATACTCAACAGAATAAATATGTACCATTAGAACAACAACATACTTTCATTTCTGGAAGGAATCATCCAAAAAATTCAAGAAAAGCTTCATATACAATATCAACAAATAATCAAAAACAAACATTATTAAACTTGATGTTAGGAAAATCATTATTTTCTGCAAAATCTAAACTAGATACTTGGTCTGAAATTATTAAAGACTATAATGAATTATATAATTTGGATAATAAAGAAGGTTTAACTGTACAACATGCAAGAGTTAAATATAATCAAATATTATCAATTGCAAAAGGGAAACAATTAAATGGTGGGGATTTAACAAATTATGAGATATTAGCATTGAAATATGATGATTCTAAAACAAATTTCAAATATAATTATAATAAAGATGTTAAATTAGATTCAAAATATGAGAATAAAACCCCTAAATTTACAAAAATTTATGAAATTATAATTGAATTAGAAACAAAAATTAATAATTTATCAAATCAAATAGTAAACTTGGGAATTAATTCAAAATATAAATATGAATTATGGCTCTTCCAAAAAAGAATCTCAGATTTGAAAAAAATTGAAGAACAATATCAAATCTTAGAACAAGTTGATTATAATACTGATGGGAAACAAATTAAAGTTTCAAAAGAGATGAAGAATGAAATTAGTGGGAAATTAGAAATTTTACAAAATGATTTTGATGAATTAAATATTAAAATTGAAAAAGATTTGAAAAATGGGTTAGGTGATAAAAATGATTCTGTTGTTGATACTGAGTTATTAGATAAAAAGTGAAGTGGGGATATGACAAAGGATTGGTTGGGTATGCATATAAGATTATATATTTCATGATGGGGTCCTGATTAAAGGGTCATATGAAGGCTTATCTATAAAAGTCACAAACTAGGATTGAACAGATCAAGAATCGATACCAAAACAATATCTTTATTCATAGATCTGATTTATGAACACCATATCATCAATTCAATTCAAGATATAATAAATTCATTCAAGAATGTCTAAATATCATATTCTGCCTCAAATAAAGAGATGATTATGGAAATCAAATCACTACAAACTTCTTTGGTACTTATACTTGATCACCAATTGATCAGAGATACAACAAATAATACATTCAACAGTACTGTTCGCTCTGAATCAATCTACGAAGAATGAAAATATATCAGTTGATCTGTCAGTTACCTACTTAACGACATTTTCATAAACTAAAACTAAACATAATTAAAGTCCTTTCGAAGTTGTCAAATGTCTTATATATTTTTTTAATTTGCATAGCTCAGCTGTTGTAAATATCAATATATAAACAAACGTATACATGATTTTGGACAAATTCACAGCTGTAGAACATTTAACGGAGACCAAATATGTATTCCAATTGAGACCATTTATACGATGTCAAACTGTGGGTTGTAGGTTACTAGTAATATGGAAAGCTTCTATTTTGTGATCAATTGATCTTACTAATCGGAAACCAAAACCAAAACTTTGGAAGATCTATAGTTAAAATTTAAACTTTAAAGTACTTATAGCTGAAAAATCAACATAATCTCAAACAGATTCACAACTTCTGATCCAGGGTTCTCTTTAGGGCACGATGTTGATCGTTAATCAAGTATCAATGGCTATGGCTGATCTCTTGGTTGTGTTTTAATGAATAGAACAAGGGATATTCTTGATAAGAGTATAAAAACCGCGTGATTCGCCAAAATATATAGCTTCAGGATTGATGATCTATTATATTTCTCATTGATTTCATTACAAATATTCAGCTATATTCAAAAAATGTTCTGTTTAAAACAATTATTTGCTGCTTTAGCTTTAGTTCAAGTCATCTTCGCAGCTGCTATTCCAGCTTCAGGCCCAAGTATTGAACCACAAGTTCATTTTGAAAAAATTGGTTTTAGTGATAATGAAGTTCTTTTCTTTTTCAATGCAAATCCACCAAAAGCAGGTTCATTATCAATCAACGGTTCTTTGACAGGAAATGGTAAATTAGAAGATCAAATTGCTATAGTTGGCGGTGAAAGAGTTGGTGAGACAATTGTTAAAGATAAATCATTTGATGCTTTATATAATGTTCCGGCTCAAGGTGATGAGCTTGAAATTATAGCTAGTGTTCAAGGTGATAATTTGAGTGGTAATTTCTTTACTTTTAAAGCTACTTATACTTATGAAGATGGTCAATCTGTTTCATATGATTCATTAGTTGCTAAGAATTAGTTATCTTGGAGCTTGAAGCTATAATGATGATTGAGATTTGAGATCTTTAAACTAAATACTTTACTTTCTTTCATATATTTTGAAAGTCCCTTATATAAGACGTTCATATCATATTATGATGAGTTGATACCATTTCATTTCTCCAGCTTACTATAGTAAATCCTCTAAGCGAATATATATATCTTTATTACGTATAACCCTGGGCTAATTATTCTTGAAGAGATCAATGTTAATGATCACCAAATATTTACCAAAGGGTGATCTGTCTATGTGTACGAGCTATTATGATTACTCAGCTGTAGCATTATTAACAATTCATAAGTAAGAAAGTGAATATATATAACATAACAAATTACACTCTTAAATGGCATGTATATATCGAAGTAAATCAGCTGAGTATAATATATAACAGCCTAACTAGCATTAAAGTCTAACCTATATGCTAATCATGCCAATGACAATTGGTCCCTTAAAAACATCAATTTTGAGCAAAAGAACAAAGTAGCCCTAATTTTCAATACTGATACAAAGCAGCTCCCCAAATATAACAAATCACAAGTACTGAATTGAGTTTGATGCTGTCTTACTTTCCAACTTTTCATATCTTGTTCTATTTTGAACCCCATGATGTTCTAGAAACCTTCTTTAAAACTTTAAACTATGAAAGAACAAGTTCAATGATGTCAAAGAAGTTTCCATTCAACGTACATGGAAGATCTTTGAACCAACCCCTGATAGTAACTGATAACATCATAAGAAAAAACACATGTGGAGAGAATTAAACGATTATGTGATCTAAAGTATTTTTGTGTACTTTTGGTGAGATATTGGTTTTAATTATAGAAAGATCAGCAAGGGTTTTTAAGCCTTGACTAAGCGGACTATGTTTTGAGTTTTGAAAAGTAAACATCAACAATTATAAACTTTTACAACTTTTTACGACTTCTTAAATATATACTTTCAACTTGGTGGTTTATGTGCTGTATATATTGGAGAGTGTCCAATAATAGCATCAGAAGAGGCACAGCTCATAATGTCAATATCGTGAACTGGTTCATAAGATATAGACCAAAATGAATATATAAAGAGATGGGAATCCCTTGATAAACTTGCAAATGTGATTAAGATAAATCATCATCAGGATTTCAACAATTCAAACATCAAATCAACAATCAACAATGTACGCTCTAAAACAAATCATCGCTTTAACTGCTTTATTACCAGTCATCTTAGCTGCTGTTAAAGAATTACCATCAAAAGCATATATTGCCCAAGGTGGGAAAGTTCAATTTGATTTAAATGTTAAAAAAGATGATTTACCAGGTGGTCCAGGTACCTTTTTAGTCTCTGCTGTTGCATCATCAAGAAATCCAAATCAAATCACTTTAGATGATAAATCTGGTTCAATTAGTGATTCATTATCTTCAAATTTTGTTAAAATTGATGATACTTCAGTTATTGCTTCTTATCATTATAATGGTGAAGGTGATGTTAGTGTTAGCTATCAAGGTGAATCTTCAAGTGGTCAAACTTCAGGTGCTGGTATTAAATTTATTGGTTCATTTGTTGAAGATTCAGTTTCTGGTAGACCGGTTAATGATATTTATAACTTTGATGCTAATTCATCAGCTTAAGCTCAACCGCAGATTTTTTATCAAGCTATAGAGCTTTGGGATGAAACTTTCCACTCTTTTCATCTATTCATTCATTCAATTTTAGTTCAGTTCATTTTTATTTCTAGGTATACCAGTTTTCATTAAATATACATATATTGGCCATGATTCTATATGATCCAATCGAGAGTTAACAAGTAGACATTCTTCTGACTGATCACTAGCTCCATACTATCCTAACAACTATCAACATCTGTTTAACCAACGAATAAACCTTTGAATGAATAATATGATCATTATAGACTCCGGGATTACATAATTATTGTACCATCACTTACATAATCATAATCCCACATTAAATTTTCGCGAATTTTTGAACTTTTTGAATTCTTTTTTTTTTCTTTGGGAAAAGAAGTGAAAAGTTGTCGATGATTAAAAAAGTGTTTAGTTGAGTGGCTAATTTGATTGGAAAACATCATAGTTATAAATCTTAAACATTTTCATATCAACTTTTCTTTATCATTTGTTGAAACTTTGATTACTCTGATATATCCAAAAGAATTAAATTCAAGTTTTTTGGGTTGTGTGGATCGTTGAAAATTTTAGTGAATCATACTATATAATCATAGAACATCTAATAGAACATTTACAATACAAATATAACAAAACATAATGGCATCTTGGTTAGGATTTGGAGGATCTTCCAAGAAAGAAGACACAACACAACAAACATCACAAATAAATAACAATCTTGGATTTGATCCATCATCAATTTCTGATGTTTCATCAATTATATCGACTCCAGGTGGATTAGATACATCAAGATTACATCCTTTAGCAGGTTTAGAAAAAGGTGTTGAATATTTAGATCTTGAAGATGAAAATTTAACTCAATTAGAAGGTGCTCAAGGTTTAATTCCTTCAAGAGGTTGGACTGATGATTTATGTTATGGTACAGGTGCTGTTTATTTATTGGGTCTTGGTTTAGGTGGTTCTTATGGGTTTTTTGAAGGTTTAAGAAACATCCCAGCAAATTCTCCTGGTAGATTAAGATTAAATACAGTTTTAAATCATGTTACTAAAAGAGGTCCATTTTTAGGTAATACTGCAGGTGTTTTAGCTTTAACTTATAATTTAATTGATAGTACTATTGATGGTCTTAGAGGTAAACATGATGCAATTAATTCTATAGCTGCTGGTGCCATTTCAGGTGCTTTGTTTAAATCTACTAAAGGTTTAAAACCTGCAGGTATTGCATCTGGTTTAATGGCTGGTGCTGCTGCAACTTGGTGTGGTATTAAAGCTTTATTAGCTTAAGTCTTTTTGATCATATCATGTATCACAACTGATTAGTTTATGAATTTTGAATTTTTTTTTAATGTCTTTAACTGACGCTCTCTCTCTGTATATAATGTTGCATATATAAAATATAATTTTACTTTTTTGAAAAAAGAGAAAAGCTAGGATTACGTACAATGTAATTATAAAATGGATTGAAAATCAAATTCTATGGTATTCTGAATATATTATCTCTATATATTTCTATGTACATTAAAGTCTATTATTATATGGAGATTTGTTCAGTTTGTTGTTTTTTATCTAATGAAGATTCTATTTCATCAAGTTTATGTTTTTTGGATTCTTGAATATCATCCTTTTGTTCTTTCTTTTCCTCTTTCTTCTCCTCTACTTTAGAGTCACTTTGTGTTTCTGGTTTTGTATCCTTCTTTGTTTCTTTCACTTCTTTCTTTTGTTTATTTTGTGGTTTTTGTTGTTGTTTATTCTTTTTCCCAATTTGAATATCATCAACATTTTTTAAAGTACCATCATCATTTAATTTTTCAAAAACTTTATAAAATTCTTCATAACTTTTAGCTCTTGCAACTAATTGATACATTAAAGATCTTCCAGGTGTCATTCTTGTCAACATATACTTGGTATTCCCAATATAATTATCAAAACTTTCAGCTAATTTTGTATATTCTTTAATTAATTCAGGCCAATTTAATGGTGTTTCACTAAAACAACTTGGATTTATTTCAGCTTCTGTTGCAATCATCCCACCTACATCTTCACCCCATGATGTTTTTTGTAATTCATAAAATTCTTTACGATTGTTTAAGGCACCATTAATTATTAATGTAACGTTATGATCATCACAAAGTTTTTTAATCTTATCAATATATGATCTAATTGGTGGTTCTCTATTTCTCATAGGTTGAGTACGACAATGAACAGTTAAATTTGAAATACCAGTTTTCAATAATTTAGAAATTAATGTTAATGAATCTTCTTCTTGTGGGAATAATCTAATTTTAACACTAATTGGTTTAGAATTTGGTTTACCAATTTTTTCAACAAGATTTTTCAAAATTGAAACTAATAAATCAGGAGTTTTCAATAAAGCAGCACCCATACCTGCATGAATTGAGAAATGTTTTGGACAACCAGCATTAATATCAATACCATTAACATCATTAATAATTTTTTCAGCAGCTTGAACAGCTAAATCAGGATTTGAAGTACCCATTTGAAAAATTAATTTTGAATTTTCCTTTGGTGGGAAAGTTCTAAATACTAAATTTGTAACACCTGGAATTTTAGTTTGACCTTTTGATAAATAATCTATAGTACCTAATTTTTCATTTATAATACGATCACAAGTCAAGATTTTTTTATCAATAATTTCTGGACCCCATACTAAATCAGCACCATATTTTAAAGCTAATAATCTTGTTGGTAATTCACCAGCTCTGACCATAGGTGCTAGCACCAATTTCCCTCTATAATCAACCATAATAATAATAAACCTGTAGCCTAGTAACAAACTAATAATGTTTATTAAATTTTGACACTTTTGATCTTTTGATGAGCTTATTAAAATTATTTTTCATTATGTAATACAAAAAAGAAATGGAATGCTACTTCTTTGGGTAATGAGTTGTTTTGAGTAATGGTTATAAGATTCATGGCCCTGGTCTTCCCTAGTAAAATTAAATTCAGGGGCAAAAAAATAAACGAATGCAAAAAAAAACAAATTGCAGATCTCAAAAATCATTCATTCTTGAATCGATAATCAATTAGAATTTAGCACTTGATTGTTTAAAGATCGTATGATATATATGAACATACTAGGAGAATACTTTTGTGATTCGGATGAGTTAAGGGTTCATTAGTTTGTGCTTGAACTTGGGGTTGAGTTTTGTGTAAGCTTAACACTAGGTACGTGGTCCATTTCTAGGTGTTTCATAAATGTGTCAAAGGTCAAAGCGCCCGGTTCAGTATCAACTGGTTTAATATATGGATATCATTAAGTTATATAAAAAGATAACTAGTATGTGTAATGATACCGGTTGACAAATCATGTAAAACATATCAATTCTATAACTCGATAACTAAATAGATTGTACCTTATAAGTAGTGCGTACGTTATAAGAAGCTGAATATCTCAATGTTTCATACCTCTTCTTAATTGGGTTGTCAAAAGATCATCTTTGGCGATGCAAAGATAGGTATTCTGATAATTGTATCACATGGATCTCTGTTGAAAAAGATACATCGATACATTTATGATGATCTCTGGCCAGTGTCGTAGTTTGAAGTTTGAAGTTTGATTCGTTTTGTTTCAATCGCGATGTTGTGTATTTGTTTTGAAAGTATGGACAGGTACAAAGCGCGTTTTATACGTTTCCATTCGAAACAACAAATAAATAGTGGTTGACAATGGAGAGTGGTGAACGTGGAACAGAGAACATGGAGTGGTAAGAGTGATAAGAGTATTCTACCATTGAGTATTGTAAGTGTGGTCACTAGTTATCATGTCTAGTATCTATAGTCCTTCTACTCTTTGTCTATCTTTTTGTCTTTCATTGTTTATTTATTTTTCAGCGTGGAATGTTTTGATTTAAAAATCGCGTCTTTATTGAATCTGGCCAAATATTATGTAAATAGCCGCCAGCCCAAAAATTTAAATCAAAATATAAAACAAATCTGAACCAAACTTTCAAAATTCAATTCCTTCTTTTTACTTTATATAACAAAGAACCAGTCCACAAGTTTGACAAGTCATATCAAATTCATTCTATACAAACTACATTCACTCTATCCATTCGCTACCACCCCCAAGCTATCACATACCTAGATACAAGGAGTTCAAGATCTCACATTCTTATTGTATTACTGGATCTTTTCATTAGCCGCTCTGCTTAGATCTGTTCAAAACATCACCAAGTATATCAAGGTTGCAAATTGCAATTTAATCAAACACAGTCGCCTTAAGTGCATTTCATATTAGGAGATAATTGTTCAATATGACAAAATTCATACCAAATGGTCAAGTTAGTGGGAATCATCTAAGTAAATTAGAAACAACTGCTGAAAAATCAATTGGTAAAGAAATTAATCTTGTTAATGGTAAAGATTTCAATCATTTAGATTTGGTTATTGAAGCTAAAAATAATAGATTAAAATCAGAATTCTTTTATATATATGATTATGAAAAATTTAATAATTGTTCACTTTTAAAAGAAAATTTTGATGTTTTATCAAGTGGTCAAATAACTCATAATTCTTCAAGATATGTTATTCATTACTTAACTATGGAATTGAAAAAAAGATTAAAAGAAATAAGATCAAATGTTAATGCTACAAAGCAAGAATTAAATATGATTTATGATGTTTTTAAACCAAGTTTAGGTCAATTTGATGATAAAGATATTATAGATGCTAATGATTTTATTAGATCTTTATTTCCATATGAAGGTTGTTCATTTACTGGTGAAAAATTAGAAAAATTAATTGCTCAATCAAATTGGATCACTTTGATTTTATCTTTAAGAATTGTTTGGTCATTATTACCAAATGCTATTTTACCTTGGAAATCTTTCCATAAATTTAATGAATCTGAAAAAAGATCAAATTTTACAAATAAACAATCATTTTATCAAGTTTTACCAACTTTTTTACCTTCACATAATCATGCTTGTGTCTTATTTGAATTTTTAGAAGTTTTGTTATACATTTTTTCAGATAATTATTTCTTAGATTTAAATCATTCAGTTGATTTAATCTTTACTGCTGGTCAAATTTGTTTTAATAGAGATGAATTTAAACCTTCCAAAAGTCAAAATGATGATGATTTAAATGAATTACAATCATTCTATTATAAAAGAGGTTATTCATTTTATCAAATTTTCATTTCTTATTTAAGATCTTTAGCTGAAGAAGCTTCATTTAATGATAAAGTTCTTTTAGAAACTTTTAAAATTCATGAATATCCACCATCTCCATATAAACCTGTTACTCAAAAGGCATTAACTTTAACTGTTCCAGCTGATGAAGATTTAGAAGAAACAAATTATTTTAAATTAATTTCAAATGCTTCAAATGCAACTTCAAGAATTTATTCATCAAATCATACTTTTACAAAATTTGAAAATAAATTTTTAGATAAATTTGAAATTAACCCACATAAAATTATTGAACATTTCTTCTCTAAATCATCAAAAAATTATTTATTAAAATTTGATAAAAATTTAAATTTTGAAAATTTTAAAGTTGGTAATGATATTAATGAATTTAGAAAAAATTTAAAAAATGGTACTTTATTTGAAAATAAAGAATTAATTTCAACATTTATTAATGATTTTAGTAGATATGGATTTGAAGGTAATAATAATGCTGCTAATCAAAATGAATCATTTGTTGCAGATACTATCAATTTTAATTTCAATTCCAAGATGGAAAATGTTGATAATAATCCTGTTAGAGTTTCTAAATTAGAAATTAGTGAATGGTTTATTAATGCATGGAAATATGAAACTTTCTTAGGTTATTTACAAAACACTGTTATTTTAAAATTAACTAAAACTATTGGTGATTGTGATTGGTTAATTATTACTTCAAATGAAAAAGTTAGTGCTAATAATCGTTATTTAACTCCACCAAGTTCTGCTGAAACTGCTATTGATAATCAAAAAGAAAAAGAATTAAGTCAATTTGGCCAAAGAAACTCAGATGATAGTCAAGCTCCAATTCAATCATCAAATAATTCATCTATAACTTCACCAAATTTACCTAAAAAGGAATTATTACCAGCTTTATCAACTAGAAGAATGAAATCTCCAAAAAATGGTGAATATAAAACTCAATCTTCAATCCCACCAACTAGATCACCACAAAAGAAAAAATCTCCAAAGAAGAATGCATTGAAAAACATTTCACATCCAAGTCCACCAAGAGATATTTCACATTTTGAAAAACAAAATCCTGATAATTTTGAAGGTTCAGGTTCTCCAAATGCTATGAAATCACCATTACCAATTATGAAAGATTTACCAAAACCTAAAAATTTTGAATCACCAGTTAAACAACAATCAATTGATGGTCAAACATTACCAGATAATGAATTAAAATCTCCAATGGCTGAAATTATTGATGTTCATGCTGATGCTCAATCTCAAGATAGTGATTTAAGTGAAAGTTATTATGATGATGATTATTATTCAAATTCGAACAATAATGATCAATTCCCATTACAAGCTCCTGGGAAATTAAATGAAGGTGATGCAACTCCAGGTACAAATGCTACACCATTGACTAATGCAAGCTCTTCAACAATTAATTCACCATCACCATCAGCAACTTCTTATGCATCTGCTAAATCAAGTAAAGAGGATATTGTTTCACCAAAACCAATTGATAAAGATTTACCAGAGATCAAAGCTTCAAATGCTAGTAATGCTTCATCATCATCTGCACCAGTACCAAGTATTGCTGTTAGAGCTTCTGTTGCATCAGGTCCACCAGTTGCACAAACTATTGAACATCCAATTAAACCACAAGCTCCAAAACCTCTTCAACAACAACAAGCACCACTTGCAACTCCATTAGATCAAACTTTTTTCCCACCACCATCAGGAATCAAAAATGATAAATTATCTTCAACTCCACCTCAACAATTATCAAAAAATAATGTTAATCCTCCACCAATTTTCAAAGATAGTCATAATACTGATTCATTAAATTCAAATACTTCAAAAGCTATGTTAAGTCAATTAGATTTGAATAAACCAACTGGTCCATACCCAAGATCTTTCAATTCACCAAATGGATTTGGTCAACCTTTACCAAAATCACCAGTTGGTTCACCTGCTAGATTTAATACTGGTCCTGTTGTTCAAGGTGGTGCTCTTCGTTCTCCAAAACCTCATCCATATCAACAATTCCAACATCAAAGTCCTCAAAAACAATCAAATACTTTTAGAAATTCAAGTGCACCAGCTCCACAACAATTACAACCACCAAGAGGACCAGGTGTTCCAAAAAATTATGTTCCAAATTCTCCAGGTTCAAGAAGTTCAAGTGCACCAAATCAATTACCACCTCCACCTTCAAATGGAATTTCAAATGCTCCAAGACAACAATTTGCTACACCACCAAATAAACCAATTGATAAATTTCCCAGTATGCCATCACCACAATTCAACTTCACAAAACCATTGAGTCAACCAAGTTCACCAAATTCAATTACTCCAAATAATAATAGTAATGAAGCTTTAAATCAATCAAATGGTAAATCTAGAAGATTTTCAAAATTAGCAGTTGCAACTAAAGATGTTCAATCACAAATTAAACAATTTTCTCAATCAAATTCACCAATTGGTCAAGCGTTCCCAAAATTTTTCAAAAAAGCATCAAGTGAAAATTTAAAAGGAATTTCAAATTCAACTTCATCAAATTCTTTAGCCCATATTAATGATGGTTCTGGTCCTGATAAAAAAACTGGTTCTTTATTAATCAATAATCCAGAATTAGAAATTAGAAATATTGATTCAATTCCAGAAATTCCATATACACCAAGAGCTTTAAGAGATCAAGCATCATCTAATGGTAGTGATTTAGAATCAAATAGACAAGGTTCATCATCAAGTTTAAATTCTAATTCTAAAAATCAAAATGAAGATTTAAAAAAAGAAATTGAAGATGATTCAAATTCTGATTTTAATAAATTAATTAATCAAAATAGACAAAGTTTTACAGGTGAAACAAGTTCAGCTAATATAAGTTCTTACTCAAATTCAAATTCAAATAAATCTTTACCTGATTTAATTGAATCAAATGAAGGTGAAGTTGAAGGTGATTCAACTGTTCAATCCAAAAATGATCATTTAAAAATTGAACAAAATTTAGATGGTTTATTAGAAGAAATTAAAGAAAGTTTAGGATCTGAAGAATCTGAAAAATTTTTCAGTACAGATGATTTATCAACAACAAAACCACAAATCAATTCAAATTGATTATCATGTATATTAGAAATCTTAAATGTGTGACATTACAATTGGACTTTTTTAAATAATATTATTTTTAGGTGTTTTCTTTTGGTTTTTATCAATTTTTATTTATGACATTTCATTTGCTTATACGTTTTTTAATAGTTTTATTCCCAGATTGAAGTTTTATGTATAATAGTGCCGTTTTATCATTTTATAAATACATTCATTAATTTAAATTTACCAAAACGTAGATCTATCAACTACGTCAAGTTATTCAAACCCTTATTCCATAGGTCATGTTTTATATATTATGTTCATTAATTACTTAATTATTATACACTTATAAAATCAGATGTACTTCTAATTTATTACAAATATGCAAAACTTTTTTTTGGTAATCATAATTCATCATGATTAATTATTGATTCAGTTTTTTTATCTTCTTCTAGTTCTTCTGGTTCTGAATCTGATTCTTCTTCTTCTTCTGAGTCTTCTGAATCTTGTTCTTCTGCTTCATCTTCTGATTCTTCTGGTTCTGAGTCTTGTTCATCTTCTGGTTTTGAATCTTGGTCTGAATCTAGATCGCCTTCTTGTTCTTCATCTGAATTTAAATCAATGGATTCATCTTCATCAGCAGTGATGTATTCTTCATCTTCATCGGATTCTGTCTTTGATTTCAAATTTGATGAAGATTCTTTATTTTCTTCTTCACTCGCTTCTTCTTCATCTTCACTTGATTCTGAATCTGATTCTGAATCTAATTCTGATTCTTCACTTGATCCTGAATCTGATTCCTCTTCCTCTTCAACATCACCAATGATCTGTTTTTCCTCGTCTTCTTCTAATTCATTTTTTTCAATTTCAACTTGGCTTGTTTCTTTTGGGGATTTGGTAGCATTCAAGGTTTCAAATTCTTTAGATTCGGTTATTTCATCATTAATTTCCTCTGATTCTGATTCTGATTCTGATTCCTCATCATTATCATCACTTGACTCTTCTGCTTCTGATTCTTCTTCTTCTTGAACTTTAGATTCTAAAGCATCTTCTTGAACTTCAGAATCTTCAACTTTTTCAACATCTTCAACATCCGGTTCTTCACCAACAACTTCAGATTCATCTTCATTCTTATCTTCATCAAAATCAGTTTTAACTTCATCATCAACTGGGATTTCTAAATCAGAAGTTTCCTTGGCTTTAATTTCATTTTCAACATTTGTTTCCAATTCTTCATCGCTTGACTCTTCATCATCCGCTTCATCAGCACTCATAACTACCTCAGTTTCAACATCTTCTGCAACTGGTGTTTCTGGGGTTGATTCATCAGTTTCAATAACTGGTGCAGGTTTAGCAACTTTAGAAACATCTTCTAATTCATCATCTTGTAAATTTGAAGAATTTAAAGTATTTGATTCTTGAATTTCAAATGAAGTTTGAGTTAATGTGCCTGTTGGTGTTGTTATTTCAATTTCTAATGGTGATGTTCCTGCAACTTTTGATTCTGATGGGACTTTATCTTTTGTTGTGGATTCTGATGAGTTGGTTAATGATGTTGATTCTGTATCTGGTTCTGAATCTGATTCTGAATCTGATGATGTTTCACTTTCTGATTCTGAATCTGATGAGTTTGAATCACTTGAATCATTTGAATCTGATTCTTCTTCAACATCTCTAACTTTCAATTCTGTTTCAGCAGGGTCTGCTTCTGTACTAGTTGATATTTCAATCTCTGTATTAATAACCTCATCGGTGGTAGTTGTAATTTCTTCATCTTTATGTAAATGTTTTGAACTTGAAAAATCATTTAATTTTGAGGCTAATTTTGAAGTTAAATTTTCAATCTCTGGATCAATAACAGTTTCTGTTTCCAACTCTTTCTCTGTTTCAGTTTGAGTTTTAGTTTTTGTTTCTAATTCCTTCTCGGTCTGAGTCTCAGTTTCAGTCAAAATACTAGTTTCAATTGGAATTGATTTCTCAATTGAACCAATTTCAGAGCTTGGTTCATAAGTTTCAGTTGAGTTCAATAAAGTTAAAAGTTTATTCTTTCTAGTCTTTCTTTTTTTAGATTTTTTAGATTTAGATTTCTTCTTCTTTTTCCCAATTGAAGTTGATGAAGTTTTATTTGAATCTGATGAGTCTGATGAGTCTGACCCGTTTAATTGTGTTATTGAACTTGTTTCATCAACAGGTTTTGAAATTGTTGGATTTATTTCAAATGATTTATATTGATTTTCTAATGGGATTGCATCTTTAAATTGTTGATTTTCAGTTTTGATTTGAGGGAACGATGTTGATTCAATTGTTGGTGTGTATTCAGATGAAGATAAAGATGTGGTTAATGGAGTCTCAATGGAATATGGTGATGATGTTTCCAATGGTGTTTCAATTGATGTTTCAGTTGATGTTTCAGCTGGTGTTTCCAATGGAGTTTCAATTGAAGGTGTTGATGTTGTTAAAGTTTTAATAACTTCTTCAATATTACTAATTGGATCTTTATTAATTTCTTCAATTAAAGTTTTAACATCATCTTGACTTGATTCAACATCAGAATTTTCCAAATTATCATTTTCAACTTGTCTTTCATCCACAATATCAGTTGTTGAAACTAAATCAGTAGTTCTTGTAATTAAATCAGTTGTAATAGTTGACTCTGGTGTTAAAGTTGATTCAATACCCAGATCTTCAGTCAAAGTAGGTCCTGAAGTTATAGATCTTTGATTCAATGTAAAATATTCACTAAAATCAACAGAATTCCCCTGGTCTCTATGTTCATACCACCATAAACCAAATTTAACCAATAATGCAAAAACCAAAATTTGGAAAGATCTCAAGAAGAAATAATAGATATAATGAGTCTCCACACCCAGTTGATCTGGAATTTCAATAATATTTATTGTATTTGATACAGAAACCGAAGCTAAAAATTTCCCATTTGGTGATGATGTTAATTTTGAAATTGATAAAAGATGAACATTATTGAAAATTTTAATTTTTTTTAATGATTGTAATTTAAATAAAATTATTGAATTTTCATTACCTGCTATTGAAATAACACCATTTTTAGAATTAATATCAATTGAATTTATTGATTTTATCTTTTTGGAAATTTGAAGATTTTGTTTTATAGTTTTCAGTTTCCCATTTAAACTTAATTTTATTAAACCAATACCAATTTCATTTTTAAAAGAGACACCTAATAAGACATGATCATTATTTATGAATTTAACTTTATTTAAATTTATATTTAAATCAAAATCAATACGACGTAATAAAGATTTTCCTGTGATTATAGAAATGATTTCAATGGTATTTGTCTTGGTGATATAAGTTAAATTTTTACCATCAGGACTTATATCAAGATCTTTAACTTCATTATTTGTTTCAATTTCATATTTTTCAAAAAGATTAACTGGATCCAAGATATGAATTATAGTTGGGATTGAACTTGACGCAATAGCAGCAATTGAACCATTTGAAGAAATATTTATAAATTTTTGATAAATAGAGGGATTAGTTTGTCCTTGTTCCAAAGAAGTAGATGTAATAAATTTTAAATGATCTTTAATATAAATAAATTTTTGTAAATTATTATTTTGTCCATTTGATTGAATTGTTGAAGTTGCTTCATTACAACCTAATAATATAACATTATTATTTGAATCCAAACAACTTGGTGCATCATTTTCATCATTTAATTTCAATTCTCTAAATTTCTTTATAGGTTTTTTCAATTTGTTTAAATTTATTGTTAATGCAGTTAATCTATTTGATATTTCATTATTACCTTCACCACCACCACCTGTAACTAATAAAGTTTGATCATTAAGAAATTTAGCACCATATATGGGATAACCAATGTCATAAACAGCGGTATTGAATTTGACCATCTTGACCTTTGAATTGACCTTTGAATTGACTTTGTTCTAGTTGATTTTGTTGTTCTAATTGTTGTTCTTTGTTTATTCGTTGTTAACTTTCGTTTTTTTAGCGCTTAAAATAAACAAAGAATGAAATGTATTTTTTTCAAATTCCTCTTTCATTACCCTTTTAGGAAGTCAACAAGATCACCAGAAGCACCAGACATGTCACCAGAAGCAACAGGATCAACAGAAACAACTACAGAAAAAACTGATAAAAGTATAAAAACATAGACATTAACGACGTGAATATTAAAAGATTAAAATTAAAGCGAATGGTATCAATTGGCAATGCAAAACAGTATAAACAAATAGTAAATTAACAAAAAGGGTCTTATTTCAATTCATAATTCTTCAATTGGGTGAATAAAGTATCATTTTGAGCATGTTCTTGTTCTATTGGTTCATTAATTATTGGATCATTGAATTTAATAGCAATACTTTCTCTTCTATGATGATGTCTTTTACATAAATCATTATGAATATGATTTGAATCACATGAAGATATTGAATTTGATTGATCTGTATTTGATTCATCATCATTTATATGAGTACAATTTGTTAAGATAGATGATTTTCTTGAACTTGGTGATTGAATTTTATAATCATTTATATGATCATTATTATTATTATTATTTTGTTTTTGAATTGTTGGTAATGAAGTTGATCTTAATAAAAGTGGTGGTTTTGGACGTTGATTAGTTTGATTAAATGAACTTTGAACCATGGAATTTCTTGGTGAAGTTGAAACTGATTGTGATATACTTTGTGGAGTTTTTGAATTATTATAATACATTAATCTTGCATTTAAAGGCGAATTTATTGAATCTGTTATTGATTCTTGATCAAATTTGATTTCACATCTTGAGTTTCTTGGAGATGATGATGATGATGAAGGTGATTGATTGATTGTTGTTGTTATATGTGATGGATAAGCTGTATCTATAGTGTTGATCATGGTGACCAGCTAGTAATATATATATATGACTTTGTTGATTATATGGTTTGATTTAAGGAACAGATCAGAATTTTATAAATTTTTATACATTCCATGAAATAATGATCCAATGAAATGAAATGAAACAATAATTATATGTGGGACATATAAGGGACCATCTGCTTATAAAAGAAACGGTGTTAAAGCAGGCTGTATTAAACAATCTAATGTACCTGGTGGTAATTAAGCAATAATGTTAAACAGTACTTTTATTATATTAGATTGCTGAGCAGTGAGCAATGTCTGGTATTAGGTATAAAAAAGTACAATATGGTTATATGGGAATATGATTATACTTAAATATAGTAGTACTATGGACTAGTTTACTTTTATAGTATTGGTCTAGATCAGATGATTAAGTTTGTTTCCTAGTTTGTTAAGTTTAAAGTTTGACTCCAAAAGGTTTTTGATCTGGGGTACTTGATCATGATTCATGAACATCACGCCATTAATAGGGTGATATGGGTAATACAGGAAAACAATAAACAATAGACAATAGACAGTAATACAATCAATGCACTTCTATGATACGATAAACTGATTATATTATATACTATCTATTTATTGATCGATCACAGACGTTGTAATTGTTTAGATCTTTTCTTTCCTTTTAATTGTTGCTCATAGCTCATAGCAACGTTCAATGTAGGAACACAGAAGATCAAGAAGTACATCATGCAACAACAACAACAATAACAATAATATAATAACAATATAATTATAGTACAACAAGTAACACAATATAAATGGATTTCTTCACTCCATGATCCTTTAATTACCTTCCCTTTTACTTCCCTTCATTTCCCTTAGTTATTACTTCACCGGTGCAATTACCCCTTCGGGAATCCATCTCCCTATAACTCCATTTAAAATAACTTAACCCATAATACATCTCAAAATAATCCAATTAATCTCCAAGAAACTGGGAATTAAAGCCAAAACGGTCAACAATAGTCCATATTATTACAATATACGCCACTTAATTAACACAACACCCCTTTCTATTGTATTCCCTTGTACTTAAATTCATTCATTTATCCTGTTCGTGAACCTCTTCTCCGGAAAAACTATTAAAGCACATAATTTTCCCCTGAAATTTTCCACCTTGAGACATAATCAACAACAAAACATAAACAACAACAAAAACATAACAACAATGGCTCCATTAAACTTAGGTTTCGTCGGTACTGGTATCTTTGCCACTGATAAACATTTACCAACTTTCCAAAAAAATCCAGAACATTTCAAACCAATTGCTGCTTTTAATAGAACAAGATCCAAAGCTGAAACATTTGCTGAAAAAGCCCAAATTGAATCAAATCATATTTATGATTCACTTGATGATATCTTGAAAGATCCAAAAGTTGATTTCATTGATGCCCTGTTACCAGCTCAAAATAATAATGAAACTATTCAAAAGGCAATTCAAGCTGGTAAACCAATCATTGTCGAGAAACCAATTGCTGCTGATTTGAAAGATGCCCAAAAAATTGTTCAATTATCAAGAGAAACTGAATTACCAATCTTAATTGGTGAACAATGGATTTATTTTAAATCAGTTGATTTAATTAAAGAAAGATTAGAAAAAATCGGTCCAATCATTTCATTCACTTATAGATCAACTGGTCCTTTCTATAATCAAAATAAATATTTACAAACTTCATGGAGACAAAACCCAAAACATATTGGTGGATTCTTAAGTGATGGTGGTGTTCATCAATTAGCCTTATTAACAGAAGTCTTAGGTGAAGTTTCCACTATAAATGCTCATACAAAACAAGTTCGTAAAGAATCTGGTACTGATGATATCTTATTCTCTACTGTTAAATTAGAAAATGATGTTATTGGAACTTTTACTTATGGGTCTGCATTTGGCGCTGTGGAAAAACATGGTTCTTTTATTATTTATGGATTAAATGGTTCAATTACTTTAGATTTTAGTGCTAAAAATCCTCATAAAAAGTTAACTACATTAATTGGTACCTATGGTGAAGAAATTAAAGATGAAGAAGTTTTAGAATTTGATGAAGATCCAACCCAGGGTGTTGGTTTAGAATTTGAAAATTTTTATCAAGCTGTTACTACTAAAGATAAATCAATTTTAAAATCTACTCCAGAGAAAACTTATCATCATTTAGCTATTATTGCAGCTGCTTTAGAAAGTTCACAAAAAAATGGTGATACAGTGGAAATTTCAAAGCCATAGACTTCTATTAATTGAATTATATAATACACAGCTTGGCCTATATTTGTTTATTTCTTCTTGTTAAAATTGTAGAAATTCCTGCTGAAATTATAGAAACACCCAATATAACAACAAGCATCATATTTGAATATTCAAAAGTTCTTGCCTTATCTTCAGGCCATCCACTATACAGGGCATAAGTTGCCATTACAGAGCCCAAATTACCTAACCCACTAACTAAGGCACTTGAAACAGCAATACCAATATCACCATATTTTGAACCAAATATTTCTGAAGTCATTGACATACATGTTGGCACTGTAGGACCTAAACCAAAACCTGAAATTAATAATCCACCATATCTTGACCATTTCCCCTGTGCATAATTACAAACCACAAGACCAATTATAATTATTAAAGTTGCCAATGAAAAAATCAATGGTTTAAATTTTTTAAAAATATCAGAAAATGGAGTTATTAACAAGATTGCACCTAAATCAAATAACCAAATTGGTGCATATAATAAACTAACATTTATAGAACTAACACCTAACACTGCTTTAATTAATGTTGTACCAAAAACTGCTAGACCAAAACCAGTCCCTACGACACCAAAATACATCATTATTAATGGCCAAACATTTATATCTTTGAAAATATTCCAAACATCTTTCAACCCCCAATTGATCTTTTTGTTATAATGAGACATTTCTCTCTGATGTAATTCATGTTCTTCAGGTGTCAATGGGAAAACATTCAATTTTTTCAATCTGTTGATGATACCAAACTTGGAAGTTGCTTCATATCTAGATAAATCATTATCAGGTAACCAAACTAATAATAACAAACTAACAAAAATCGTAATAACCCCATAAACCAAGAATAACCATCTCCAACCTTCCAATCCATGAATCATATCCATCTTTTGGAATCCAGCAGCAACAAGCCCGGCAGCAGCAGCACTTAATTGAGCAGCAGTGAAATAATATCCTATTCTTCTTGTGATTCTATGAGGTGGATACCATAAACTAACATAATAACTTAAACCAGGCCATGTTCCAGCTCCTGCAATCCCACTGATGAATCTAACTGCAATAATACCACCTGAATTTGATAAAGAGGCATAACATGCATACACAAGACCAACGGTGAATACAATACGTGATAACCAAGCTTGTGGTGCTAATCTTGTCATGATCATATTCATAGGGACATCAAATATGATATAACCAACATAATATAATGCTGATGCTGTTGAAGTGTCATGAGTTGTTAGTTTCAAAGTTTGAGAAAGGGAATGATGAGATTCTGAATTCATTGTTAGGGTGTTACCATAAGCTGATGAACCAAATGATGTTAGGAAATATAATAACCATAATGCTGGGATTATTCTTAGGTCTAATTTCCAATAAATTTTGTTTAGTCTTTGAAGTTCCTCTGGTGTGAATTCTGGAAGGTAGTTTTCTTCTTCTTGTTCTTGAGTTTGAACTAGATTTTTAGGGTTCTCTTCATTTTTGGAAGATATTGATGAATTGATATCAGTCATTTTTGAAAAGTTTGGTCTTCTTTGAATATGAAAATGTATTATACTCAAGGATTCAACGACCTTTATAATGTATCCTTAAACAAACACCCAAATAAAATCTCAACGTTGATAATCAATCGTATGACTCCTATCTAAAATCTATAAAATGTGTAAATCATTCAAAAACAATTCATAAACTATTTATACAAAAAAATTCAAAAACCCAACAATATAACAAACGTCAACTTTGATTACCAGCTTTGAGGTGAAAAAAAATAAAAATTATGCATTTATTTACATGATGATTCGTGATTATTACCGGATTTGGTAATTTTGATGAATCATTTTGACAAAACCCGACATATATAAAGAATAGTTATTTTATCAAGTTTATGAATAAGTATAAGAAGTACGGCTTGAACATTATATATTATAGGGTTTGAATCGTTTGATTAACTACGGTTGGTTTTATAATTCATATGGAAATGGTCATATGAGATATGATATTAATCTCATGTATATGTGAATAGAAAACATTAAGCAATTGTACAATTCAATGTACATTAAAATCTTTTTGAAAGATTCATCGAACCTGTCTATGATCTTTAATATATATACAAATAATTTCATTTCTCTCACTCTCCTTTTGTTAGCTTATGATAACATGATATTCATTTCCCAATCTTTATGAACACTAAACCAACTATCATTTTCTTGTTTAGTATCTCTTCTTCTCCAAACTTCAAACATGATTTGTCTTGCACCCCAATATGAACCCACACCAGTTTTACTTAATGATGCTGCCCATTCTTTAAAACGATTTTGTAACTCGGGACTGATTGCGGAACAACCACCAATAAAACCTTGCCAAAATAATGGAATCATTTTAATTTTCCCCTGATCCATTAATTTTTGTAATGATTCAAGATGTTCAATACATCTTTCTGAATATTTTTGTAATAGCACATGACTTAAATCTCTAACCATTGTAAAATAATAAATAATTAATGAATTATAAAAACTCATACAATGATGATAAATCCCCTCATGTGATGCACTTAGGAATTCTCCTGTGGTTTCTTCTTTTAATTTCCATTCATTTATCCATGATAATAATTTAGATTCAAAACTTAAACATAATTCATCAATATATTCTTTTTTAGTTTCTGTTTCTCCCTTTCCTTCGATATAAAATCTAATTTTTAATAAATTAACAGTATCACTAAATAATAAAATCATAGAATTTGGTAATCCATATAATGCATCTGTTAATAATAATTCTTTTGAAACTTTTGATGATGATGTATTATTTTCATCAATAAAAGCTGGTGAATAAGCACTTGGTGTAGTTCTTTCACTTAATATAGCAGAAACTTCTTCTTTATCAATAATATTTGAAGTTTTAATCCCACCATTTTCATTTTTATTAGCTTCAGGTGATTCAATAAAATTTTCTAAATTTTTGGAAGTGTTAAAAAAAACTTTTTCAACTTTTTCACGTAATTGATCACTTATAGTATTTAAATTTTCAAAATTTGTTGAATCTTGCATATTTTTTAAAAAACTGAAAATTCGATGTAATAATTTTGCCTTATGACTAACTATTGGTCTTTCAATCATTCTTTTTGATATAATCTCTTCACAAACTGAAATATGATATTGACAATCAGACATTGTACCCCAAACGATATCAATTGTATTCATTGATAAAATAGCAGTAACAACATCTTTATAACGTTCAGTTTTCAAATCTGGTACATCACTTTCCAACATTTTTTTCAAAAAAGCTGAAGCTTGTAATCTTAATTCAATACCCAAGTTAAGGAAAAATTTTGTCTCAGGTGAACCTTTTTCATATCTTGATTGTAAATTAAAACATGATACAGCCAAAAGAGCATTCAATAATGAAGATCTTGAATTTGGGGTATGACCAAGACCACTTAAATCTCCAATAGCTCTCAAGGCTCTTGGGAAATAAATAGTTTTCCATGGATTTTTAGGGAATGCCACCACAGTCATTAAATCTGCAACTTCATTTATATAATGTTGTAATAAAAATCTTGTTAATGGAGATATTTGTAATGAAGTATTTGAAATCGGTATAGAAGATGGAATGTTTTCTTTCGTTGGTAATGTTAAAATTTTAATAATTTCTTCTGGCATCTTGGATTCAAATGTACTTATAATGATATCACCATCTTCTTCATTTTCAACTTCTTCTTCTTGGATAGTACCCTGTGTATGATTGTTTAAACCTTGAGAAATACTTTCATTCTCAATATTCAAATGAGTTGGATGTGAAGATCTTAAGACATTGAAAACTTCTTTATCATAAGGATATAAATCAGGTATATTAAAAGCATCATTTTGCAAAGCCATTGGAGTATCTGTATTTGTTGTTGCAAATGGAGTCATAAAATCAAAATTATTATAATTATCATTAAAAGTAGCAGCTGTGGCAGATAACATTGCATCATATCTTAATTCATTGGATAGCCATTCATTATTTAAATTATTTAACTTGTTTTGTTCTTCAAATATATTTCCTAATTGAACATTAACCTCACCATTTTTTTGCCGTATATTTGAAGAATCATTATTATTACTAGTTTTATTATGATTTAATATAGGTGATTCAGTTCTATTATCTTGATTTATTGATGAAGGAGAATCAGCATTATTTCTATATTTTGTCTTGTTTAATTTTCTTCTTTTCCTCATTAGATGTGATGGAATATTTCTTAACCCTTCAAAAACACCAAATGGACCTTGCATCCAAGTTTGATTATATTCAATCAAACTATATTCAGGACTATGCAATAGCCCAAGATCTCTATCCATTTCTTCATAAGTTTCATATTCTCGATCATATTTAACAAAATCAATATTACGTCTTTGGAAAGATTTTTCATTATTATTACCTTCATCATCATCATTATCATCTTTTGATGATGCGGGTAATTGATACCCATATTTATCAAACTTAATAGGTCTTGACCAACATAGGTTAATTTGATAACCAGCACAGATTAAACCAGATTTTTCACATCTTTTACAAAAAGGTTTCCCCAAATCACATTTAATCTTTCTTGAACGACAAGTAGCACAACCGGTAAAAGTTTTAGTCTTCTTCTTCTTGACTGGTTTAGCATTCTTGAGGGCCTTCGTCATTGTAACAAAACCACCTGGGACCAAACGTGAACCAAACTTCAACAATCAACCCAACCGTAACCAAAATCTGAACGTTTGTCGACCTTTTGCGTTGTTTCTGTTTGGATGCTTACAATTAGTCAATAATTAATTTACAACATGGGCGCGGTGGTCGGATGTGGCTGCCGGAGTCACGTTCCCGCGAATCACAATTCCGACCATTTGGAATTAATATGAAAACCGCCATCAACGATAAACAAAAGATAACATCAGAAAGACAGGCGTTGATGGACAATTGGTGAAGATGTCTGCTGCTGATAGAAAGAGAAAGAAGGTCAAATTCTTCACTTCGGATGTCAAGTCATTGCTCTACGCTTTCGGGGATGTTGAGAACCCATTACCAGAGACTGTGAATGCATTAGAAGATATATTAATTACTTATATTATTGATACTTGTCATGAAGCTTCAGCATTTGCTAAAACCACAAAGAGACAGAAGATAAAAGTTGATGATTTTAAATTCGTACTACGAAGAGATCCAGTTAAACATGGTCGTGTCCAGGAATTATTAAATTTACAAAAAATCATTCAAGATGCAAGAAAACAATTTGATAATAGTGAAGGTAAATCATTGAAGAATGCAAATTATGTTGCTGAAGATGATGATGATGATGAAAAGGGAAGTGATAAAGATGACGGTGATGATAAAGAAGAATTAGATCTTGGTGATTTGACTACAACATCGGTTAATACTACAACTAATGGTATTCCAAGTAGTTCACAAATTTCAAATGATACAAGTTTAATATCAACTACAACAAAGAAGGGTAAAAAGAATGATAAAACCGCTGAACAAGATCCAAAAAAGAAACCAAAGAGAAAATATAATAAAGATCCTAATAAGGAAAGAAAACCTTATAAAAAAAGGGCTAAAAAGGGTGAACAACCAAATGTTGCAACACCAAAATGATAATTTTAATGACCAACTACAATTTTTAATGAAATCTATAACTTTGTTTTATTTATTTTTTTTCTATATGTACAATATACTATAAAAATCAAAAAACTCCTTTAAATTCCTTATTGTAAAATTTTATATAAATATTCTTCAGATTCTTCTTGTGAATAAGCTTTATTACCAATAAATAAATTCCACCATTGATTGAATTTAAATAATCCAATATGGAAAAGGTTTTTTGGTAAGTTTAAATAACTATTAAAAATAAATTTTAATGCACCATTGACTGCATTCAATTCTTGATAAAATGCAGATTTTAATGTCTTGTTATCATTCACTTCATCAAATTCTTCACGATCATCTTCAAATTCAAAATCTTCTTGAGATTCTAATGATGGTGCTCTATATGTATTCTTATCTAATGGAACTTCATCTTCAGGTTCAATACCAAGATTTAAATAATTAAAATTTTGAATTGATTCAATTGATTTAGTTAATCTATCAAAAGTATTAAATAATGATTTAATTTCATTTTTTTTCAAACTTTTCAAAACTTTTGGTGATTCAAATAAAATTTTCAATGCAGTGGCATAACCTGTTGATTGAATTTTTCCCCATAATCTACATCTATCACATGTAACACAATCCATTAATCTTGTAACGTTTTTAAATTTTAATTTGAATTCTTCTTTGATTTCTGAATTTTCAAACATTAAATCTTCATTGAAAATCTGTAAATCATGTGGTAAAGCTTCAATTATCTTGTTGATTTGTCTTTTGATAGAACGATCTTTACCCAAATCTAAAGTATTAAATTTAATTTCATTTAAATATGGTGAAATTTTCAATAATGATCTAATAACTAATGCATAATTGAAATAAATATTTTCAATACGTTCAGGGAAATCACCAACTTTAAATTTAAATAATTCAAGATTTGGTTCCCATGAATTTGTAATATTATTATAATATTCATTTGATAAATGAGTAGAAACTGATGAATGAAATCCAGAAATAATTTGGAAGAAAACTTTTTGTTCAATATCACATTCACCTTCTAATTGATTTTGATAAATCATACCCCAAATATTTCTTTCTGGTGTTGGAATATAACCTGTAAATCTTTCAGGATTTCTTGAAATATCAATTATAACACCATTTTTTTCATCTAAATCACACCATTCATCATCTTCTTCCTGAGCTTGACCTTGTTGTTGTTTTGGACATAATGAATCCAAGAATGAATCTTGATTAATATCACCTAATTTCTCAACTTGTTCATCAACATCATAATCATATTCATTTGTATGAACATCAAGATCTAATTGACAACCTGGACTAAAACATATAGATTGACATTCAAAAAATGGACATTGCATATCTAAATTGAATTGATAATGTTTGAAATAATCATTTTGAACTAATGAATGAACATTTGAACGAATTTGAGAATTTATATTATTAATTTCATTATAAGTTAAATCACAACATTCATTATTAATATTTTTATTTGAATCAACATCAAATAAATTAGTGGCAATTGTAATGGGTATTAATGACAATAACGTTATAAGTTTCATTATTTTAGTCTTTTTGTAATCCAAATGTACCTAAATCCAAATAAAATGGTTTGAAAAGATTGAAAATTGCCACTTTTCTCTTCTTTTTATATTGTTATTTATAAACGAGAAGATTCGATGAAGTGTCATTTTTGATTTTTATTATAAATCGGAAGACGGTTTAAAAAAAAAGAAAACGCCAAATTTGATCCGCGATTATGTGAGCGATTAGTCATCTTATCAGGGTTTAATCAATTCTTGTTCAAAGATTTCCTTAATGACATCTAAGATTTGGATGTTTTCCTGTTGAAGTTCTCTTTGGATGATCAGGTTATTGAGGTTGACACTGTTGTTGTTGTTCTGGTGGTTGTTTTGTCTATTTTGTTGTTTTTGTTGTGGTTGATTATGTCTCTTATTGGGTTGTTGAGAATTATTTGAATTTCTTCTTTTTCTATTGGATTGTTGTTTGTTTGTTGATTGTTGTTCTGCTTTTGATGGTTCTGATTTCTCCTCTACCACTCTCTTATTGGAGATCTTCTTCATCCAGTTTAATTTTCTTTGTTTAATCCATTCTTCTATATCTTGTTCTGTATTCAGCATAATATTTGTACCGAAAACAGGTACTGATTGTTTCTTCTTATCATCTGATTGTGGTTCAACTTTCTCATTAGTCTTATTAGTTTCATTTTCTGATTTCTTTAGTTCTTGCTTTGCATCTTTTTCCCGTTCCTCATTAGGTAGATGACTTGGTAAACTTGACACATTCTTTGGGATTTGATTTGGTAATTGGTTTGGTAAATGAGTAGGTAAATCAAAAGGTAATGATGATTTTGAGCTTTTAGAATTGTTGGTGTTCCCGTAGATCTGATCCATTCTCTTCTGCTTTGAATCGATTGCCTATAAATTTGTTGTTTGTTACTTGTTTGTTTTGAATTAAAGGATCTTTGTTGACATTTGAAAAAATTTGAATAATATTTGAAAATTCGCGGGTATTTTCATGGGTATTAACTTCGAAGGCTTATTCATCTCTACTTATTGAATCCCTGCTATGAAGCTATGAGAGAATCCATAATGTGATATGATTGGCTCAGTCAAACACTCACTAAAACTCTCAAATCATCTCTCAATATACTCTCAACGTTTTGCGTGACAATTCAAAATATCACATAGCTTGAGCAGCTTTAGTGAGCATATAAATATACCCGTGGATACATGGCAGTTCATACTAATTTTACTCATTAAAGAGCTCAATTTGATTATCTGTCGAGCTTGTGAAGAAAAACTTTATAAACCTTCTGAACTCTTTCATTATATTTTGTTCTTTCTTCTTCACTTCACAATTTTTTTACATCAAATATTCATAATCATATAAACACTCAGCATGACAGAAGCATTAGAAACTCCACCACAAAGATCAAGTAAGATACATACTTGTGTTAAACTCTTACTTAAAGTCATCTCGGAAGAAACATTATTCAAAGTTTTTCAGAAACTTGGTTTTATCACCCCCGATTCATATTATAAACCTACACTTAAAAGTCTTTCAAATTGTCTTGAAGGTGTCTATATACTTGATATTCTACCTTATCTCAACAAATACAATTGGAAACTAAAAACAGCTGGATTTTGGTTAAGATATCATGTCTCAAGACCATTTGTTCTTACTAAGAGGACTTTAAATTCTTTTTATGAAGAACATAGAAGCTCAATCATACGTATGAAGTCAATTTTCAAATCAATTAAAGAGAAATCAACATTAATAAACAAACCATCAGTTAGTCCAGTCACAAATTTGAAATCATGTTTTCCTATTGAAATTTGGCTTTTGATTGTTAAATTTGGTGATCTTGAACCAGCAAACTTGATTAGAGTGAACAAAGATTTGTTCCAAGTATTTGCTCCAGTGGTGTATCGCTCAATCCATTTGGACTTATCAATTGCTTCAAGTGAAATTATTAAGAAACATCATGCACATTATATAAAGTTTGGTGATACATATTACTTTCAATCACCTAATCCATTTCAGCTTTATGAAAGTTGGAAAGAAAATCAAAATGCTGAATTTGAATTCTTAGATATATCCCATACCAAAATTTCTAATGAACAAAAACTTAAAAATGAAATCATACTTGAATCAGGTGTTTCAATAATTTCAGAAACAAGATTGATTAGGAAGTTTAAAGATGTTCATAATTTTTTCAAGTGGGTTATTTCAAATGAACATTCTTTACTTTTCAAATTCATCAAAGAATTAACATGTAACATCACAATGCTTGATGTTGATGCCCATAGAAATATTATGGTTGATGGTTCAAGTACATTTAGTGAAACACACGAGTTTCTTTCACAAAATAAAAGCTTGAATGTTTATAAGTCAAAAGGTATTCCATTTTTATCCTTTGATTTATCGCCTGATGTATACGAAGACTACATTAAAGAAATGAAACCATTCCCAGATGAATATGAAGATGTTATGCGAATATTCAAATCAACTGAAAGATGTCCAGGAACTTCTACTTCTCTACCTGATCATCCACATTATCAATACTTAGTAATGTGTGGAATAATAAGTGATCATCTTCAACTTGAGCAAAAAAGATCAAAGTTGTCTAAAATTAAAAAAGAAAATGATCTTGTGGAATTGAATCCCTTCAATGATTGGTCTCGTAAATGTGTTGATCAAGAATCTCAACTTTTTTCAAAATTTGAATGTGAAAAGAAAGGATTTAAGACAATTCAAGTTTCAGGACATTCATTTTTAAAATCTTTCGAAATTCAAGAATTCTTATCCGAGTTTTGTGGATTATTATCTACTCGTCTTAGTGATAATCTTGAAAATACTTCTATAATGGTTTCGGGAATTGAAAGGTCTCACATAACTCCAAACAGAACAAGATTTGGACGTTTGATAAATTCATATGATTTGGGATATGTGAACCATCCAGAAACAATCATCATAAATAGACAATGATATCAATATATTATGATATGTTGATATGATATTCTCATGGTTATATATTTGTTATATATATTAGTATTAGAATTGAAATAGCTGCTAGGAATCACATCATGTTAAAACATGTATATATATATATATATACTGTTTATATAAATGTTGAGATAACTGGTACCAGCTATATAAATATTGAATTAGCCTGAGCTGGTTATGTAAATGATTTTCCAGCCATTTATATAGCCCGGCCGGGTTTAG